CTCTCGCAAAAGGTGTATTGACTAGTGACGGTCGCATCACATGCCCATGGCACGGAGGTATGTCCGAATGCAGTCACCCATTTATGCTTGTACTAATGGATCGTAGCTTGCTTCAATGCAAAGACCGGCGATATTGAAGATGCCCCCGCCCTCGATCATCTTCCCGTCTTCCAAGTCGCCGAACGAGACGGCGCAGTGTACCTCACCGGAGAGGAGAGCGCCATCAAGTCATCCAAGCGACAGCCCAATGTCAAGTGCACCGAACTCGGAAGTGTCCAGGAAGACCATGTCGTTGTCGTTGGTGGTGGTTCGGGAACACTGGGTGTCGTCGAGAGCCTCCGCGAGAATGGATACAAGGGTGGCATCACCATCATCTCCAACGAGGGCTACTACCCCATCGACCGAACCAAGCTGAGCAAGGCTCTCATGACCGACCTCAGCAAGCTGCAATGGCGAAACAAGGATTTCTACGAAGGTGGCTCCATCAAGTTCGTCCAGGGTGAGGTCAACAATGTCGACTTTTCGGGTCGCTTCGTTACCACCAGCGAAGGCGAGAAGATTGACTACACCAAGCTGGTCCTTGCTACTGGTGGAACTCCCAGACGACTCCCGCTCGAGGGATTCAAGAACCTCGACAACATCTTCACTCTCCGAAGTGTTCACGACACGAAAAAGATTGTCGACCAGATTGGTGAGAAGGGTAAGAAGATTGTTGTTGTCGGATCTTCATTCATCGGAATTGAATTGGCGGTCGCGACAGCCGGCGATAACGATGTGACCGTCATTGGTATGGAGAATGTTCCTCTTGAGCGCGTCCTCGGCGAAAAGGTTGGTTCAGGCCTCCAGAAGGCGCTTGAAGGTAAAGGTGTCAAGTTTTACATGGGCGCAAGTGTCGACAAGGCCGAGCCCTCTGCATCTGACGCGTCCAAGGTTGGCTCCGTATCTCTCAAGGATGGTACCAAGCTGGAGGCGGACCTTGTCGTTCTTGGTGTCGGTGTCGCACCCGCTACCCAGTTCCTCAAGAACAACAGCGGCATCAAACTGGAGGACGATGGTTCAATCAAGACCAACGACGACTACTCTGTGCAAGGTCTGAAGGATGTTTATGCCATCGGCGACATCGCTACGTTCCCGTACCACGGCCCCGGAGGTGAGGGCAAGCACGTGCGAATTGAGCACTGGAACGTTGCTCAGAAGGCGGGCCGCATCGCTGCGAACCACATTGTCAACCCAGGCGGCAAGACTGAGCACTTTATTCCCATTTTCTGGTCTGCTCTGGGTGCTCAACTACGATACTGCGGCAACACCATGGCCTCTGGCTGGGACGATCTTGTCCTCGACGGTAGTCCGGCCGAGAATAAGTTTGTGGCATACTACTGCAAGGGCGAAACGGTCGTCGCCATGGCTAGCATGGGAAGAGACCCAGCTATGGCTCAGAGCGCAGAATTAATGCGGGTTAACAAGATGCCCACCAAGACGGAGCTCCAAGAGGGGATCAGTGTAGTGTAAGCTTAGCGCGGCGGGAGCGATGCCACCTGTCGAACTATGATGAGGCTATGAGCTTAGATCGAGATGACAGGCACAAAATAGGTAATTGTTTCATCGGCATGAAGCTTAGTTGAGCACTTAATTCCGAGCGTCCAGTTACATCTCACGGTGAAAGATGATCCCCGGGTTCGAGAAGTCAATGACGTACGGAGCAGGGATCGTCATGATGGCATCAACTCCACAACACCACACAGTCATGGTGACGATACTACGTATGACGGGTACAAGATTGCTACATGAAGTAATGATGAATAAACAAATGTTCATAAATACCGCCTTTCGCCGTGCCATCAAGGTCCTTCCAGTCAACAGTATATCGCATTAGGACTCTGTTAAAATGACTACTCAAGCAGCTTACCAGGTCGAAAAGGTCATTGGACACGGCGACAATGCCGTCACAGCACAGGATATCGCTTCGTACCGTGAACCAGGCGCCGGCGAGTCTGGTGAGACCATGAAGGCTCTCGCATGGATTGGCAAGAACAAAGTCCAAATGGGTATGTCGCTTCATTACATGCACTTACACCACTAACACAGACAGTCGACGCACCCAAGCCCAAGATTCTTGAGGACCGCGACGTGATCCTCAAAGTAACAGGCAGCACCGTCTGCGGCTCAGACCTACATCTCCTCCACGGCGCAGTCGTGCAGCTCAGCGAGGGCGACATCCTCGGGCATGAGTTCTGCGGCGTGGTCGACCAGGTCGGGTCAGCCGTCAAGGGCATAGACGTTGGAAAGCGCTACGTCGCATCGTTCCAGATTGCGTGTGGCGATTGTTTCTTCTGCAAGCAGAAGCTCTCGTCGCAGTGTGAGAAGACCAACTCGAACACCACTGAGAGGGCCATGTATGGGGGTCGCACGGCGGGTATGTTTGGGTATTCGCATTTCACGGGAGGGTTTGCGGGTGGGCAGGCGGAGTATGTGCGTGTTCCGCTTGGGGATGTGAATCTTTTGGAGATTCCTGATGACGTTCCCGATGAGAAGGGTGAGTAGTTGCCTCTGTTGAGTGAGCTACCTTATGCTGACACTGTTAGCGCTGTACTTGTCTGATGTACTGGCTACGTCCTACAACGCCGTCAAGGACACAGCCGTTTATCCCAACGACTCGGTCGCCATTTTCGGCGCTGGTCCAATTGGCCAAATGGCGGGTGTCTTTGCGATCAAAGAGGGCGCAAGCCAGATCATCTTTGTCGACACTGAGCCACGCCTGTCGTTTATTCGAGACCGCTGGCCCGCTGAGCACAAGGACAAGCTCGAGCTGGTGGACTACAAGCACTTGTCGCACGGCGTGACTAACAAGCCTACTGTTGTAAGCCGTCTCAAGGAACTCACTGGTAACCGTGGACCTGATTGCGCGATTGAGTGCGCGGCTGGTGAGTATGCCAAGGGCTGGATGCACTGGCTCGAGATGGCAGTTGGGATTGAGACGGACACGAGTGAGATTATCAACGAGATGATTGAGGGCGTGCGAAACTATGGACGATGTGGCGTTACTGGTGTTTACGTGGGTTACGTGAGTATTGCCAATGCCAGCCTCTCTTTACGTACCGGCGACTAACATGACTAGACCAACCACTTCAACATCGGCTCCCTCATGGAGCGAGGCGTTCGCCTCATCGGCAACGGCCAAGCGCCCGTTCACAAATACTGGCATGAGCTTCTTGAGATGATTCAAAAGGGCGAGCTTGATCCGGCTCAGATGCTGTCGCACCGTGTCAGACTTGAGGATCTGGATAAAGTGTACTACAAGTTTGAGAAGAGGGAGGATGGGATGCAGAAGATATTTGTGGAGACCAAGTTTTCGTTCCCTCAGGATCCTAGCACGCCCAGTCTGACGACTTATTGATGAGATGAGGATAGTTAGTGATGAGTTATGAATTGGGTAAATGAGAATGTTATTTTTGGTTAATTATGTTGGTGGTGTTTTAGTTATCGCATGAGGTGAGACGGATTAATTGAGGTGATAAGATAAGATTGTGGAGGCATTGATGATTGGCCCACTTCAGTTACTGCAATCGCCCACCAGTCTAGGTACGGAAGTTGGCGACATCAGAAGCCATCCTCACTGTTCTTGGTTCAATGCAAGTTTTGCATTCGGCTACCTCTTATGGCTAACGCGATGGCCGAAAAAGGTTGTCGACTGCGCTGGAGCTCGTCGGAGACATGCATTCCTATTTTGCATCCGATTGCTTTGTAACTTTTGAGCGGATACTTGTTTTATTTCATGATTATAGCTCTCTGTGCGAAAACTGCGACCAATTGAAGTGTATGATGGACAAGATATTGTCGATGTGAAAACCATGCTGGGCCATTGTCTTGATTCTGGTCGTGATTGACTTGCACCTCATGTTTCACCTCACATTTCACCGCGGCAGTTACCTACCTTAGTACCTAAACAGACAGACAGGACGGACAACCGTTTGTAGTGAATTGACGAATCAAATGAAAATCAGTCACTACTAATCTAGGTCATGGAACCGGGCCACGGCAGATACATCTCAGGGTCATCTAGACAGAGCTTGGCGTACCAGTTACCCGTTCCATTGGTGCGAGCATCATAACGGTGTTTCGGTATCACCGCACTATAGCTAGATGCCTTTCTCATGGTCTTGGGGTGGATTAATGTTTTTATTTTCGCTGATAGTGAACTCTCTTGTCGGCAGGACATGATTGTCACGTGGATATCATTTTTATTAGACAGAGGGTGAGATGAGGAACGTCGCAGAAGGACTCGTCTTTATTTTAAGTGAAAAGGGTTTGCGATGGCTAGAGAGCATGAATTCAAAGCCTTTTAATTGCATTTCTTGATACGCTAGCTTGATTTCTAATAAAATCTTTGCCAAACATAGCAGAAAATTATCCGTCTAAAATCTAGAACAGTCCGAAGTCTAATAACATACGAAATGGTCCGACGCTAAAACTTGGGAATATTGCGCCCAATCAAATTACATGGTCGAGATGCGAGATAAAATCCGGGGCAACAAAAATAAGAGAAAAACAACAAGGGTTCCAGGTAGAGACTGTAATGCACACACCACGACGATTACCCAACAGAAAAGGAAAAGGAAAGACAAAAGAGGCAAGGAAAGAAAGAAAGAAAGAAAGAAAGAAAGAAAGAAAGAAAGAAAGAAAGAAAGAAAGAAAGAAAGAAAGAAAGAAAGAAAGAAAGAAAGGAAGCCCAAAGACCAACAAGCAACAAGCAACAACAACGAAACATGTCGTCCTCTCCCATCACGGCGACAGCGAGGCGTGAAAAGCTAGAGGCCCAACGTGGCGGCGTCCTTGACTTAAGCGTCCTCAGGAGGGTAAAAAGCCTGTTGCAGGGACAGGTGGTGCTTATAGGCGGTCAAGCCGGCCGGATCGTGGTATCTTAACCAGAGGCTGAGACTGGGTGCCGCTCCGGGGGGGCACAGCGCGTGATGAGCCGGGCTGAGACTCATTATAGAGATGTACTACAAGGCAAGATTGACCGTGAGTGTTCCCGGGCCTGATGCATCCCAAGGGACTGCCTGCCACTCGATGCGGCAAGGCTGACGGTCGTCGTGGGCTGTGCCGCTGACTCGGACAACGACGATTTCTCTTGTGGTCAGAACAAACCCGTAGCGGGTGTCTGTAGACAAGCAATAGGCGGCTACACGCCGGAGCGGTAGGGTTGCCGCCTCCCCGTAGAAGTGAGATCTTTCGAGCCGCGAAGAACTCCACTGGGATGCCATCAGAACACAACCGACAAGGAAACGGGTTCCGTCATCGGAGACGAGAGATAGCCCAGAGCGACGAGGCCAGTCCACCACGGTGTCCTTTTCGAACAGGACCTTGGGTAGCCTAGCTCCAAGGCGGGCCCCGAGCACGGTTGCGCCAGTTTGAATGGGATGGGCTAGGCTCGGAAAGAGGTTGTCTATGACAACTTGCTTGAACCGATTCAGTCCGTTGACCGTGTGAGGGCCAGGGTGACCGATAACGGTCGGGACAGGGTAATCCTCGAGAATGTCGCCATAGGCTTGGCCAAGACAATCGACATTGAAATAGTGCCAGCGTACGATCTGGGCATCGGCTAGAGCAGGGAAATTGGTCTTTATAATATTTCCTGGATTGGCAGTAACGTCCAGTGTCGGATTATTAGACGTCAGTGAATCATGGATAGATTGCGTGGCCCAGGTCTGGGGAACCGTGAATGGTGCGTTTGTCATTGCGAAGACAGTGCAAGAGGTACAAAAACAAGTGATGGGTATTGGATGGACAAGGTATTTTCGGTTGGTAAGGTTTATTGGTGAGCAAAGAGGAGGAGGGTCAAGATGTTTAGGTCAAGTTGAGAAAGACGCAAAAAGGTTGGAAAGATTCTAGAATATATCCATTTCCAACTACTGGTCTGGTTCTGCTTACAAACAGCTAAAACAGAGAATCTGATCTATCATGACAGACAGCCTGCCTGCCTCGCAGAACCTGAGGGCAGCGACGGTGTTCCAGAAGACCAACCCCTGTTCGCTCGTCGCCAAGCAGGCTCCTACTCCCTATTGTCGAACAGCGGTATGATCACGGTGGCATTGGGTACCAGTGGCTTTGCCAAGGGCCTCACTGATGGACACCTTACTGCAAGGCTCTGTCATAATGTTAAGGGCAGGTTCTGGTTGTTGCGCAAGCTAACGTTAATATACAGCATGCTTATGATTCAAGGCACCGGCAGCTACCCGCAAGACTCTCCCATACTGTCAAGCGCCGGGACCCCTTCTCCCACCGAACGTTGCGTTGGTAGGTAATGCCAAACTTTCATTGACATTGATTGGACGCTGGTGGCTGGTTAGAAGGTTTGCTATTGGGGAATATGATGGATGGACTTCCCATTGCTGGACTATTCCCGGTTCCCGACTTGGCACGGAGGCAGATGGCTTGTGCTCAGCAGGGGTTCTGCCAACAGAACCTCAGCCGCAATAGCAAAGGTACATGGGCTGTAGTGGGTCATCTTCCAAGAACAAGGTATATCTGATGGTGAATGATGACGACCAGTACTTTCAGCCTCATAAGCCAAGACCCAGGACATCAGAATTGTGTCAAGAGCCAGCAAACATGATCTGCCCGTCTCCTTGCCCGCGCGAGGAATTGCCAAACGCATTCCCCGGAGCCTGGAGCATGATAGCCCCAAAATGATTATAGAACTGTGCACTGGTGGCTTTTTAGAAGCTGCTCATTCTTAGAAGATAACATGCCGGTTTCCTGCTCCGCAAGATGATACATGATCGGCTGCAAGGTCAGTTCTGTGCTAAACCAAAACCTGGGGCTCAGCAATACAGGACGCACATTGGCTGACGATCCTGGAAACTGTGACTTATTTACGATAGTTCCCAAACAGCTTTCTCTTCCAATTGCCCCCTGCTATAGAGACCCTGATTGGTGGCTGGCCACAGCCTACCTGGACGCCAAGTGTTATATGGTAGCACAACAGCCCGTTCTGACTGGCCAAAGGATGGTAGTGGAATCGGCGAGCCAGAAATGGATTAGGTGCGGCGACACAAGGGTAATGTGCCGTCATTGACACATTAACGAACGGGGCCTGGTTGCAAAACGAACAAGAATTGGAGTTCGGCGCCAACATGAAGAAAGAAACATGACTTTTCGGAGTGAAGACCATCCTTTACAATCGCGTAGCCTTTGATGCTAATAAAAAGTGAAACGCAGCGGCCGAACAAAGCGGCTGATGGGACAAACGGCACACGGGACACGGCACACGGGACAAACGGGAGAGAGGGCAATGATCAATCCTTCATTTTGCTTGGGCACACAACCATGACAGGGCTCTGTCATATTTTGCTTATTCTTGGGGATTAGCCTCCTGACCGTGTTGTCGCCATCCCCCTTTCCAGAGTTATCGCGCGACTGGCAGATTCCCCCCCCCCTCCGCCCTCCCCTCTGGAAATTCCTGCACGGTTCCTGGGCTCTCCTCTCTCATCAATTGCGGTGCTGTTTTGCCTGCAGAGTCTACCGTTTGGCTATGGCGGTGCTGTTCCCGGGTTCTCTCTCTCTCTTCATCGACCTCAACGCACCACAGAACTGCTCGCGGACGCTCCCTTTGTGTGAACAGCTGTGCTATTTCTGGCATGTCCTTCTTTCAATTGCTCCTCTTTGACAGTCACGGCACGGTCCCCAATTCACACGCTCTTCTCTTTGAGAATCGCTGCGCTGTTCCTGGACTGTTCTTCTTTGTCGATTGCCGCAAGGTTCGCAGACTCTCGCTCCTCAGCCATTGATGCACCGTCGCTGACACTCAATGTTTTGGCAGACAAAGCGAAACATAAAACGACCTCCGTCTCTTCTTATCACGTCAATTCAATCGAACAATTACCTGCAACCTCTTGCTCAGTTCTCTGAAACAACACCCACCGCTGCAAAATGCCACGTTCAAAACCGCTTCCGGACTGTGAAGGTCCGAAGCTCGAATGCTTCCTCGACGACATTACTACCGACGACTTTAAGATTCTAGGATACTTAGGCGGTGGATGTCATTCAAATGTCTTCAAGGCCCAGATTCATGGAGAAGTTTATGCCATCAAGATAGTAAGTGCTTCAGCCGATCAATCCCCCTCCTACATGTCTTTGCCGTCTAACCATGGTTTAGTTCTCCGATTATCCGACAAAGGAGCCATCTTTCATGTTTTCGGCCTTCGAAAATTTCCCCGAAACCGACCCCAACGACTGGGAAATCGAGCCTGTTGTGCCAAATGATGAACTATCCCAGTCGACCATTGATAGTCTTCGGCTCCACGCGACCTCCTTCTATAACGAATGCCGTGTCTTTGGGAGACTGAAGGAGCTAGATCGCGAGCATCTTGCCATCAAAGCCTATGGCTACCTCGAGTTTAATCTTGATGATGAAAGGGTGCAGCAGAAATTCCTCCCTTTCCTGGAAGAAAACAAGCGACAATCTGCCTACTCACAAGGGAAGAAAGATTTGACCACTGCAGACACGATCCGAGACCTCTTCCAACACGATGACCTCAAGAAACCGCTCATGGCTATTGTCAAAGAATGGATACCTCTTCCCGGAAGCCAGGCGATGCCGTTTGTGTTGACACAGAAACAGATGCGCTCCCTGCCCCAACTCCTCCGCAATCTTCACGGGCTGCACAAGTCAGGCATCGTGGTGCGAGATCTCAAGATGCAGCAGTACCTCGACGGGAAGCTGGCAGACTTCAGTTTCGCCTGGACCATCCCGCACATCTTTGATCCAGAGAGCGGCATCAAACCCCGTTGGAGCTTCGAGAGCATGGCGGCGTGGGACCTCAAATGCTTTCAGGACATGCTCGACTGCTTCGATAGGAGAGCCGACGAGACGGCGCCGCGTATGCGAAAACATAACCTTGTCGCATGGAGAAAGGACGACGTTTACGATCGCCTCCGGCCCAGACCTCAGATGTACGGCCCCTCCCTGCCCATGCTCATCTACGATAGCCCGGTCCAACCCATGATGCATCGCCCGCCCTTTGACCCCGCCAAGTTCAACTGGCGGGCTGTCCAAAAGCCAACAAAGAAGGGTGCAGGGCGTGTGACCAAGACAAAGGCACCCCAAAGAAGAGCGACAAAGAAGAGAGGATCAAAATGACACGCCGCGTAGACAAGTCGGTACAAGACGGCGACCCCCGGAGAACACCTCGATAGACCTGATTGCGTTTTCAATTCTGCTACATACTCGCGATGCTTTAGTACCATTTGATGTTTGAAGAGATAGAATAAATACACTCTGAACTTACTGCCCCGCACGTTGATCCATGAGAAACCTCAACAGCCCTCTCTGCAACGCACACGGTGCTGCGCAACCATGATCCTCACCCTCAAACTCCCAGCACCAGACATTTCTCAAATGACGCGACTCTTGCATCCTCGCCACCAACGCCAGGGCATTATCCCTCATCTTTCGCTGCATCGCGCCCTTTTGCTTCTTCTCAAACTTCTCATCCGACTCACCAGGCAATTGAATCAGCGTCTGTTCCGCTCCACCAAACATGACCAGCAATCTTGGGGCTTGTCCAGTCAGAGGGCTGCGCTCATTGAAGCGCTGTTCCTGGTCGCGAACAATACTGCAATTGTTGAACCAGATGGACGGACTCGCAGCGATGAATGTGTCGAAAGACTCTGGCTTCGTGAACAGCGCGTTGAGGGCGAAGAGACCGCCGTAAGAATGACCGAAGAGCGCTTTGGGACCTGTTCCCAGAGATGCATTCGGGAAGAGCGTGTTTTCGATATAAGGTTGGATGTCGTTCTTGATGATATCCAGAAAGTCCGACGCGCCGCCAAAAGGACCAAGCGATGGTTTCCCATCCGGCCCCAGCGGGATATCGTATACCCCATCCCCAGACTCCGGTGTCAAGTCTCCGTTTCTCCGTTTGTCAAAAACACCGCCGGTTTTGTTAGGATACCCAACAGCTACAATCACAGCTCTCGTCTGATGCGTAAACTCCAATCTCCTTGCGATATCCGTCGCCGTAAAAAAGTAAGCATTTCCATCGACGATATACCTAATCCACATTGATCAATCCCCCGTTGTTATTCTCGGTGAGGCTTTTCTTACACAGTGGAGACGACCGCATCGTCGTTTACTGGAGCGCGATCATTCCAACAAAGAGGCCAGGATACCTGGATGAGATAATCGCCTCGTCGGGAGGGGAATAAGAATTGGCATGAATCATGCACGGTGGCGCTTTCGAGAGCTACTGGGACGAGAGTCATGGTCAAGTTGTTGAGCGGAGGAGAATCAGAAGATAGTAATGGAGATGGAGACGCGGCTGATGGTCTGATGATCAGATAAGATTAGATAAGCGAATGAGAACATCGCGAGTGGAGACGTGGCAACAGGCTTGCACAAGATTTCCCAGATTGGTTTATACCTTAATTGCATATTGCATAATGTTTTATGGAAGAATATTAGCTGACAGTACTGGCATGTATTTATTACCCTTAGAATACTACCTCAATTAGAGCCCAGGTCTATGCTAAATGGCTTTAATTACCACTTGGAACTCAGCGTGTTCTTTCTAGGCTATCTATCTTTGCCCAACGTGTAGACAGTCTTTGAGTTTAAGCGGTAAAGGTGGCTTGGAGACGATAACTATAGTAAGGTACTTCCTGAGACATCAGATGTTGCTGCGAGTCTCGGGCGTTTTGTGGCGAACCTTGTAAGTAGTGAGGAATGTCAACATTGGCAGCATATCAGACGCTCAAGTATCGTGACTATGACAGAATCTAGACATTTACTATAATAAGTGCAGGTAGTTAATTTGGGTGCGTGCGCCATTTACACATTCCGGACTATTGTTTCTCTTGGCACCGCTCTACATGTCTACACTATCTAGTTCGGATGATTTCCACGGACAGTTTCGTGGCTAAGTTCGGCTACAACAACATTCAAAAAATGAGTTAGTGCGACTGGAGATATTTAAGAAAGCGTGTGAGTAGCTTAATTTCTTCCCTTTATATTCTATAAAACATTTTCTCCTAGTGTTTAATGACCTCTCACTCTAAAACATCCACTCGTGACCCTTCTCTTTCTACCTACTCAAAATGCCATCCCCACATCAATCATCGCATGAGAATAAAGACAAAATCGAGCCAACCTCTCAGGAAAGCGATGAGTCTCTTCGTTGTGGTGAATACGAGAGACATTCATTTCTGAGCAAAAGAGCCTGGCGCGGTTGTCGCAATGACGAGTTTGGCTCGAAAAAGAAGGGAGGCGACATATCTGAAGATGGATACACTCAGCCACAGGACAGACTCTCCGTCTTGGATCGTGTCTTGAGTCGCACTTCGGCTATGGACAGTGACCTTGGACCTCCGCCTGATGGTGGCTTTTGGGCCTGGGCGTCAGGTAAGCTCTTTTGTGAACAAGACTAAATGTAGCACTGACCCATTTGTAGCCATTGCTGGGCTTATAGTCATGCTGAACTCATGGTATGTCAAATTTGGATCCTCCACGCACTATCAGAGCTGACATTCCATCAGGGGGTACAACAGCTCCTTTGGCGTCTTTCAGACCTATTACACAGCACACCTCGGTAATTCAGCAAGCCAAATATCCTGGATAGGATCGGTCCAAATATCTGCACTGTTCTTTGTTGGAACCCTCTCTGGTCGCCTCACAGACGCCGGCTACTTCCGTACCACATTCGCTGCAGGCACACTGCTCACCTGTCTCGGTTTATTCATGACTTCTCTCAGCACGACATTCTGGCAACTCCTCCTCTCGCAGGGTCTCTGCACAGGGCTAGGTAACGGTCTGATGTTTACCCCTAGCCTTGCTGTTGTTTCTACATACTTCAAGCAGAGAAGGGCCCTGGCCTTTGGTATCACTGCTACTGGAAGTGCCACGGGAGGTTTGATATTCCCGTCTATGGCTCGTCAGCTCCTTGGGAGTGTTGGCTTTGCTTGGACGGTTAGAGCCATGGGGTTGGTGCAGCTTATCACACTGGTCATGGCGAATCTACTCCTAAGACCTAGAATACCGCCGAGACAGTCGGGTCCATGGATTGATCTAGCATCGTTCAAGGAAAAGGGTTACTTGTTCTTCGCAATCGGAATATTCCTTGTAAGTCTGTGCTATTGGTAAATCGTATGCGCATACTAACGGGAATAGATATTTTGGGGAACATTCTTCCCGTTTTACTACCTCGCCTCTTTTGCAGTTTCACAATTGGACAAACCCCTCACGTACTCCGCCGCATTGAATGTGCTTCTCGTCGTCAATGGTGTCGGGATCATCGGCCGTTCACTACCAAACGCCATCGCACATCACTTCGGAAGCATCGCAGTTCTCATACCTGTCGTGTTCACTTCATCTATCTGTTTATTCACGTGGCCTGCAGTATCAACAGAATCGGGTTTGTACCTATGGGCTAGTGTTTATGGCATTGTCGCTGGAGCATCTATGAGTCTGTTCCCTCCAGCATTGTCAGATTTGACAACGGATGTGCACAAGACAGGTGTGAGGATGGGTATGATATTTACGACGAATAGTATCGCAACTCTCACAGGGCCGCCGATTGCTGGTATGATTATCAGGCGTTCTGGGGGTCATTACCTAGGGGCGCAAATCTTTGCTGGTGCATCGCTTCTTTTGGGTGGGCTGTTTATCTTTATGGCTAAGCGTTTCAGGAGAGTTGGAGATCAGGATCGAGCTACAAGACATCAAGGACAAATTTGATAAATGAGATGACTGATAGTATTTGTCACGTCACAGTAATGGAGAGAGTGTGTAACAAGGAAATGGCCTTTATGGTCCGTCGCATTCAGTACAACAGCAACTCTAAATTGCGCTAATCAATGCAATGGCTTGAGGAGCCACTTTCATCTAGTTGAAGAGGATAGAATCCGATCAGAACAAGTTTAGGTCGCCTGGGATGATATATGTTTATTAAAAAACTAATCATATCAACCTCAAACTGTTATTTCGAAACATTCCTCCCCAGGACTTGCAAGAAAAGGAGAGTAAAAGCGATAGATTTCGAGGTCGTGAAGCTGATGATGGCCCGGAATACTTCAAACTCATGTGAGAGTATCCTGTGTTGCCTTAAGGACCACTCCTTACGTTGTCTGACCCCCTTGAATCACCTAAAACCACCAAGAGCAGCACCAAAATGGCCATCGCAATCCAGAAGTGTAACGGAGTCACGGAAATGGCGACAGTAACCCGTGATACCAAAGCCACCAGAGCGAGGAAGGCGCAGGCAAATATCAAAGCGAGGCCAGCAGGGCCCACTTTCAAGGATACATCCATCTTCTCAGTTCCCCAGGCGGCCTCCAGGTGAAAGATAGATGATTCGTTTGGGTTATCTGTTTTGGTTGCGCCAGAAGAGTTTTGCGCAGACTTGTCGACACCATGGAGGTTGGGTGGAGATGGTGCATGGCCTTGAGTTGAAGGAGTGTTGTTGGATGTAATAGCCATTGTTGAGTTTGTGAGAATGTGACCAAGTATTGGAATGGATGTGAAAGAAATCAATTTTGAAGGTGCAAGGAAGAGGGGTGCAGGAGCTTTTTGTACATCCTGAGAAATTATTTAAGTTCCGGGACTGGCCACAGCAGCGGAATATAGAGTTTTGTCTTTAAAATGCTGTTTACATTAGCTTTCTGTAAAGGACAAATAGCGAGCCTTTCTCGTGAGCCTTGTGTGACTGTATAGGCATAAGTAACTCTAAATAAAATCTTCTTAAGCAATAAGTTTTCTAGTTCTGAATAAGCCTTCTATGAGAATGGGGAATGGATGTGCTATTGGCAGTTGAGAGTATTACTTTCCTATCACACAAAACTCAGATATCTTGGGAGAGCATAATTCCCAAGGTAATTACTGGGGCATAATGCAAGGAGCGCAGTTCCAGTGTATTTACTGAAATCCTCATTGTTGGCTCGATCCTCCATGCGACATAACAAGACCGCAGTACTGAAGATCACTTGCAAGGAAAAACAGGCCAGTGAAAGATATAGTCAGAATGATTTCTGAAATTGTGATCCAATGGGAAGCCATTCCTAAAAATCTCGGTTTCGTGGTCTAGTTGGTTATGGCATCTCGCTCACACCGAGAAGGTCCCCGGTTCGAGCCCGGGCGGAACCATTGTTTTTTGCCCTCTTTTGCAACTGTCAATCACGTAGTATTATCTTGCGGCATGCCTATTCGTTCTGGTGTCCAATTATTTGGAGAAGGTGTTCACATAACTTGCATACTTAACTGTAAAAACAATCGACGAGCGACTTATCACCAGCGATCTTTCTCCTTTTGCTTATGCTTTGTGCCTTTGTCTCTTGTTTGTGGCTTAGAATAAAAAAACATCGATCCTGGTCATCCGATCGAAAATCGGGTCCTAACTCATTGGCAATACCCCCCAGCAATCTCCAACTCATTTGTAAGGCATCGATCAAACACAACATCATGAGTCTTTGCAGCCGTTCCGCAGGCCTCTAAACCTTCGCCGCTAAGTACGGGGGAACATTCGTCTTCCCAAGCACCATCTGGACCGCTGCCATGCGGAATCTAGACTCCACACGCGATATATCCTCTTTGAAATCAGCAGGATCAAAAAAACATGTCGAACCGAGAGCTTGAGCATGTATAGCAAACAGCCTATGCCGCCGCCGAGAGAGACCGATCCATGATTCCCTCTTTCAAGCGAGATTTGAAGCTACTTTCTATCTCGCAGCCTGAGGGACAGTAATGGAAATCTGCCATCTACTCATGAGTGTCTATTCGAATTCCTTCTTCTGCTGATAAAGGAATTTCGCCTACGACTACCCATTCATCGGAGGGAAGAATGCCGTAAAAATGCGAATGTGAAACTCTAAGGACTTCTGTCGTAGGCTGGAATATGGCGCTATCGACGCTTGCAAGAAGAGAGGTTCCCCGAATACCGTATCTCTGGGCAAGTTGGCATATTGCTTCGGAGAGGATATTGCCATTTGACTCAACAGGGATGATGATGCTAGGAAGATTACAAGTATGCTCTAGAATCCTCTCCTGCTGGTAGTCGATAAGCACTGCCTATACAAACATCAGTATCAAATCCAAAGACTTTGCAAAGCCTATGATCAAGCCAGCCACCAAATAGAGCTGTCCATAATTCTGACGGCTAAAGTATGGTGTTCTACCAGAGCACCGAAGCCGCCAAATGGACACAAACAGGTAACTTCAACGGATAAATTTGCCCTCTGCATCTCACACAACCAGTCATGGCACGCGAGAGTCACTTCAACTATAGAGACAGGCCAACTTAGAGACAAGAACATTATATTCTAGGCAACTCCAAACTTGGGGTGTTGTATGTCTGCGTTTCCATGTGCTATATGTTATAACAAGGAATGCAAACCTTGTGTCGTGTCTTGCAGCGAAACGAAAGTCATTAAGGACTTGCGGATTCAAGGCAGATGAGCTGGGGGAAAGATCAGATAAGATTAGATGTGCCAAAGAGTATCGTGAGTGGAGTCGGAGAATGTTTTGTGGACGGATAAAAAAAGTGGTGTGGCTGATTGGTGGTTATGATTGGGTCAATTGAGCCTCAATTGGATCTGGAGTGTTATGCTGCTCGTTGGGGAAATACCCCAGATCTTCATTGATCACCATAAAACAATTGCAGTAGTTCATTGTGTGACCGTGTCATTAATTGATCTCGGGTACAGTAATTCCGCCCCTCACAAATAAATACATACCTAACAATCGATACATACCTAACCGAACTCCCAGCCGCTAGATTAATTGCTTTCGTACCAAACTGCGTCATCAAGCACCCGCCCACCATACGGCTCACGAAGCCGAGACTCGCCCACATGGTATAAGTGATTGGTGACTTTTACTTCCCTGCCTCGACGCACGTACCTTGCATGTGACGCAGACATTCTCTCTCTACGGGATGTGTGCCCAGTGTCGGATAAAGCAATAAAAATAAAAATTCCCCAACCACATCCAATCGTCTTGCACATGTGCTTCATCCCTCCCGTGCACGTGGGCCCTTGTTTATCTGCCGTGGGGGCCTTTGTCGATCCCTGTTGTTATCCCCCTCTAGCCCGTATCCAGAATGGTACGTGTATGAATGCAAGCAGCTTCCCGTAGGTGGGCGGGCCATCTTTGGTTTTCTTAAAAAGCCGGGCCATCTGCACCCTGTTGATCTTGTGACCTCTCCTCATATACCTTACATTTATTTGACTGTTTTAGACTTGAGATTCTCGACAGTTATCGTTTTATCGGCAAAGTGGGGAGTCGGGAACAAAAGACCAACATGGATTGCAAAACATCCCACTTGCCGACATGGCAGGATAACAAAACCGCGGGCGAAAAGGCTGGTTTCGCTGGACATGATGAGAAATCGGTTCTTTTGAACGACGATACGAAGATCCAACAAACGATGGATATGCAGCAAATCTTTTCCGATCGCCTTATGCCCGTCGCTTTCGCTCTCCCGTGGGTGATGGGCATGTTGATTTCGTGGATCCCATTTACCAAGATCTCTCTCAACAACGCCCCCGATTTCCTGTACGTTCATCACCAAGGCTTCATCAGTGCGTGTCTAACAATTGTAGTATTCTCGCCGCTCTTATCAGCACCCTCGAGGTCCTCAGCATCGTCGCAGTCTTTATCTTCACGTCCCTCCGCCCCTCAATGCTCGACACCGAACCTGGCGCCAGCACGACGACTCTCAAGGAGAAATTCTTCCGCGCCTGGTTCTGGTTCTTATTCATCAGTCCATTTATTACAGGAACAATGGTTGTTTTGATGGCGAGCGACATTTCATGCGATCCGGAAGATCTGGATATGCATCAACCAATCTGCCAAGTAGGCATCCGTCTCATCAAAGCGACTGCTCTGTGTCGCGCTGGAATCATGTAAGACTCCCTTCAATTCAATTATTTGTCGGAGAATAAACTAACGTCTCATCAGTGCGACATTTCTGTTTGCTACATCTTCATATTTAGAACAACGACCTACGAAGCGCTGCACCGACTCGGACTCGGACTCTGCATGAGATAAAAATCTATGGCGTCATGATATTTTGTACAACGATACCCCAGAAAAGCATAAAATAAAACTCCAACCATTTTATTAAATAAACTTTATCCCAGTTTCAAGATTCCTCTACCGAAAACTTTCGGCGCCACTTGAGTATTTGTTTCTGATGACGTTCTGGTCTGTCTTTAGTGCTTGCTTGAGTATTTAGTGCTTTCTTGAGTGGGTTTTTAGTGCTATCTCGAATGCTTGCTTGTGCTCGGATGTCGCTCATGCGTTATCATTGAATGACGCCAGGGCCAAGCATTCTCCCCTCCCGAGATACCCGCTTCCCGAATCAATTCTCCCTATCGAGCGAGGGGGGGTTCCAACGCGTCGCTTTGCAATGCATGCGTCGATAGTTGAAGATCGTTTGCGTTGCGTTTTGCGTGGTGATACAATCCGCATCTCCCACTTTCCGGCAGTTGTCGTAAGCATTTCGCGTCGCACTGCAATTCGATCCAATCCAATCCAATCCAAAACTCTGTTTTAAGCATAGCCAGCTTTTTCAGCCCTCCGCATTTCCATCACGTTGCGCTTTGGCATGCAACCGAAGGAATTGAATGCAAGCGGGTGGCTCGCGTGCACTTTTTCTCTTCAGAGCTAGACCGCTAAAAGAGAGAGTGCAGTAATTAGCTGTGCCTCTTTTCGACAGTCCCTTTAACCTCGTTCAAGATGCGAATTCCTCGTTTATTCGTCTCGTTCGGTTGCTTCCGTACGTGGGCGTAGCGGGCAGGGCGCTACGCCCGATTGAATCTTATCTTCCGTCTTCCGAGGTTAATGCCTTGGCTTGCATCCCTGCTGCAGGTCTCATTTTATCAGGGACCGGGGATTGGTTAGACTTTGCAGTCAGCGCTGAATCAGCGCAACTCGGCGTCAATCAATTACACCGCATACAGACATATTCATCCAGTATGTGAATACATGATACCCTATGCCTAGACTTTATGAGAACATAATTGCGTTGTTGGTCTTGTCTTACGTACAACTCACCTTAAATAACTGGATAATTTCTCATCATGTGTAGGACGATCCCACAAATAATTTGCTCGGCGTTATCTGCCTGATTGTAAGGACGAATGAGAAATACACGCCGCAGGCCAAGAACACCTTTGATAAGGATTATTGGTATACGGCTGAAAGGCCCCCAATGCAACATGTCCGGTCGTTAGAATAGGCTTTTCGGGCCGCTCGGTTACAGAATGTCGTTTGTTCAATTTGTAGATTTCTTGCGTAACCAGGTTCAAGATATTAGCTCTTTAAAATTGAGAACTGAAATAAATTACAAAGTCTATATGCAAGTATGCGTCCAATCATGTTTCTATAACAAAGTGGAAAAAGCAAAAAGAGAATACATCCAAAAAAGGTCCCCTTGAAGTTGGGTCTTGGCAGCCAACGCCTTGGTATACAAGTGCAGTTCCCTTTTATCGCCCCCAATCTTTCAACCAATCGTAAAAATATATCCAGTCAAAACAATACCCTTCCTACTCCTTGCCAGCGAGCCCTTTTCGTCGTGTCTCGACAACCGTCAAAAACTTATCAAACGCCTTCATATCCCTCTCTTTCTCTTCGGAACTAACAGTCATAAAGTCCTTGCCATGCCCAGGACTATCAGTATAGGTATGACCGAAACCCTTGAAACCCTTGATATGCTCCACGTACGTGAAGACAGCGGCATTAGCCTGGGCAGCCTCAGGTCCATACCGTCGAATACCAGTGCCCGTGGTATGAGGTATAGGACACTCAAAGTGCTGGTGGTAGGTATCTCGGAATGGCTGGAAAATAGCCTCGTGCTCTTCTTCGACGTGCTCGTAAAAGTCCCCCTCGTAAGTTGGGTCAATCGCCTTCCAAGAACAGCTGTCATCCAAGTCCCAGCCTTGCCCGAGTTTGAAGACGCGGAGGTTGGGCATGGTATTGGCCCAGTGCTCAAAGATATGGTGCCAGCGAGTATGTGTATGGTAAGTTGAGCCCTCGCGCCAGGCATTGCTTTTTACCCACTGGGCCTTCTCTGGGCAAACCGAAACCGCAGTGGAGTTAGCCCGATTGCGATCCGAGTGCAAAACTGTGCACTCATCGAGATAAAGCTTCTCGATGCCAAGGGATCCGATCCACTCAACCTGCCACCATTGACTGAACTCAAATTGTCCCAGAGCGAGAACCTTGAGATTAGGCAGGTCGTTGGCACCAACCAGGCGGAAGTCCATGTTGGGAAACCATCCCCATGATTTCAAGAAAAACAGGGACAGGACCTGGAGATTGCCTGCGACCCTAAGAGAGAGCACTGTATCAAGGAGATCGTGGTGGACATCTTGGCAGCACTTCTGTGTATTGAGTTCAGCTGTGCTGATGCGTAGGTCCTTCAGAGCCCCCGAGTTCATGACAGATTGAAAAGAAAGCATCGCCTTGACACTACTGAAATCAACGAGATTCGAGATCGTCAGAGTCTTGAGAGGACGAGAGACCCCAGTTTTAGCCTGCTGACCAGACACCTCGGGAGAAGTGTTATTTGCAGTTGAGACTTGTGGCTGTGAGCTTATTCCGGCAGATAGAACCTCGGGAGAAGACGTGGTATCCCTGCCAATATAATTATGTACCTGCCAGGCCCCCTCCATGCAGCGAAACAGCATCTCCAGAAGTCGGTATTGCGTATTGTGATACATATGAAATCCATCACGTTCCAGGCGTATGTTGAGAGTGTCGAGCTTGGGAAACACGCAGATGGAAGGAATAGCTTCGAAGAACTTGTCCACGAGCTCCAGCCGTTTCTCTGTGGGAAAAGATCCTGTCCAAGTATCGCAGGTGACTTCTCGCACGTGACATCTCAGACGTGGCGTCATGGCGATGTTGAGGAAGCGCTGTGGCTCATCTCTATAAGCGCGGACGCGAATGGCGCGGAAGATGATGGGTGTGATGAGGCGGGAGAATGTGTGACTGACGAGACGAAGGTCGATGAGGGAGTATTTGTATATGTATTCCAGGATATGAGTCTGAAGCTCCTCGGGGAGGGTAGAGAGAGAAGGGGTAGACATGATGATGGTGATGAGAGAAGTCAAGATGTGAAATGAAGTTGAAAGTGAGGCTCAAATTAAAGTTGGTGAGTGCTTTGCGGAGAGTGACTGAAGTTGGTGTTTAGAGATAAGGCGATTGGCAGTGTCAACTCAAGTCAGATCCTCGGAAATATTAAGAAGGAAATAAAAGTTGGGACAGTTTTAGAACGAGCACGGGGTTATATAGCTAGAGGAATAAAAGAAACTTATATCTAATAGAAGGTTTATTTTTGAGTTGGTGAGACAAATGAGCGGATTTGAAGCATGACTGGCTATGATATTGCAAGGTTTGGAAATGCCAAAGTTTATGTTTGACCAGCAGATGAGATGTTTATAGCAGGATAATTTAGACATTTTTATCGAGAATGAAAGCTTGAAGGTCTCACGGTTTAGAGACAAGGCTCGGGAGTGGCGCTATGTGACCAAATCAACTAATAACATTAACAAGACGAAATAAAGAAAAAGAATAAGTAATCAAACGGAAAACGACAGGCTGTATTAGAATATGGTTTAAAAACATTTGACTTTATGTAAAAAAAAACTTCTTTTATTTCATGAGTCATATTCTCTTCAATAACTCTATTCTTCCTGATCAGCTCAATCATCCTTCGTCCAATGATACTTCGCAGCAGGATGATCAGCAGGTGGTCTAGCAACGCCCTTCTTCCCATACACATTCTCCCTGTACGTGCCCCCATCAACAGCATAATCCTCCCAAAACAAACCCCTTGCCCTCAAAACGGGTAACAAATCAGAGATGACCTCCTCAAAACTGGCTGGCATAAGAGCATAAGCCAGATTGAAACCATCGACGTCCGCTTCGTTGACCCAGCGCTCCATCTCATCTGCAATGCGCTCTGGTGTTCCTGCAACTGTGGCTCCCAAGCCACCAACCTTGATGTGATTCGCGACAGTGTGCTTTGTCCATTTCGGAACACCTGGGATTGACTTTGACCACGATTCCACTGCTGAGCGAATCGCGTTTGACTCAACGTATCGTAATTCCTCATCATCACCATACTGCGCAAGATCAATCCCCGTCCATCCCCCAAACAGCGCCAACGCACCGTCCTCGGAACCGTAGCTCACAAGCTCCTTATACTTAGCATCAGCCTCCTCCTGCGTCTTTCCAATAATTGGACAAAACATGGCCAAAAACTTGATCGTTTTGGGATCACGGCCGAACTGCTCTTTTGCTAGGGTTCGTATCTCAGCTATGTTCTTTGCTACAGTGACGGGGCTATGGCCAGCGACGAAAATGGCCTCGGCGTGCTTGGCGGCAAAGTTCTTTCCGGCTTTGGAAGTTCCGGCTTGGAGGATTAGGGGTGTGCGTTGGGGGGAGGGTTGACAGATGTGAGGGCCGGGCACGGTGTAGTATTTGCCTGAGTGGTTGATTAGGCGAACTAGAGAGGGGTCTGTGTAGATGCCCTTTTCACGGTCAAGTTTGACTGCGTCGTCTCGCCAGGATGATTGCCTAGTTTGTCAGTGAAAATCCAAAATGATGGTGAGTCACGTACCAAAGTTTATAAGTGACATCGACGTATTCTTCGGCGATGGCGTATCTCTCATCGTGGCTCGGCTGTTCAGTATGTCCGAGATTCCGAGCAGCAGAGTCAAGATATCCAGTTACGATATTCCAGCCGAGTCTCCCGCCAGTGAGATGGTCCACAGTGCTGAGTCTGCGGGCAAGATGATAAGGCTGCTCATAAGTGGTCGCCACGGTTACACCAAAGCCAATATTCTTAGTAGCTGCAGCCATAGCTGGCACGGTAGCTAGTGGTTCATTGACAGGCCACTGGGCGCCTGAGATGATGGCAGGATCTGGGTTGCGAGGTCCTTTGTAGACATCATAAGAACCCTAAGAATGTAAGCGATATGACAAGTGATGCAATGAGAGTAACTCACGAGAACATCAGCGATGAAAATACCATGAAACTTTCCCTTCTCAAGAAGTTGAGCTAATTTCACCCAGTGATTGATATTATTAAAATCCCACGATTTATCATCCGGATGTCTCCAAAGACCAGGCGATTGATGACCACTGCATGATTCAACAAAGGCGTTGATGATGAGCTGCTTTTTCGCCTCTTGTGAATGAGACATTTTGACTGCAAATCTGAGTGAGTGAGGGGTAAAGAATGAGTGAATGAGACTTTAGGTGAGTGTAATACACATATAAAGTGAAATGCGACATATAAAAGTGTTGCGCAATCGAGGGACCAGAATCGCGTGCTTGCGGAGATGGTGGGGCTGTACCTTGAGATCTACTTACATACATCAATTGCCGATATCAGATGGTGTGACGAGGCGAGACTAAACGCTATTTTCGGATAAATGGATGTGATAGACAGAGTGAAATGCCGCTCATATTTCATTCTGTGGCTTTGTCCTCTAACATGACAGTTGATTCGGTTTAGCTTACGCCTGACTTCCACTTTTGGTAATTCTCATGTTGTACAGCAGAACGCCTCCCTTATTTTCTTTTTCCTATGATGAGCAGGGACCGAGGGCCCGGGACTTTGTCGGTAAGGAATTGCCGAGATAAGCGTAGATCACGTCAGTTTGTAGGTGCAGGGTTTGGATATCACATCTCATCATTTTAGGGCGAAACACGCCACAGGGATGTATGGAGCACGGATAGATGTGGCAGGAAAATAAGACAGGACAGGGGGGACATAAAGATTATGCATATTTGTATCCATGGACTATGCGTTGCTTCTGTGTAACACGGAGTAAGCACCAGGCTGAGGTTGACTTAGTAAGAAAATGGACCACATCCCAATCTCACCATACCCAGGTTATTCATAGGTTGTAGGAACTAAACTAACTTAGGGCCTTTTTGTTTAGTAGCGAAATGACCAATTGAACAATATTGGAAATCTAGATAAAACTTGGCTCAATATACAAATGCAATAGTATAGAGGCTTGCTCCCTCCGCCTATCCAGTCGCCGAGTCTGGTGTCTCCAAGTTCATCGGAAATAAACCTGACTTTAAATCACTTGTCGCGGAATCGAATCCTTGTCCCATAAACCGGCCAGTGAATGCCGTCGTTGGGAACCCGGCGATACACTCTGAGAAAATATCAGTTTCTAGGACTACATTAGCAGATATGACCCAAGGCCGAATCGAAGAAAAAGGGGCCGCATAGCCAAAAACAAGACTTATTCGGGCCGCTTACCGTCGTATGTGTCCCAGGTAAACTGGTCAAGGGATATATCTGTGTCCTGACGCGTGTCGGCCATAGAATCAGCAAGAGGTTCACCAATCTCTTGTTCCTGGAGCCCTAGTCTGAGGCTCAGATAATCAATGGCTCGCCTAGCTTCCGTAGATACTGTGGTTGAGTTTAGCCAGAGGGGATACGCATTACGCAATAGACCGTGAATCTTTGTCCCTGTGCTCTCGTCCAGCGAAACATCCGGTCGTGACTTGGCCAGCTGTACATAATAACAAAGAATGCTCACGCCCAGCAAAAAAACTGCCCGCGGCCGCGAGGACAGGAGCATCCACCTAGCCCACCTTGCAGGGTATAGCAGTCCGTCTGCCTGCGTCTCCTCAAGCACTATCTGCTGGAACTCCAGAATCTTGATCGCGGCTTGGACACAAGCGTTGCGTGAGTACTGATAGCATGTCTGGGTATACGGCGGTGCGAGATACTTTCGGTGAAGCCAGATGGTAAGTCTCTGTATAGCGAGCTGGAGTAATACGCGATGCATGACGATCTCAGGTGCCACCATAAAAGATTGGCTAAGTGGTTGCCATTGAAATATTGGTGGTAGTGAAGCCTCAGCTGCTTGTAGCTTCCGGTCCAGTTCCATGATTTCTGTGTATGGATGCTCCTTGGTATCATTGACAAGATCGCTGACCAGTCCCATCATCTTATCTATTCTCCCCTTAGCCAAACTATACAGCACGCGCGTAACTTCAGTTTCGGGTCGCGAAGGAGGTAGCTCAGCCGTATTCTTGTCGAAATCCGAGTCCAGCAAGTTACGTGGCTCAGCTGTATCATACTGCTGCGACTTAAGCACACACGGCAATGCCATCTGGCTCGAGAGACGAAGATCCAACTGCACAATAACAGCCCACACGCGGCGCCGCATCTCACCAGAAAATGGTGTAATGCTTGGGAAGTTACTGGGATCTCGATGGTAGCCCTGACTTAGAGCGAGCTGGACGATTATACCTTGCACGAGCCACAGCCCGGTCTCATCGTCTTGGGACATGAACGACTCACAGATGAGATAATTAATCAAGGTTTCTAGCACATATTCTCCGCCTTTGGTATATTGGCCTAGGACAAGACTGTGGAGTGTCTGTTCACGGAAGAGACGCAGTCGTTCTTGAAATTCAGGATCCGTTGGGTCGTCGATCGAGTGTTGACATAGTGTAGCGACGCACATTACGCTGAAAAGGAGACCGATCCAAATGCATGACATGGCATGTGGATCCTGCCAGAATTTGTCATACTATTAAAGCAGTTAAAACTGTCATCTAACCAGGAGAGTGCTGGAAGGAGAGATAAAAGAAGGAGAAGAGTAGTAACCGTACCTCTTGCAGAAAATGTCCGCTGTGAAGGATGCTTGGCACAACGCCTTGTGTATTGAAGTATCTCGCGACCATGCGATCAACAACGGGCCGCGGTGGGATGGAAGCAAGAAGATCAGCTTTCGTGGTATGGACAGGCTCATACAGCAGTCTAGGTCCCGAGCTTTGGAGAAGTTCATGGTCGTTAATTGTCAGCATCCGGGCCTCTTCTTCCTCCTCGTAATGATCTCTGAGCTCCGAGATACTGTCGAGAACGGCGGCCCAATGGACGCTCCCCACGTAGGTAGCTCCGACACCGAGCGGATTCAGACGCATACTACCGGGCTCTGTGGGTGAGGGTGCGGGGGAGTCAGCAGTGCCATGTCTTTGCAATATAGACGCACGGTCAATAACTGGCACGAGAGTGTTCTCGTCGAGCGATACTTGAGGAACCTTGGAGACACTCTGCGGTGACTTGGCTTGAGACGAAAGGTCTCGAATAAGACCATTAGGATCAACACCGGGCGTACTTTCTTGCTGCGCAAGTAGGGTACGGACAAGCTCCTCGAGCTGCTGTATGCGATCGCCGACACTAACTTTGCTCTTCCCCTTACTCGGTCCGCCCAATTCGTAGGTGCATGATAAGCCGATTCCCCTATTTGTGCAGGTTCTACATGGCAGCTGACGGTCACATCGTACCCTGGGAGCTCATCGTTAGTCTGAAGACTTATTTATGTCACGAATGAATGAATTTACTTTCGGTTCCTACAAAAGGTACATGACAACAGCGGTTTCTCTCGCCGACGATCCCGAAGTTGAGGCAGCGAGTTTTTGATCACGGTACTGGACAGCTGATGCGGCTGGTTTGGTATTTCGGTATAGGCCGGTGGCTCAAGAGAATCCATAGAATACAAGTCTCGGTTCAGCTGCTATGAATAAAGAGAACGGTTGAGAACAAGAGCGGAAATTGGCATATGGAGGAGTCGATGGAGCAAAGTGGTAGCGGGTGTTCGGCAAAGGCGGGGCTATATCGGAGCATTCGACGGAGCATTTAACGGAGCATTTTACGGGTCAGTCAGAGGACGGTGCTAACATCCGCGCCCCACTATTGCACTTCTGGCTTTCCAGGATCGCTAAATGTCAATATCAGCAAATCTCATAATTGCTGCCTCCCATCGAGAAATTAGGGATAATTATAAAGACATTATAAGTCTGATATGAAGCTCTGACTATTTGACGTTGATAACATTTACGAGAGGCGTCTCTCGTTGTATTATTTTCTTTGATTTTGATTCGCTGGATGATCCGTCGCTAATAATGTCCAACAACGGAGCAAATCCGGGGCAAACAGGGTAACACAGCATGCCTAAATACTACGCGAGTTTTCTCTTAAAGCTGCCATAATCTGTTCCTCTATGAACAGATTAGTTGTTTTCTAACTTTCTCAATGTCAAGGAAGAGACAATAAAGCATAGGAATCAAACTTTTCATGTATCTCACTCCATGCCTACTAGTCTCAACCACGACACCACACAACAACGGGTATCAGACAACAATGCCGAAACGTCAAGCCAAGAGCGGTAACACTGTTTTCAGTGATGAAGCAAGCACGTCAGTTAGCTTAGATACTACGGTTAATGGTAACATTGGCCATGAAGGAGAACCAAAAATCGAAAAGCGAGGAGAAACAAGCTCTGACGATATCCATGCTGCAAATATGAACCCAGGCGCAGAAAAGGGTGCAATAGAAGCTGGCGAGATAGCCCCTACACCAGAACCCAACACCGTCGACTGGTCTGGCCCCAACGACCCTGAAAATCCACGTAACTGGTCCAAAGCCTACAAGTTGACCAACATTATAGTCATCAGCCTATCCGTCCTATACACCAACCTCGCAACCACAATGTTCGCCCCCGGCGCAGTTACCATGAAACGTGAATTCGGCTTCAAGAGCGACACAGTTGAAGTTCTGACTATCACCATGGCATCACTCGGTTTTGCACTCGGCCAGTTATTCATACCCCCCATGTCAGAGGTCTTTGGCCGCATGCCAATCTACCGCACGAGCTCAGTATTTTATATGGGTTTTACGGCTGGTTGTGCGAGGAGCACTAATGTTGCTGAGTTTTTGGTGTTTCGGCTTTTGACAGGCTTGGCTGCTGCGTCGTATATGTCTACGGGTGGAGGGACGGTGGCTGATCTTTTGCCGAAGGAGGAGAGGGGTGTTGCGATGGCTATTTTTACGGCTGGACCGCTTTTTGGCCCTGTATGTTTCCGTTTTGCTGTTTTGAGAATTTTGATAAGCTGACGGTGAGAATAGGTCCTTGGTCCTATCGTAGGAGGATTCGTTGTTGAGAATCTTGGATGGAGATGGTGTTTCTATCTCATTTTGATACTTGTAAGTTTGTATGTTTTGCCCCGTTTCTGGCGAAAGCTAACCAAGAACTTTTCTCTAGGCTGGCGTGGTCACAACCATCACCTTCTTGTTCATGCATGAAACAAGCTCTATCAACATCCTCAAATCCAAAGCTGCTCGACTTCGTAAAGAGACCGGCAATCCAAACCTCCGCGCCGCTGGTGATAAGCAGACTCCCGTCAAGCAGCTCGTGCTGCACGCCCTAACTCGACCGATGAAATTCCTCTTCACATCGCCAATTGTCGCTCTTATTTCATTATATATCGCCTTCAACTTTGGTGTAACCATGCTTCTCTTCGCCACATTTCCCACCGTCTACGAAAACACTTATCACTGGAGCATCAGTATTTCCGGCCTGGCGTACATTGGCGTTGGAGTTGGTTGCGCCATAGGTGTCATCACTTTTGCCAAGCTGAGTGATCGTCTGCTGAATGCTAAAGAGGGAAACTACCGCGCTGAACGACGGCTTATCATGATGATGTTTGTATCCCCAATGTTTCCGATCGGGTTATTTATCTACGGTTGGACCACTGAGTACAAAGTGCATTGGGTCGTGCCTATCATTGGCACTGCTATCTGTGGACCTGGAGCAGTTATCATCAATTCATCGTCGCAGACGTATATAATCGATATCTTTGGGCCTCAAGCAGCAGCATCAGCACTCGCGGCTATTACACTGCTTCGCAATCTGACAGGAGCTTTTCTGCCCCTTGCCGCACCGGCACTGTATGCAAACCTGGGTCTGGGCTGGGGGAATAGTGTGTTGGCCTTTATCACGGTTGGTTTTATACCTGTCCCCATTTGCTTTTATTTGTACGGTGCATCCCTTCGGAAAAGGTTCCCTGTCACGATCTGATGCAGAGAATTGGGCCGCAACCTTATTCCGAATTCTATTGTCTGGCACCAAACCATGCCATCCTGGTTCCATGATCCCTCTTTTTTGTTCAGGATTCTAATATTTATTATTTTTTATTTATTTATATACTGTATTGATTACAATCTTTAGCTATTTCCTTGCGTTTGGGCTAGAATTCATCGAACTAGTTAAGACATATAATAAGAAAATCATTTTAGATTTTCGTACAAGACAAAAATACATTTAATCACCAAGTGGTCCAATGCACGAGAGCAGAAGCAACAGTATTTGAGACACTTCTATTAATTGTTAATTAAGGTACTGAGGTGTATTGCTTAGTCATTCTGGATGGCATGCTTTGTGCCGCTCATCTCATCATTTTAGACCGAAACACGCCAATACCCCAGTCGAACCTTGATGACGCCAATCACGCAACAAAGTATCAGCTCATGGTATAGTCGCTGATAACCGCTTTGACATTGACACAATTACTGGAGAATGATCGCCATAGATAAATTGCTCAACTGCCGAGGTTAGCTTGAGCTGCAGACACTTTTACCCGTTTGTCCCTGCAGCTGTGATAACGACATACCCGATGTTGTACACGCAATGTGAGGTGCTATCTGCCTATATAGGCGGCATATTTCTCAAGTATTTCCCCTCCAGTCGTTATTCTTCATAGAGTCATATTGTCATTATACCAAACATTTCTCATCATGGCCGCCACTTTTGAGAGTTCCGACCCAGGTGTCTACAAGGAGTATGAAGCTCAGTGGTCCACTCTCCCCACTGACGCTGAGGGCTGGATCAAGCGTGCCAAAGATGTCGCTCAAGTCCTAGCAAAAGACGCTCCAGCTCGAGAGCGCGCAAACAAATCTCCCAAGGCTGAAGTCGCTCTTCTCAAGCACTCTGGTCTTCTCAAGATCCTCGGCCCAGCTAAGTATGGCGGTGGCGAACAGCCATGGAGTGTTGGTTTCAGAGCGATTCGCGAAGTCGCCAAGACAGATGGGTGAGTTCTATTTTACATATTATGAAATATTGAAGCTGATGAGTGATAGATCTGTTGGCATGCTTCTCGGCTACCATCTTGTCTGGTCCACAACCGCCAACGTAGTCGGAACTCCCGAGCAGGCAGACCGCACTCACAAGCTAATCATCTCAAACAACTACTTCGTCGGCGGTGCCGTGAACCCTCGCGACAACGATCTCAAGATCACTTCCAACGGAGACAAGATTGTTTTCAATGGTTTCAAGAACTTTAGCACCGGCGGTGTGATTTCAGACTTGACTGTTCTTGAGGGTGTTTACGGTGAGAAGGAAGAGCATATCTTTGCTATTGTTCCGACGCAGCAGCCTGGGATCCAGTTTAAGCATAACTGGGATAACGTTGGGCTGAGACTTACGGAGTCGGGGGGTGTTAATATTGAGAATGTTGAGGCGCCGTGGGGTGATGCGTTGGGATGGGATGTTGAGGCGAAGAAGCCTGATCCTAACATCCTGGCTATTCCTTTTACCAGCCTCTTCTTGCCAACGTGAGTTATTTGCATGTGCTACTGCTCTTTGGATTTACTAACATGTGTTATAGAATTCAACTCAACTTTGCCAATCTCTACCTCGGCATTGCAGCGGGTGCTCTTGAGTTTGCCAAGGAGTACACTCTCAAGAACACTCGCGCCTGGCCCTTCGGCGGCGATGTAAGTACCAACGCCCCCTAGCCAACAATTTCTAACAGATTCCCAGAACAAGGAGAAAGCAACAGACGAGTTCTACATCCTCTCCACCTACGGCAACTTCTTCGCCCACCTCCGCGCCACCGAAGCACTAGCCGAGAAAGTCAACGCTGAAGCTGACTCCCTCTACGCAAAGTATTCACAAGATCGTTCCGCCGTCACAGCCGAGCAACGCGGTGAGTTTGCCGAATGGGTTGCTAGTCTTAAGGTGGTCACTACAGACACTGGTCTCAAGATCACGTCGGGAGTGTTTGAAGTTACGGGCTCGAGGTCTACGGCTGCAAAGGTTGGTTTGGATAGGTTCTGGAGGGATTTGAGAACCCATACGCTGCATGATCCTGTGGCGTATAAGAATAGGGAGTTGGGGAGATATCTTTTGTTGGGAGAGTATCCTGAGCCTACTTGGTATACTTGAGATAGTTTTGGTAGCTTGACAGTCCGTAGGACAGTCACCGAGAACGCCATACCTTATCTAGTACTTAGGCCTAATGAGTATCGTATAAGAATGATTCAATTTGTCGATAATCAGCTGCTAGTCTCTCATACATCAGCATATAAGCCAATAGACGCTTGACCTCCCCGTCGTATAAGAATTAAAGATCACACCCAAGTTTTCAATCTACTATTTCCCAATCAGAGTCCTAAATAAACGAGGTTCTTTTCTTCCATGAACCAAACCTCAGATCCTTGCCTTGTTAGTCTCTGGACCCGCGTAAGCCTCAGTCTGACCAATCTTGGTCCAAGGAGCGAAAGCCTATTATTGAGTTAGTTTCAGAATTATCAAAATGAGTGAAGAGAGTACCCACGTTCTTAACATTGTGCAGAGTCGCAGCAAGTTCAGGAAAGTGTCGACACAAGACATCCTTCATCGTGTTATTCTGCACCCAATTGATACCCTCGCGAGTGTACACCTCAGGACACCAACCATCACCGGCAAGGAAGCGATCAGACTTGATGCGACGAGTGGCCATGAGGATAAACACTCGGAAGGCAGTATCACTGAAGCCAAAGCCCTTGGGCAGAGGCTCGCTGAGAGTACCGACGAGAAGATCAACCGCCTCAAGGTCGCCGTCGTAGACTTCTTCCAATTCACCAGCCAGCTTGGCATCGCCACCTGTGAGGTCAAGGAAGCTCTTTGCGGGTGCCATGTGAAATAGGCGTCTGAAAGCGTTGTAGCGAGGAACCCCGCGCTCACGATCACGAAGAATATCAATAGTTCCCAAGTCCAAGTGTCGACCCTGGGGAAAGTCCTTATCGCCTGGGATATTCAAGTCGCGTAGGAAATTGGGCATGTTATGGGCTCGGATGGCACCTGGGTAGTTGACGCCGAAGGAGTAAAAGACATCAGCAAAGGAAAGGCCGAGTCCTGATTTGTCTTCGTCGAAAGGCTTGCGAGCTGACGCGAAGGCAACCTCTTTGATGGGAAGTGTGCCCTTGTGTTGGCCGTCTTTGATGCTAAAGAATGCTACGTTGTCGGGGATGAGAGGGTGAAGACGGTAGACGGAGACGAATTCTTCTGTAAGGCAGTATGGGACGTTATCGTGATCGACGCCTGATCCAGGAATACCAGAAATGACTTCTGATTTGTTATCAAAGACACGACCAAAGACACGCCAGAGCTATCACCATCAGTTAGTAGCAATTCATCACTCAGAATCATAAGACATACCTTGTCGCCCAAAAGTCCCCACCAGTTCGCATTCATCCCAATCTGCAGCGCTGGATGTTGCAGAATACCAGGAGTCCACTCAACAGTATGAATCTTGGCCATGAGAGCACAATTGATAAGTCGCGCAGTATCAAAAATCTGATCACTAGACCAACTGGGATTCGAAAGATGAAGCTGCGTGGCGATAGCGTTATGCTCTAACGCGAATAGCGTATGAAGAAGTTCGAGTCCCAACCACCAATTCTGTCTGAACCCAGTCTTGGGAATACCGTCGTCTGATCGGGGGAGGAACTGCACGCCTTTCTCACGTGTGACATGGAGTTGACCGGGATATGATTCATCACACTTTGCCCTGAGAGCTTTTGTCTCGGCTTCAGTGGATCCGTAGATCTGAGAAGCATCCCACCAATGAGTGCACTCATTGGTATAAGCTGGTGTTTCGATATCTTGTTGTGAAAGAGGATCGTCTTTCCTTGTTCGAGGGATCTTCATGATGCGCTCTGACCATCTGTCGGCTTTGTCTAGAGGAATCTCAACGTCTTTGTCGCCGTTTGTGACGAGAGAGTGCTGTGCCCAATCGTGTACTTGGAACTGGATCCATGCTGCGGCGAGGAGATTGACGATCTCGGCGGGTTTGAACTGGCCTTCAGGTCTAGCAAGAATCTTTTCCGAAACAAGTCGTGGGTTTGGAGTAAGAAGTTCCTGTTGAGTGGGCGGCGCGGTATGATTTCTCGGAACATTTCGACCGAATCTCATACCAGCACATCCCATCTTTGGTTGAGCTAGGTCATTGAAATCGCCGTCTGAGTTCCTGCTTGCGATGAACTTTGAGTTCTTCATGGGGCAATCAGCCGCAGTACCCTGGAACTCTGCATTGGGGTAAGTGTCGTGAAGGTTCTTCTCGCGGAGTTCATATCGAAGAGCGAGGAGGTTGAAGACGCCGAGCCAGGTTGGGAGCTTGTGCCAGTGGACAAAGATGTTGACGAATTTCCAAAGACGAATGTAGACGGACTTGAAGATGGACTTGAGAGAGATCATGTTGAAGTGAGAGAGTCCAATGAGTAGTGTGACGATAGAGAAAGAAATAGCGAGAGACTCTTTACTGAGTATAGAAGCCATCGTGCGTGTGTCCCTCACATTTCAGTAGGATATCATGGTCGATTTATACCTGAATCTCAAGCATCGAGCTAGACAGAATACAGGCACATGCAAGTCATCCCTCCTGGTGATCTATCACCCGTTGGGCGAGAGGCGTCGTGCTAGGTATCACAGTATGTGACGACGCTTATTTGTTGACTCACAGACCTGTATCCCCTCCATTCCTTATTTTTCCGAGCCGCCCTCCTATCGTGAGCAAACACAGCGATGTTGCCTAGCCGAAGAGGGAAATGGCGTTTTACAAAGTGTAATATCGGTCACTGCCGAAGCTTAATGTAGGCAGTCACAAGAGTCTCGCCATACACCGTTTGGGCTGTGCAGTGCATGTGTTACTCACTGCAAGTGACCAAATCAGTGTATGAGTATTACAAACATGTGAAATCAAAAGAGGGGAGGTCATGTTTGTGTGGCGTTTGTTCAGCTTTCAATAGTTCAGCCCTGTGGCGGGAGCTAAGCGCGTATAGACCACGGACCATACCATTTTCACGACAAGATATGTGATAGTGTCCTAGAATATCAATAGCGTATTATTTTAGTACTAGAAATGATATTTTAGCGTTATATTCTATCCCGTGGCTGCAGCTGAAGATGCGATAGGTATTTGGTGGTTGAAGCTCGTTTCTCCCCCTTACGAAAACGTCGTGTTTGATTGGTTGATCAGGGTTCGGAGGTGAGACATGGCTATGCAGCTGAAAGCTGGACTACGCTTTGAGTAACCGTTCGCCGAGTTCTTTGGATTTATCTGCGATTGGAGTTTGACGCTCACGCGGCAGGACGTGAGATTGTGGGTGATGTCCATGGACAATGCTTGAAGAGTGTGTGATACGCAAAATGCAGGCTTTGCTGGTAGCCATGGTGATGAATAACAATTATGACAAATGTAGTATCAAAGTTCATGGCTTTCGAAATACCTGGAGTGAAGTATTGGACGGCTGACAAGTAAACTTACATATAGTAATTACATGATATGAAAGAATTATAAAAGTGATCCTCCTACCTTGCTTCTACCGCCTTCTCACTCCTTCTTCTCCTTCTCCCCCTTCTTATTCTTCGGGACTCTAACAAGCCAATACAACGCCAAAGCCGCAAAGACATTAAAGATGATGTAAACCCACATCAACCCGAAATTCCTCCACCGCTCATCATAATGCGACCGAACCCCGGCCAAGAACACATTACTGTCTCCGATAGTACAATACGTGCATGTACTATTACTGCTCTCATTCACAAGATATCCTCCCGCCTTCTTGATATAAGCCTGCATATACTCCCCGCACGTCTGACCCTTTGGCGGTGGAAAAACCACATATTCGTTCTGCGCACAGACAACTTCTGTATTCGCCACCGCAGTGGACAAGATGGCTGATATAAGGTATGTAAACGGACTGACGCGATACATCCAGATCCAAAACTTGGGGAAACTGTCTGGTGTTGCGAGAACACCGCAGAAGATGAGACACATCATGAAGAGCAGGTTGGCGATGTTTCCTCCTGTTTCAGCTGAGCTGCACCCCGCGATAATGAAATCGGTGAAGGTGCAGGTGAAGAGCATAAAAACGAGGAAGAGCAAGAACATGAGGGCGCCGCGCTCAGCTACGGCGTCGGTGGGTTCGGCGTTGCGGTATAGACCGATGGGGTAGTACCAGCAAAAGTACATGATCGCGGCCATGAGGGTGTTCCAGGGGATTTCGACGATGATTTGACTTAGGATGAAGACTTGCCAGCTGTACGTTTTGGAGGGTCGTTCTCTGACTTCATATAGATCTCGTTGGATGACAAAGTGCGGCATCTAGACAGTTAGCCTTAGTCATGTCAGATCAGATTTGAGGGAGTCCGGCTTACCTGTTGCTGCGTGAGCTGTCCAAAGACAGTCAGCACCTGAAAGATCGCAAACATCTGATTCTGCAGTCCAAGCGCCGTATTAGGCGCCTGATAAAACGAGAACCCAATAAACAACGCCACGAGCGTACACAGCGCGGCTTTCGAGTAGATATACGAAGGCGTTCTCCAATACTGCTCAAAAACCCTCGTCGTGACATACTTCAATTGCGTCGTAAACGTAGCAGCAAACTCATCATACAAATGCGGATCTTCATCCTGACTCTTCTCAACCTGATGATGAGACAATTCCAGCAAGTGTTTCTGAACTTCTGCAAACTCGGAGGAATCTTTCCAGATCTGCGGCCAGTCGAGACTCGTTTCAGAACCGGGTGCTGCGCCGATTACTTCGAGCATCCATTCTGCGGGGTTTGCTTCAGGCGGACACGGTTCTGCGCCGTGAGATTCGAAATAGCGAGTCATTGTGCGTGAATGATCGCCGATGTCTCCGAAATACACTGTTTTGCCTCCGCTGGCTAGGAAGAGTAGACGATCGAAGCGCTGGAAGAGCATGGCTGATGGTTGGTGGATGGTGCAGAGGATAGCTTGTCCACTACGAGCCAGCTTTTCCAACAGGTCCAGGATAGCCCATGAAGTCTGCGAGTCCAATCCAGAGGTAGGCTCATCAACAAACAATAAAACCGGCGGTTTGGCAGCGAGTTCAACACCAATCGTTAAGCGTTTCCGTTGTTCCACGTTTAAGCCCTCGCCCAAAACACCAACGACTGCTTCGGAATAGTCCTGCATATCAAGCATTTTGATGACTTCATCAACGTATGCGATCTTTTGCTTGACTGGAATGTGTTTTGGCTGACGCATTATGGCGGAGAAGTTGAGGGCTTCGCGGACTGTTGTTGTGGATAGGTGTAGATCTTGTTGCTGGACGTAGCCTGTTTTGCGCTGGAAGGAGGCGTCGCGGAGTTTGTCGTCGACGAGGATGTCGCCGTGGATGACGCCCATGCTTGTGCGGTCGGCGAGGCAGTCGAGGAGTGTTGTTTTGCCGGCTCCCGAGACGCCCTGAAATTGTTAGTGTTGAGAGGAAGAAAGCAGAAGGGGACGTACCATTAGGGCTGTCATTGTACCGGGCTTCACCCATCCTGCTACGTTATCAAGAATACGCCTGTTTTCACTCTTGATCTTGATATCATAGCAAACGTTGTTCCAGTGAAAGACACTCGTTGACTTGAAGTTTGACGGCTGTCCCTCTCCATAGCCTTCTTTCTCTGTGATGGCCACGCGACCAGCTGGCCTAGATTCAGCATCGACTATGTTCTTTGCAAGTCTGTGACCACGACGGAAAACAAGTACTTCTCCCTTTGATTTTTTCGCGCTGACGGCTTCCGCAAAAAACATGTACGTTGCAAGGAAAAGAAGCGTAAAAGCAATAACAATACCGACATTTCGCCACTTGTGCGCATGATAGTATGAAAACGAGAGGTTGATATATCTGTCCCCTGAAACCATAGGCTCACCCTGTACAGCACCAACAGTTGAACAAACGCGATTCTCAGGCGCTGCATCCGGATACGTAGGAATGAATAAGTTACACTCAAACTTGTGGTTATGAAATTCGTTCACCATAAGTGATTCGAATGCATACGCCAGCGGATTGACGTAGTTGATCCATCGGCACCAACCGAGCATATAGTCGATCTGGATAACGAAGCCCGTGAAGGTAACTAGTGCGAGGATGAGGAGAGCAGCAGGGACCATTGCTTGAGAGAGTGTCCGAGACGCAGAAGCAATTGTTCTGAAAATCATGGACATGCAGAGCGTGACGAGAAATGTGATGAAAAGGAAGAAGAAAAATGGACCGGGTTCTCTGCGGAGGTTGGTCATGAAGTAGAGTGTCAGATTGTACGTGAAGGCGTTGAGGATCTTGTATGGCATGTCGCAGAGCATAGAAGCCACTGCTTCAGACGATGGATGATACAGAGCGTAACGATCGTGCTTCTCGACGATAGGTCGTTGGGCGTACAACGTAAGAATCTAAGTTAGACTTGTTAGCCAAAGCTGCCGATAAGTCAAATGGCCGATGAGTGTACCTCAAGAGCACTAGAAAACGCATTAGACAAACAAGCCAAAAACAGCAAAGCCCCCCTCTGAAAAAAGCTCGACGTCGTCTGATTGATATTATAAAACACACTCCCCACAATCAGCGCCATGATGAAATTCCCAAACAACTGCGTCAGCGTGATAGTCGGATCCGTAACAAGCCGCTTGAACCCGCGCCAGACACACAGCTTCGTCTGTTGCCAGTAGCTCAACGTGTACGGACTCTTTTTTCGTTGGTTCTTAGCTTGCGCTGCGCGTCGATTCGCTCTAAACTCTTCTGCTTCAGGCCCATTTATCGGAAAATCGCGTTTATACTCTTCGATTTCTTGCTGTAGAAGAATATTGGCTTGGGAGGCTTTCCACGCTGCTGCGAATTCATCTGGTGTTCTCGGTGCGCGGTCTTCAAACCCTTTTCGAATAATTCGCTCTTGCGGACTTGTCATCGACGTCAAGAAATCAGGCACCGTCTGTCTGGCTGGACACTCAAACCCCAAATCTTCAAAATACCGCTTCGCTGCTTTCGTCCCACCAAAGAAAATCTGCCTTCCCTCATACAACACAACAACCTTGTCAAAAATATCATAAGCAGCCTGTGGGGCCTGATATATCGACACCATAGCCGCCGTGTCAGACATCTGCGTCTGCAACCTCAACGTCTTACAAAACTCCACCGCATTCGCCGAATCCAGACCTCTCGTGCTATTATCCCAGCACTGCAGCGGTGCGCCGCTGAGAGACGCTTCGGCGATGGTGACACGTTTGCGCTCGCCGCCGGACACGCCGCGGACGTACTCGTTCCCGACTTTTGTGTTTACCGTGTGGCTTATGCCGAACATGGCCATTACCACGTCGCGCGAGTGTGAGATGAAGGTCTCGCGGTCGATGCCGCCGGGGATAGAGCGTGGGGCGCGGGCGTGGGCGGCGAAGTCGAGGGTGTCGCCGACTGTGAGGTGGGGGAAGTGGACGTCTACTTCTGCGGTGTAGATTGCTTCTCCGCGATGGCGGGTGTGCATCTCGTGGGCGGTTATGCCTGGCGATGTTCAGCTAGTCCGAAATCTGAAGAGCTTGGTGACTTACCCCTGTAGTTGAAGTATGCATCATCGTTGATGTAAATACCACTCGTCTCACCGGAAATGGTCTTGAGATATGTTGAACAACCAGATCCAGGAGGTCCCAATACCACCAACATCTCTCCGCTCTTGACCACACCATCAAAGTCTCGAATGATGTCAATCCTAGTCTTTCCACACCCCATCAGCTGCCGCGGAAGTGAAGCAACGTCAAGCCAAATATTAGCCACATTCTTCTGATAATCTGTAGGCTGACCATATCCAAAAACGTTCAAGTTCTGATAACAAACACCTGCTTTGCGGTTGGTAAATCCAGTCTCACTATGCAATTTCGAAATGGCCTTTGCCCAAGCCAAAGCTCTAAACTTGTCGCTTCTGGGATTTAGTGGACTGTTTTCATCTGCTGTAAAGGGGTTGCCGCTGATAGCAGACATCTGACTCTGGTTGGTGTACTGGCGTGCCAAGTCGCGGACAATACTGTGTCTGCGCTCGAGCTCTGAGTCTTCTTCATCTTCTGTGGTGGACTTGGCTGGTGTTTCGTCCTTGGAAGCCATGTGGTCTTGAGAATAGTTGGTAGGAGTTGTGTCTGAACTGGGATTCACGGGTGTTTGAGGGTCATGAGTCGAAGTAGTAGTCTGATTGTTTGCTGTCACATTTGGTCCCAATCCAGGTAGTGGTGCTGGCTGGACGGAGGTTCCGCCCATATAAGTTGAGGCCATGCTGAATTTGCTTGATTTTTGTTTCTTCTGGAGTGCTATGGGGTATTTCGATCACTTGTGTACTAACACAGGCAGTATAGGCTGAGAGTTTGAGCTTCAGAAATCTAGTGATTGAGTTCAAGTGACTTGCATGCAAGTGGACTCATAATGATCTGATGTCCAATGCTGCAGCCTCTCACATCAACAGAATTTCCAATACGAGAAAAAACTGCAACGAAACGCTGGAAATAAAGCTTCAGTGTCGTGATAATGAACACATAAACCTCACAGACCTTTTAAGTCGGCCAAGCGGACTCTTGACAGACTGCGTCTTCCGAATCGCGTGTTCACCAGAATTATCCGTATCTCCAAGTTTCCCAATATCCTGGTCTGTCACCCCCTGGTCCTCGGGAAGTTGTGGAGAGCTCTCGGGATGCGTCTGGAGCCCGACTGCCCGAGTGTGGCACCCCCATGCACTTTGTTGCATGATCTACTACCCAATCGTCTTCACCCCAGTCCGGAGGGTTTTGAGTTTGGGCTATATGCTTTTAAAGTCGACATCGACATCTCATGAGATGCAAAGTTGGAGATCATTGTAAGAAAAAAGATAATTATCGTAAATTTTCACACGAGAATGTCGAGTCCTGCTTCGCATCGGGATGAGTCTACGGACTTGAGCCCTACAGTTACAAACACGTCGATGGATTCGGAGCCCAAGAAGGCGGGCAAGAGAGTGCTGTCATGTGTGCTCTGCCAACAGAGGAAAAAGAAATGCGATCGGAAGAGTCCGTGTTCGAATTGCATAAGGGTAATTCCCTCAATAAAACTGCGGGTAGAGTTGATACTGACGTTCTGATAGCTTAAAACAGTCTGCACTCCAAGTTTGCCAGCACCGCCAAGGAAGCGCAGACGCCCGAATCAAGATCTTCTGGAAAGGCTTGCGAGATGTGAAGAACTGCTGAGGCATTGCACTTGCATAAGACTTCCGACGCCAGAGCATAGTCCGCCAAATCAACGGGAGCAGTCACCTTTGAGCTTACACGATGGCGATGATTTGAAGAGGAAGAGAAGCAGAGAGCCGTCGCCTACGGGAGCAGATTGATGACAACTGGAATAGTCCTCTCACGGGAATCAGTTCTCTATGAAATATGGATGGCCTGGCGGTTCGTTATTTGACTTTAAAGGCTCCTGGTACGAGTTTCAAACATATTGTGAGACCAGTTCTCTTGCAGTTGGGTTTTGTCTTCATGGAGTTGAGGTCTTTCTTTGGGGATGGACCATCTGGCAGACATCGACGGACGACTTGCTTGCATTTATGACGATACCCAATTCTTTTCTTTCAATCTCTCAGTCTCTGAGATGCAATAATTATATCGCTCGATTCCTCTTTGCTAGGAAGATCAGATACTTATACAATCACCATCAAAAACCAACTCGCTCAAATACGCGACTTCTCGTTTAACATAGCGAAACCGAAATGCGAAAACATAAAAAACCTGGGGCCTTTGAGTTCTTCGGTCAGATCTGACCCTCCATCAGCAAAGCCATTACAGGGGTATGCTACAGGGGTCACCCGCTGAAGACCAATCAGTCGACAGCCCGCTTTTTCAAGGGTCGCAGGTGATCCATTGACGTGAGGAGGTCAGGCCAACCATAGCGTTGTCTTGACTGATTTGGTGGCGTGAGCTTAAAGGCAGTGGCCTGAGTTGGCCTACGGGGTTTGGGAGTGGTCCGCTTCCCGAATAGCTTCAGATTGGTTGATGCGTATTGGGGCTGGGATGGGATGGGTTGGGTGGTATTTGCGAGGCATTATGTGAGATTGACTCAGGATGTGTTGACATGAAACTTCTGCCATGGTGATTCTAATATCTAGATGAATAGTGTATCTCAGATGTTTGCCATTTAAGAAATATTTGTGCCCAGCCGCAGAATACCTAAGATCATACCCTGGCATCAACCCTTTATATATCCAAGCGAGGCGGCTATACGGATATACGCAAATAGAAACGCTTATTTCGATCCCGTCGATCCATTTCTTCAACGGCTAAATATAAGATCCACCTCCACAATGTCACATCACCAGCAACACACCACTTCATGAATCCTACGGACGGAGTCTCTCTCAAGTCCGTTTCCGGCCGATACCCCAGATTTCCAGAAATGGAAGATAGTCTGATGCCCGTCGGGCCTATTTACCGAAGAAAACCTGATGATGCGAAATGACATAATTTGTTTCAACGTCCAGGAAGATATGACTTCGATAATTTCAGTCGGATAAATTTATCAAGTTTTGCCAGACATGAACGTCTGAGAGACCCCGCGATCTATTGATGCTTAAAAATCTTTTCTCGTACTCGTCTTCACAAAGTTCCATCGTTATGTGTTTTGTTATCCATGTATTAATTAAGAGCTACCTTCCCGAGGCATAGGAGAGGGACTGCTGAATATCCAAGTTCTTAGCGTGCAGTATACTGAAGCATAAACATACATATAGTAAGGGAATTGTAGGGTTGTTTCTTTTGTTGCATAGTGACCCCTGTCCCTTAATTTCTACCTTGCCACATTTCCTACCTTAACTCCTTTGCCCCAATTCATATTATCTACTCAGCCTCTTCATGAATCTTTGTGATTTGACTGCCGCCTATAGCGTAAACAAGATATCCCTTTCCCCATATCAGCTTCTATCTACCCAGAGGATTTCCCGACGGTCCCTCATCAATCAACTTTGAGCGGTTTATTCAATAGCTGTCTCCCTTTTAGTTCCCCAGTCTTGCTCACTTTAGCTGTAAACTAGAGGCTTCTGCTTCAGTGGGTCGGCGCCCTTGTTGAGCTGTTACCACGTTTTGCATCGGGCTCAAGTAGAATCAGCCTTTGTATAACATCTCCAACAGTTTTGAGAAATCGAGAGTTGTTTGCCTTTGGCGGTGTACCTGGGCTGACTTGAGTGGAATCGGTGCTTTTGCTTCGCTCGTTTTGTTTAACTTTGGGACGTTTTTGTCTGACAATGCTTGTTCTCCGATGTCTCATGTCATCCTCAGGTGTAGATCTTGACTCAAAGGATTGATACTTCGAATGGTTCGCTTTCTTCTTGGCTGGTACCTTCGTTGTCACGGTGTCTTTCCATATTTCATCCAACATCTCGACGGATCCTCGTGGGCTAGCCCATCGTCGTTGTGCATGACCATGCTTCGCTTCAAGGGCAGCCAGGCTCTTTTGTAGATTAGACTCTCGAATGTTTGGGGCTTGGAGGCTTCCAACGAGGCTGCTGTCGAGTGGCTCATCCGAACCTATGCCAAAGGCTCGGTCAACACGGTTGATTTCTGTGACCTCAGGATGGTCTTTTATATCGACTACTTCCCTCTTATACGCCAAGCGTACACGCGCGGTAGGGCGACCCCCGATGGGAAGACTCTCGTCTTTTCTACCTTCGACGTATTCCTCGAGTAAAGCGGTCTGCGACATCGTGGCATTTGTCCTGAACGTTTCGGTAGTGACCGAAGGGCAACTTTTCAGCGCCGTTCCTTGTTATGATTTGTCTTGTTTTTGCCCAGTCACTGCCTCCTTCGTCGTAGCTTGCGGCCGTCGCCAGATTCTAGGCACCCGATTTTCTAAATCTTGATCTCCAGAATCTGGTGACATGTCGGATTCTCCAATGTCTGCTGGTTCGGCAGTTTTACAGCTGTCAAGGGTTTCGGAACTATCTACCCCTCTATCCGCAGTTCTCGGTAGGAACCGCAGACCCGTTAGGTCTATATATGACTTGTAGGGCATATGTGGCGACATTGAAGCACCTTGTTGGGTCGGCTCATAACTCAAGTCGATGAGATCATTAACCGGCTCTATGATCCCAGCGTTAGGTTTTCGGCCTGGAGAGTCGTCAAGGTCTCTGTATGGTAGCTCCCGCTTGCTTCTGGTTTGTGCTTGAGCAAGAGCTCGACGATAAGCTCGTGTGTTGATGAGCTCGTAGTCAAAGTCAAACTCAGTTACACTCATTTTGCTGTCCCGGTTCCCCCATTCCACATAGATGTCGTTGGCTGTTTCCTTGTCAAGGCAGCCAAGGATTGTATCACGGCAAGTCCAGTAGGTCGGTATGAGAGACCTTATGTCCTCTTTCGCAACGGTCAAAGCACTTTGTTTCTTGCCGACCAGGGCTTGAACCTCTCGTACTGAACTTCTTTGATGATGTCGTCAGTCTCGCCTTGGATATTTGGGGTTAGTCTTACAGGCTTAGAAGTTGAAGCAACAACAAGATACTTTCTCGTTTGCGATCAAGGCGCCCTAGTAGCTTTCTCATGTCGTCTTACTTCCATAACAGCATGAAACGAGCTCTCCAATCGTGCCGATTAAGAAGAAGCTCAAACTCCTGCTTGATGCACGCCAACGTCGCGCGACAGCCCTTGACTGCAATCGAGAAAACCTCTTCAATCTTGCATTGAGAGATTGCTTCTTGATTGTCCTGCAAGGCAACCTCGACACCCTGGAGTGCTTCCTGAATTAGTTGAGCCTCTTCGGCTAGATCTGATAGCGAGTCGGCTGCGTCGGCGATCGTGCCAACGATACTTTTGACCTCAATCGCGCATCTGTAGACAGTGGCAGCCAACGCGACTGAGGCGCTGGTGATGCTAAGAGGATCCATTTAACACCGGGAACAGCCTGCAGGGCTTGAAATAGATGAGTGTGGTCTCGTCAAATCACTCTCGCCGGAGCTTCCGACAATCTTGCTAACCTGATACAGTTGGACGCCTGTTGAGTGTTGACTCTGCGTATCCAGTTTCAACCTCCAAGGTGGCTGTGCAACCGAAAACAGAATGAGGGGTTAAGAGATATTAGATAAGAATTGATGTCTAGCGAGTCATAGGACTTGTTGCATTTCTAGCCAATACACTCTAAGTAGCGTTGAGCCGCAAGGTAGGACAACAGCCTGATTCAGTATGTATCGTTCTACGGTGCGCAATGGCAACAAGTCGCCAGCAGAGCATTCCAACATCAAAGCATGCTGATTGTATCAAACGACTGGGATCAAACCGTTGCTCATCAGGACGACTAGTGAAGTTGCCTTGTGAATGGGCTCGTTGTTAGGTACTTGCGCTAATTACGGTCTCATCCCCCTACACCATTGACCACAAGCCAAATCCTTGTCATCCACTGTCTGATTGTCCTTTTAACAGATCAGGCAGGGAGAATCGGGCCCGGAGCTGTCTCATCTTCGAGAAACACCTTCCGTTAAATTTGACATGAAAGACTACTGTGAAGACTCATTTCATATGACGCCAATTATCTCACAAAGTTCCAACCACTGCTCTCTGAAGCTCCTCACTAGAGATCGAAACTTGTGTCAGAGCTAAAATCATCCCTGCTAGGATCGACAGGGCCAGCTGGCTGCTCAACGTGCCTTGCTACCTGTACGAGATAACTTTGTACTCCCGATCTTCCCTGTCGGTGATTTTTATCCATTTTCCACGATTAGGTACTGGGGATCGATCCGCGTATGAAGACTCATGTTTTCACGACTATTTGTTGAGATGAGCTTAGCCTGTCAGGGCTTGCTTACGAGGTAGAAGAGGAAGATAGTCTACATAACGCGCGTGCAAACTCTAACGTTTCGTAGACAAGATACAACAATGCCTTTTCCACTTATGCCTTACCAGCAGCTCTAAATAACAGAGCTTTCACTGCCAGCCCACAGTTTTAGTTCTTTCCTGACTTTGATTCTAGTAGAGTACCTTTGGAGAATATGACAAGGATCTGCAAGATGTGCCCAGCTAAGAGTGGACTCCCTATATTAGCGCCTTTGCCAATGACGTGTGCTTATTTCGCTCTTCCTGGGCCTTGGCGACCTCTTCATGTGGTCTAGACGAGGCAATATTGTTGGGCAGGCTAGAATGAATTGAACTATTGATGTGAATGCAGGGAATAACGGTAACAAAATAGTATGTTCATTTTCACTATCACGGAGGATGAACTTGCTCAGCTCTAATCATTTGCAACCACCTCGTGCGTTAGCATCAGGCTATTCAAACTAAAGGGGCTGAAAGACCAAATAAGGACTCAGTCACTGTGTTTCAGCGGTGTCGAATCCCCGACGTTGCGTCGTATCACTCGGTTATCTTATCGCGTGGTTGGTTCTGATATAAAGAAAGCGTGGCAAGCTGACAACCCAGCAAGGGGCTGTGGTTCTTGGCAGTTTAGTTCATCCAATTGAACCGACCCGATGATACACAACCATCAAGGGACAGGAAACATAATTCCGCACATTTCCCCGAGTCTTCCGCTGTTGGAACCCAAGATCCTGGTTAGGCCGACAGTCCGACAGCCTGAGCCAATGGCACACTGCTACGACCTTGATGATTTTCAAGTTGTTGGCGGCTATACGGAGTACAGTGCGCTGTCAACAGCGGCCGACTGGTGATTCGAACAGCGCACCACCATTGTTGGAACGGAGTAAAGTTTGGAGTGTTGTCGGAGGATTAACTGGGTACTGTACGCGGAACTATAAAACCGCCATGATCCAGCCGCAGGTTCGCTTAGAATTGTGGCTTTGGACTATTGAAAGCCTTGGGCGACTGTCAACTCTAAACGAACCTCGTCATTCTCATCCCACACGCGGTGACGCGGCCAAACCTTTGAAGTAATTGTGAAAATGGTTAGTGTTTGAACTATATACACTATATTCAATATCCAGCAATGTCTACACGTCTACCGAGGGTGTTGCTGCACATCTTCTCAGATCTGCATTCGGAGTACCCCAGATCTTGGCGATTATCTCTGCGTTCCAAAACCCTTTGCATTAACAGTAGCACCTGTTGTGAACTGAAATAGCCTACCAAATGCCCGAAAAGCAACACATGTTCTGCCCGGCTAAAAGCCGTTAGCCCATCAGTTGTGGCTTTTTCACTCCTGATATTTTGGTGCTTATCTTTACCCTAGCCAAGAATTGATTAGGCCCAATGGGACACCATGCTGATATCTCCGATGGTTAAAGCCAAGGATAAAAGCATAATTAGCAGTAAACAACGTAGCAGCCAAGACAAGAACTATTTAAAAATCATGCAGCTCGATCAATAGTCCAATTCAGCCTTTCAGCTTTCGGAAGTCGGTGGGAGTCGCTCCGGATCATACGGTAAATGGATGCCAGGGCGTTTATACGATGTGAGAGTCACCAATGGCTCGTCCAGAGTCTGCTATATAAAGCACGGCAAGAGCCAGCATTTGTGGTACTGCATCCTCTCAAGCTACCTTACAGACATACACATAACTACCACAAAAACCATCACTATGCGCTTCTCAACCGTCGTTGCTACCGCTCTCGTGGCCTTCTCCAATGCCTCTCCCTGCCTTGCCGGTGCACCTGAGCCCGTCATCTGCGGCGGCAACGGCTACGTCGGTGCCACAGATACCCCATGGTACAAAAAGTCCCAGGCTGAGGGCACCATCGAGGGCTGCTTCAACTCCTGCACCGGCGGCTGCAAAGCCATCAGCTTCGATACCCAGTACAAGACGTGCTACTTCTACACCGCTGAAGTCTCCAAGATGCGCCTGTATCAGGTGACCAACTCGCCCATGACGTTCCACTACTTCGACCGAGCTTGCGTCGCGGACGCTGTGGGCAAGACCTGCGGAGCTACTGGCTACGTCGGGGCTACCAACACCCCCTGGTATAAGAAATCGCAGGCAGAGGGCAACATGAAGAACTGTCTTGATGCTTGCCGTGGTGGATGCAAGGCTGTTAGCTTTGATGTCAAGTACAAGACTTGCTACTTTTACACTGCTGAGGTCTCGAGCATGCAGCTTTACACTGTTTCTTCGCCCATGAGCTTCTACTACTTCGACCGAGCCTGTGGCTATGAGCCTGTCGAGGTTGTCCCTGTCTAGGCTGGTCATGTTACAGTTGAGACCTTGCCCAGCTGTCCTCGGCCCTTGTCTTTATTCTAGTGTTTGTTGTGTTGAGGCTGTGTTCAATAGGATGTTGGCGAGGGCCATAAGTCTACGTGCTACAATACCGGCTGCAAGTGATGTTGGTCATATGGGGTTGACATTCAATGTAAAATAAATCTTGACAATGATAAGGTAGATAATCATATTTACTATGCTCCTGATGAGATAGAAAGATATGTGTGACAAGCCTCTGAGACTTTTCACGCAGTAGATGTTAAACTACTAGGCAGCTCAAGGTTATTGCTAAATCACGACCTGTATTTGCCGAGGGGGGCCTATCGCGATGTGCACTTATATGGCACCGGCAGCTCGCTAGCGACCGTTTATCCGGATCCGAGATTCCAACGCTAGTGATGTAGCTTTGCACTAACAGACTGATGACCTGACAATAGGGAACCGAGATCTGACAAGTCAAGATTCCAGGGACAATCAACAAGAAAATGTAACCAACGAACATGGGCTGATGGTAACATATCTGAGGAGCCTTGATACCATCGGTTACAGGAGCCGATTCACCAGGTGATATTTGGTTCACAGATGGTCTCACCACGGACCTAAGAACAGACAGAACGATTTCTTGATTCTGGGTGTCTGTTTCGGACAGGATTCTCCAGCTTTGACCCGTGTTTTCCAAAGAGCCAGGGATATTTATCTTCACTAGTATTCCCAGTATTTGCATGGAGACTGGAGAGTTGCTTTAGGACTTCTCCTACACGCTCGGGTGTCCATGGTTGCAGGGGAGTCCCGAATATAGATTCACTTGATACATCTAACATGATGAAGATGCCTTGCCCGTTCACGGTATCTGTACCCGCGAACCAGATCCTGGAAAGAAGCATCGTCGTCTGGGGAGCGACATGATAGTAGAATTCAGTCTCACGGCGATACGTAAGCAACATCTGAGGAACAGTCTCACGAATCACCGGGTTGAACCCCCCCTTGAGCACAGCCCTCTTAGGAATCTCAGTCTCGACACCATCGCCAAAGACGATATCCATAAAGACTTTCGAAGAAGTGCCGTGTATAATAGAACTAATCTTAAAGTTCTTCACAGTAACGCCAAGAGCTTCTGATAGCCACTAAAAAGTAATCTTGTCCGGGGTTAACGGCAGCGGCCTTTCGCTGTTGAATTTACTCCTCGGAGCCTGAGATCCCATGGCAAGGGAGTTGGACATAATGATCAAGTGTTTAAACGAAGGATACGAGGAGTGAAAGTGGTGTTGCTTTCTTGTTGCATCAGCCAGTGACGTGGATTATATACCCTTGTCGGGCCCTCATTGCAACCCATTCTGAGAAACCTGATCTGCAAGGGCTATTCCCGCGTGACACACTGTGTTTCAGAGGAAATTCAGATCAATTGCCAGGTATGTGACCATCGCTAGAGTGAAGTTAATTACATCTCACTTTGTTCATTTTACGTTTCACGTATAATTGTTCTAATTATCTTGGTCTCACCTCTGTTAGACTATACCTGTTACAGAGCTCGCGAAGCTTTCGTAACATGGGCTGTCATTATTTCTGTCGATGTAGTTCTGGAAAGCTGGAGAGATACATATCCTGTAAGTCGAACAGCATAAGTGTGGCTAAGTGAGACAGAAGAGAGCTGGGCAGCCTCGACTAAAGAGGCGACTGTATTTGCTTCATGATGCAAGGCCTTGGTCTTCTGCCCAAACCACAAGGCCTAATTCTAGACTATTCTGATCCTTCTCTTCTTCTCACTTTGAAATCTTAGTCCTCTCCTCACGTCATTGGCAATCCATCCTGCCCCAACCCTGGTATATGTGTCGGCAGGTCCTTCGAGACACGGTTCCAAGACGATAAAGTACTGCTCATACTGTACCTCCTTGTCATGCGGCCAAACAAGATACTTCCTAGTCAAATAGACAGCGAAAAGAGGGCCTGCATCCTGGCTGGGGATATTACCATCGTCAAACAGTATGTATGGATAACTGTCATAATAGTCGACAGAACTGTCCGGTTCGATATCGGAGTACCAACTCGTGTGTTCCTCTTCGTGATCGGTTATTTCAAGTCCTTTAGCAGCTTGATCTTCATCCTGCTCATTTGTTTCCGACTCTGTGGTTGATGTATCACTATCTCGGCGGAAAATGTTAGTTCTGGACCTCTCCGTAGTTGGATCCCAGTCCGCTGGATGGAGCTTCATTACTGTCCCATCAGTAATAACGACCACGTCATCCTCGAAAAACACGTCTCCGCAATCTATTTTGTCTCTTTCGTCTCTATAGGGGCCGGTCATACTCCAGTCCTTAAAGAACTGGATGCTGGACGTTCTTGAAACCCAAGACCAAGAGGGAGCCGGGATGGGACTTTGATCCGGCCGCGCAGCGTGCGATTCCGGACATACTAGCCACAGCAACTGGGTCTGCAGGTCTTTCTCAAACATACCAAACTTGTAAACAGTATGGTCTCTTTTCTGAACTTCAGTTCGGATCCCATCGAGTGAGATGAGTCTGTCTGTGAAGTAAGTGAGGTTGCGGGATGAATGAGTCTGGATTAAAGACCACCAGTCCGAAAGTTCACTTCGGTGCGAAATTTCGTTGACGCCGCTTGGTGGCGATCGAATCGTCCTACAGGACCATACTATTCCTTCGCGTGTGTAGAAAACAATTCGTCTCGCCAATATCCATTCTTGCGTGATCCACGCCCTAGTGGATAAAAGACTTTTGTTCTCATCCGGATCTTGGAATGTTTCCTCGCTCCAATCACCGGCATACAACGATCCTAGCGGTTCTCCGGAGGGTTGAACATATGGGATCTTGACAATCTCTAGTCTCGGCGATCTTGCGGACTCAATGAAACAACCCTCGGTGGAATCGCGCGCATCGGCAGCGGCGACGACTAGATAAGCATTCTCGTAGACAGAGCCCATCTTCTCCGATTCGCGCAACCACTCTTCGTGGTCTCCCTGAACGATGCATAAGGAGTCAATCCAGAGATATCGTAGGCCAATCTCTCTGGTAATTTCCATTGCGTGTTGAAAGGTTTTCGGAAACTTATCCCATGGGATCCCCTCCAAATGGCGTTCAAGATTATCCTTCGTAGTTAAGAGAGGCTTGTTAGTGCCCCAGCAGTGACTAAGGGCAACGAAGTCGCCACTGGAGCCGTTTGTGTAGATGAGACGAGGGCTTTAACTGGAACCCTTGGGCCCTATATCAATGACACGAGTCGGCATGGTGGGCTTCTCGTTTGGATTAAGAGTTGCTCCGGCGATGGTCTTCATGCACTTGGCATGATCATCTTGACAGGCCGTAATAAATGTGTTTAGACGTGAAAAGGCTAGAGAGCTCCCAGTATATTCAATAGGGAGCCTAGTAGTAATGTCTCTAAAGGTGTGAGGGCTGTCTTTTTCTACTCGTCAGCATTATGTGCCTGCTTGCAGAAGCTGATGGAAACAAACCATCATCGGTGTAGAACCGGATACAAAAAGACATGTACCCATCTCGCAGAGGGTCAACCTTTTTATCATCGACCGGTATCCAAACCTGCATTCCATCCAACTTTGCGCACCACTCATCACTATATGGGAAGTTGTGGCGACGGCCACGGTCAAGTCGGGGACCCAGGAAGATGGGTGTCTCTTTGACGCAACCCCACGGGTCCTTTGTGGCGTGAACTAAGCGAAAGTGTTCGCAAAATTCGCGTGCCATGAGGGAACACAGCGTGCAAGCCTCAGCCGAGGATTTGAGGCTACGCGCATTCCGAAGATGCACCATTCCGCGATCGTCAGAGATGTCGCGGTTGACAAGAGAGTAACTAGACCAGCAGTAAGGAGGAGCGCTCAGCTTCTCCCTGAGGGAGGATGAAGAGATATTCCGACATGCCTCGCAGACATTTGGCTCTTGGTCAGACGTAGCGGAATAGCCATAACTGGCGGGTGTGTTTTCTTCGAGGAACTTGGCCATATTGCTTGGTTGCTTTAGTGGCGTTTCACAATATGTTTGAAGAGGATGGGAAGAAAAGAAAAGTACATAATGAATACAACACATACATATAGTGTTCAGAAGTTGGGCATCAATCAACCACGGAACCACCGGCAGCACACCTGTCGTAGAGCAAGTCCAAGCCCAGCTGAACAACCACCAGACTATATTCAAGGATCACAATTGGCCGACGCACGGGCTTTCTATGTTGCGTTGTCATAAGCGGCTGAGCTACCCCGGCAGAACTCAGCCCGCCACGGTCTGCGTTATGAGGTGTTTATTGATACCCATGACCATTTGGGTGCCTAGCTAGCATTGCCATGCCTCTACATGATTCCCATTGCATGCGCTTAGTGATGCATCGACCGTTGCACCACCAGCTCCCCGCCTCGGTCTGAAATCCAGGTCCTTGAGGTTTGTCTCCGAATAACTTGGTATGAGTTGATTTCCTGAGCTGACGACGATTTGGAGTAGCTCAAGGTTATATCTCGGCAGTTGAAACATGTTCCATTGATAAAATGGCGGATGTAACTCCTGGCCGCATCTGACAAGGGTGAACCAACGAATTTATTACATACGTACAAGTTACAACTGACCGGGTCTCTGACTAGACAGGAAATCTGTTTATCAGAGAGTCGAAACGAAACCCCAGGAGTGAGTAATGCTTGGGTTGATATCGGGCTCAGGTGGCTAGGTGCTGGCATTGATCGCCATGAGATCTGCGCAAGTATCTACTTTTGACTACGATACAGGGAAATACTAACCGTCGCCGTAGTGTTCTGGTCGCGTCCATCGTCCGAGCTCCTTACGTTCATATCATGGCCACCAATCCCGACTTCACCCAGAAACAAGCCGAAGCTGGTGTATGGTCCTTGGTCGAACTCAACATGGGCATTGTATGCAACAACCTGATGCGGCTGAAGCCGTTCCTCAGAACATACCTTCCCAGAGTCTTGACCTTTCTCGGTCTCACAGCCAAGTCGAAGCAGCAAGGAGAGATTCAATCCAAATCCAGCGGGAACTGGGGGAGCAGACCCTCGCACAGCTACCAGCTGAATAGTCTAGAGCATGACGACCCCCATCACAGCAGTTTTAGAAAGGAGCCTTCGGTTGATGAGACTGGTTTTGGGGACTCGGATAAGGAGCCATCACGCCATAATGGGAGCACTGATGATATACTTAGATCATCACGATACCCTTCGTTACATAAACTTCAGAAACTATGTACAAGAATTCATCGAGGCATCCCGATAGAAGCATCGATCAACCACGCTTTCCGATAACGCAACGGTCTTTAAATGGTCCGAAACATGCAAATACTCAACTCCATACCCTCGTCGACGCAGAAGCCCATCATTGAGCTTGAGCTGCGTAGCTAAGACAGACGCTCTGCCTAGGGAAGTTCCCAAGGCTAACTGTCCAGCAATCTATCCCTTCGCGTGTGAGGCGCGTGATGTGAGCCATCAGCTGTGGGGACTATCAACTTAAAATAACACTCTTATCAAAGTCAGTCCGGGCAGTATACCAGCTACCCAACACAATGGCCCAAGATAAGCTTTGCAAGCCTATGTAATCCCTTCTCGCGTCCACCGCGAACGACAATTAATGGTGCCGTCAAGATCAAAACAGACAACGGTAGAAAGGCCTTGTTGACTTGCGTTGGTGATTTGATCAGGCTCTATGATACCATCTTGTCCCCCTCTTCCAATATGTCCCGGCTGAGATGCAGGAAGTGCAAGGCTTCGACCAGTTGTGGACACCCTGACCTACGACCTCGGCGGTAATGACGTTACAGGTGAACCAGCACCCAGTCTTCATCGAGAACGCGCGGGAAAGGGTTGAGTGACCACATAGAAAGTGGTTTGTGTTCATGACCCAGACGCACATTGTGAGTTTTTAGTGAAGTCTGTTTGAAGGGCCAAAGGCTGGACGTGAGGAGGGTGAGAAATTGCAGCTGCACAGGTTGAAGTAACAGGCAATAGGCAGGCAGATTCAGCTGTTGGCTATATCGCCTAGAAGTGGGTTATCATCGGTGTCGCTCTGGAAAGCTTGAAATGTGAGAAGCAATAATCGAGATGGGTAATTGCGAGGAAGTGAGGCTAGTTATCTAGGTCGCAACGGTGGCGTATTGCAGACGAAGTCAGGCCTGATGACTCTCTCACATGCACGGTTTCACACCGAGACCTGACTGAGTCTGACCAACGTGTTGCTCGAACTGCAGGCTCAAGAAACAAGGGGTTTGAAAAGGATGTCCAAAGTGTAATGCAGTACAACCATCACATCAGAAGTCGCGAATCTGACTGCTCACGACTACTCCTTCGGAATAATTCTTCCGGAACAAAAGCAAAGAGCTGACTTTTCACCGTATTCCATATTAGGAAGGTTTTATCATATCATGCTTACTGCTGACGTTCTCCAGAGCCTCGTTAGACATAATCGCTCTTATTGGCTGTTGTTCCCATACGACAAATAATCCATGTTTATAGGTAAGCAGGGCGAAATCCTACAGGTCGAATTGATGTCCACGTAAGACGTGATGGGTTCAGGATTGCTGCTGTGCCGCTTGACAGCCCGAAAATGCAGATTGATAACTGAGAGGTTGGAGAAACGTTAATTCAGCTGCTTGTTTGGTCATGAGCTGAGAATCCTACAGATGCCGTGAATACTCATTAACTGAGTGGGGTTGCTTCACTCGAGAAGTAGGACACCATGTCAGCATCGCTTCCAGAATGAGGCCTCGCTCAATTAACCGAGACATACAATGCAGTCTTTCCTGATTGATACTGATATTAGTCTTAAAGGCCCCCACAGCTGCCTGCTGTCTACTGACATATGATTGCAGCCTCACTCCATCGCTATAGCCTATCTGCAACGTAGCTATAATGTTGGTATGGTATGATCTGATGATAAGTCGTCAATATTATAACCCGAAAGCGTTTTTTCTTGAGAATGCGAGCCCAGGTCAGGCGGCATGGTCCTGTCGCTCTGATGAGAAGTTAGCCGAAGGCCTCTACAGTTCGGCGAAATCATACTGACTGCGACGCCTCTCGGCCATTACATCAAGTGCCTGAACTTCGTTCATATAGCAAAAGAATGTGTAATTTCATAAATAAACCAGGCCTTGACAGAGGGAGATATAGCTAGCGACGTAAGGATTAGCAGCAGGACAACGATAGCGCAGAGTGACTTTTAGAGTCACAGAGCAAGGATCGGTTTCCGAGAAAAGATACTAAAATCTCCAATTAATTACTATTCAATTCAATTCTATAAACTTCTAATCATCTAATCCATCTAGATATTGGATATCAACGCTAACATCTAAACGCGCCGCAAGGCATACCATAATTCGAACTTTTTCGACCATCTTGGATTACATTCGTCTATTTGTTGGAGGACTTAGGCTTCCACAGGATCCAAGCGAAAGTGATGCACAACTTAAGGAACGCTGCGATCCAAAGAGCTCCAGCAAATCCCACCCAAGACTTGGACAGAAAACCACCGGAAACAGCACCGGCGAAGAGAAGTACAGCTCCAGTAGCTCTTCGGTTTCGATCGGCATTGTCATTGATAGGTGCAGTGAAGAGCTTTGCGTCACTCATCATGTCGCAGTACAGACTTGTCAGGACAATCGTAGGCATGGCATTGTACTTGAGGACGCGACTAGCGACGATCTGGCCTGCGCTCTGGAAAGCGAGGATGATGATGGCAGCGTAGTCAGTTGCTGGGAATGAGTCCTGGACTCTCTCGATGATCCAGCCATTCTCGTGCACTGTTTCCCGACCGTGGGGATGGTTATAAACAGCGCCGGTCGTAGCGAGGATAGCGACAAGACCGGTGAGAAGAGCTTGGATAAGGAATGACGTGATAAGTACCCAGCGCTTCTGAGGTCCGAAAAATCGGTGGAAACTTGAGAAGAACAGAGCGCCAATGGCGAAGCAGACAATGGCGAGAAAACAGCGAGACCATGCTTTTCCAGGAAGATTTTCTGGTTGATGACTGACGCCTAGGCCAACAAAGATTGTGTTTCCTGTAGGATGTGAGTTTGAGGCTTGAGATGTGAATTGAGGGATATGAACTGACCTGTTTGCATACTGACGAAACAGCCGTACATGTTGAACGCGGCGCTGTCAACGAGACCAGCCACGAAAAAGCAAATGAGCAGCAGAATATCGCCCCATTTCGTATCAATCTCCGTCGTGAATCTGCTGGCCACAGGGCTCTTTGTCTCTCCCTTTGGCCCAGCTTCCGGGTTATCGCTACCAGAGTCGGGCATGTTGGCCGAGATGCCGGAAATTTCGGAGGAACTGCCGAAATGTATTTCCTCTCAAAAAAGTCGTTTCCAACGTCGACCGTTGCAATCCAACGGCGCAGATGAGGTTGCGCTTATGACGTCTTTGAAAAAGCGAGAATATTTGTAGTCGACGCCTCGAAAAGTTATTTTAAAGGGAGAGAAGAAAAAAAAAGAGTCACTCCTTTAATCGGGATGACGTGCTGGTTTGGGCCCACTATTATTCGGAGCGAAAATTGTCTGGGCTGAAAGAGAAAAAAAGAAGAGAAAAAGAGATTGGGATCCGGCGATTTCGGCTCTGAATTGCTTCGCCAAGAAGAGTGCACAGACGATGCGTACGTGGACTAGTCTGGGCAAAATATTGTTAATGTGCTCTGTCTTAGTGGATAAATCGAATTATATATAAAAAGAATTGTTATTTATGTAGGCCAAGGTCACAGCCTTATCTTTCAATACTTGTAATATTTAGTGCAGTGAAATCATTCTTTAGATAGCAAAAAAGAAGAGGTGCCAAGGTGCACTGCCTCGGATCAATGGGGCGCCTTCTATTGACAAAACAATACCAAGAATCGCGTATTGCCAAGCCGGCACTTGGCTTCCCATGCCGAGATGACTTTTTCTAGGCATTGAAAGACCGCATGTTTTGCCAAGAAGAAGGAGTATCAAGGAGACGATAAAGGGTTTGTGAGTAAGCTCCTTGTCTTGTGGCTGTTCCAGAAAACTAAGATTCCCTGGCGTACTGTTTAAAGAAGAGTGCATTTGAGTCAATCTGCGACTTCCAGAAGCTCAACAGAATAGTTGAATTAATCAATGCAATTTAGCCCTAGCTTGAGAAAGAACTCTATTCTATGAGACCCGTCGTATCTCAATTGATGACTGCGTTTCCATCGCAGCCATGGGATATCAATTTATGTTCTTGATTATCGACTTACCCTACATGACTGCTGTGGCGTTCTAGCTCTTTGAATAGGCAATATTTAAGTGCATTAAGCGATAAGGAGAATTGACCCTCCGGGCCATAGCCTTGAATGTCCATTATCTGCATTGCAACATTTCTTACGGCTACTGGCTTGTTTTCAACGAAGAAGGAATTGATTGACTGACATCTCGTAGAAGCAAGCCACATGTGGCGCAGCACCCCAGCACAAATGTTTGGCGGAGACAAAATTTAGAGGCGGATTTTCACACTCTGCACATCAACTCATAAGCCTCTCACCATGTCGAACCCTGCAAACTCACAACCCGATAGCTTAATACAAGCTGAAAAATGCAAAGAATACTGGGAGTCCGTTGATTCCGACAATAATGGAATGCTTGGTGGCGTTTTATCCGTCATGCCGTCCGTTTCCCGCATTGATCTCCAAGGCTCGCGAACCTTCCTTGCCAGGTTAGGAATAGGAATCAAGAGTGGTAGACAGAGGATACCAAGGGTTCTTGAGGGTGGAGCGGGGTGAGTGCTCTTATCTGACGGTTTAGAGGGATTTTGCTGATGGGGTTCTGGATAGAATTGGTAGGATCACAGAAGGGCTGCTTCTCAAGGTTGCAGATCAAGTTGACGTCGTTGAGCCCGTGGTCAAATTCACAGAAACCCTACGTGGAAAGCCCGGCGTAGGAGAAATACACAACGTTGGTCTTGAGAAATGGGAACCTAGCGAGGGAGCCGTATACGATCTTATCTGGGTCCAATGGTGCATAGGACATCTCAACGACGAGGAGTTACTGCAGTTCTTGGAGAGGTGCAAATCTGTGCTGGAGAAGGAGCATGGTCTTATTGTGTTCAAAGAGAACTTGAGCACCTGGGGTCAGGATAAGTTTGATGAGCTTGACGGTAGCGTGACAAGGTAAAAACTGTGGCTTAAGTTCTGGGGTTTATAACTGACGAGTCATAGGGAGGATGAGAAGTTCCAACAGCTTTTCAAGAGAGCAGGGCTGAAGCTGGTGAAATCGGATATGCAGCGTGGATTCCCGGTTGTGAAGAATCGCCAGCTTCTCCCGTTGAAGATGTATGCTCTTCGACCGGAGCAATAAATCACAGCAGCGTTTTCTCTCGGCTATATCATTTCGGCGAACGGAGTCGGCGTCTATGAGGATTTGAGGTGTATAGGGCAGATTAGAAATGCAATTAATTGGCTCGATAAGTCTCAGATGTTGATTCGTCATATTCTTGAAGCCACAACGTCAGAGATCCTGCCAAGCCAACAGCTTAAACGCGACAACCGCGATTCTAAACCAGCGATTGGCCATATGCGAAGCGCAACCAACCAACAGGTGTTTCAGCACAACGGTCATTGTCCCTTTGGCTTCAAAGCATACATCTTCACCGGCAGCAACGATTTCGGAAATCCGTTCTGCAAGTCAGCTCGTATAACTTCCAATCCCGCCTTTTCAAAAATCGCTCTAAAGCCCTCATCCGTCCTACTCTCATCATCAGCATAAATCCTATACTTGCACAAAATCGCAAACATACCTTGTTACACTGCTGTCAACTTCATCATACGTATCTTCTCCCGAAGTGCTCAGATTCTCCTTGACTATAATAATCCCCAGCGGAGCTAAAGCAGCAGCGCACCGCTCAAGATATTGAACGAGCATAACATCGGGTATTTGACCTGCACACCATTGCGTCCAGATCAAATCATACTGTTCGTCTTTTGGCTTCCACTCCTGCAAGCCAATGTTGTGAATCTGGCCAACACCGGGTGTATCTACCAAACCAGCGGTGAACTTAGCAACGGGTTCAATGATATCCACCGTCTCAGCGACATCGAGCAGCAAGCCTTTAGTGATTCTACCAATTCTACACAAAACAGTCAGCGAAGTATAAAATTATATGTTTAAAGATTTACTAACCCAGCTCCGCCTTCTAGCGCTCTTGGGACCCGAGGCTTGCCAATCCCCAACTTGGCAAGAAAGGACCGCGAGCCCTGTAAGTCGATCCTGGACACGGAGGGAAAACCGCCCAGCATGCCGTCGACGCTAGGGGCGACGTTTTGCCAGTAGTTCATCGCCTCGTCCATTGATATCAATGAATCGGGGAGTGGATGTTGGACCATGTTGAAGGTTGGTGTCTGCAGTTGGAAAGGTTATAGTGGCTCAAGGCATGATTTTGTCGTACTGTCGGTTGAGCCGGCTTATAAATAGCAGAGGTTAAAAATGCCTGAGGCAAGGGTTGACTAAATATACTCCACTTAGGAGGAAGCGAGGCCTAGACTCACCGACAGATGGGGACTAAATACCTCTTGCACCATGGAGTTGGAGGAAGGAAGTTTTGTCTTTGAGTGCTATTACATGAGATTAGGTAGGACTCGAGAGTAAGGCCAGAAGCGTCGAGGTTTATTCCATTGAACGTAGGTATGGCTGAGAGAAAATTCTTTCGAGGTGTAACGTGATCTCATATCCCTGTCACAAACACCAGTTTAGCAAAGCGCCGAAGTTTAAACTGAATATGAGACCATACTTGAAATATCGGTTTCGAATGGCAAAATGTAAATCTAACTCAGTTTGAGTGTCTGAACCTTTCTAAATTGATACTGGCTTCTGATACCGACAACTGAACAGTATTACAGCGAGTATACTGGTTGAAACTGAGTAGTAGGAGTATCTTGTAACAGCCTGAATATTTCACAGCCCCAGATGATGACCATTCCCACAGAGAATTAGCTTGATGACGAGGCAGTGAATGCTTAGCCAAGAAAAGAAATAAGACCAGTCTATTCTCAATCCATTCGGTTCGTTAATGTGGTAACTATCCCGTCATACTTGGGCCTCTGGCTTTTGGCCATAAACAACATGTCTAGAAACGTTAGCACTTACTCCTCAAGGACTGGAGGATCACTTACATAGGCCACCAAGCGTGGATGCGTCTGTCCTTCATATGATTCCTGACCTTTGCCAAAAACGCCTCTACCTCCTCAGGACTCCACCCCAGGCCTTTCGTGAAGAGCACCATAGAAAGACCCGACAGCTCACCCGCGATATCATGATTACACCAGAACCCTAAATCGTCAGCTCAACTCTCTCCCCAGAAGCAAATAACATACCAAGTTCCTTATAATAAGGATCAGCGGGCCATCGATTAGTAGGCCACTTATACACGGTAACATTCACAAACCCCGCATCAATCATCTGCTGTTTATAAAACTTGGCACTCTCCGCCGTGCGACCAAACTTATTCGTCGCTTCAATCATGAAACTGGACTATTGATCGATATAAGAATCCTTTTTGAGGGTGCCGTCGTCGCATTGTGCGGGGAATGTTATATCTTGGCATTCAACCCAACCGCCGGGACTCAGAGCGTTGAAGGATTGGGTGAAGAATTTGGGAAAGTCGCCGATTGAGCCGGTCATCACGCGGGCGAAGATGAAGTCGAAGGGATAGGAGAATGTCCATTCGTCTTCGAGGTCGTCGACTTGGAATTGAAGATTTGTGGGGATGCTGTATCATCAGTGGGAATACAGAATTGTGAAGTTGGGAAGCGTACAAGTTTGGTTGAATGCGACTGAGATCGATCGATACCGATGACCTAGAATGTTAGTATTGATGTGAAGAAGCGTGAAGTGAGAGGGTGTACTTGTGTTTCGGGATGAGCGTCGGCAAAGTCAATTGCCCAGACGCCAGTACCGGTTCCTGTATCAAGAACGCGGCTCAAATGCTTGGTATCTCCAATTGGACTAAGAAAAAGCTTTCCGCCAAGAGTGAAGGCGAATAAATGATGTTGGAGATCTACCCCGGTCAATACATACTCATGATGCCGTTGTAAACTCACTCACCTAAACGTTCTTGCTAAGACTGAGACACGATGTTAGTTTTGAGTTGATGAGAGAGGTGTGTTTTCATACCGAATCATTGGGAAGTACATAATTGACTATAATAATTAGTAAGATGTTTGAAATGAGTGAGGGTAACGTACTGGATTCTCTGAAAGCGTGGTATGTTCTTCCGTTCTCGGTGCGATAGGCCATGATGCTTGAATTGATTGACGCTGTACTGCTTGCGCCATCCTCCTGCATACGTCAGCTGATGCCACAAACAATTCCATAATTGCATACCCCAATCGCTGAATCGTCATCAGGAAAATCATTCTCGCTCTAAATCCCGTTAACTCGATTCAACTCCCAACGACAATCTCAATTGCCGACCTCGGCTTGCAGCGCGCTCTCATCAGTCGTAGGGGCTTGTCTATCCCCCTCAGTCATGGTAGTAGTCACAGCTATCTTAAGATCAGCGACATCATCGCCCGCCTGTTTCTCAGCCTCTGCATCGGCCGTCATCTTTCAACTGTATTGAAATACCTCGACGTTGCGATGTGTGTCAAAATAGACGTTAAAGGTGAGCAGAAAAGATCATGATTTCTCCCCCTCATCCGCAGAGACAAGATAACGCGCCTCGCTACCGGAATAAAACGTCGCGGGCAAAGAGAAAACTAAGCACAACTGGCGTGGCTTGTGGCTGGCATGATTAACGGTCACTTTATCGACTGACGTCGGATCATCGAGCCTAAACCGATACCCTCTTCCCGACCCCAGCGATCGATGTCCCGGGTTCCGCGGTCGATGGCGTGTAAACTAGAGCCATAGGGGATAGGTTTAGTGGTCTAGCGCTGGGTTTAGTCCGCTAAAGATAATGTGGAGGGGCTGGAACACAAGAGAGCTTCGTTTGCATTCGCTGTCTTGCTGGGGGCGGCATGGATGCAATGTACGTAGTAATGCATGACCATATGCTAGTCAAAGGAAGGGAATATTAATGATCCCCTTGAGCCTGTAGATTTGTTTCTTTTTGTAAAGCCAAGTCCCCCGCGGGCTCGGGCCGCTAGTCTGATCGCAAACTGTCCCTGCGAACCAACGGCTTTAACGCTTGGTGAAATAAGCACCGTATATTGTTGAAGATTGTTCTTGGCAGCGCCATCATGGCTGCAACTTCTCTTCTTGATCATTTGCGCGTGATCGCTAGTGAGGTTCGTCCATCAGTCGCAATCGCAGGACTCGTGGCAGTATTTCTGACACTCTGGTCTGTCCTCTCAACATGGCGACAGTACAACCGCCTGCGTGACTTTAAAGGCCCTCGCCTAGCAGCACTCTCAAAATGGTGGTTAATCAAGAAAGTTGGCGGTGGAAGAGCATACCTCGACTTTGGGAAGTCACAAAGCAATATGGCATGTTTATACAGTAATCGCATTACCCTCACAAGCTAACAATCTCAACAGGTTCAATTGCCCGAGTTGGTCCAAACGATCTTGTCGCCGACGACCCAGAACTAATGCGCCACATCCTCAACGTACGAACCGAATACCGTCGATCAGATTGGTACGACGGCATGCGCTTCGATCCCGGCAACAACAACATTCTCTCATGGCGCGACGAAGACGAGCATTTCAAGCTGCGTTCTAAAATGTCAGCTGACTACGGCGGTCGCGAGGTGGAGAATCTTGAACCAAAGATTGACAAGAACATACTTTCCTTCATGAACCTATTGGGAAAATACGCGGATGAGAAAAAGCCTGTTGATTTTGGACGGCGCGCGCAGTTTTTTACTCTTGATATTATCTCGGATCTGGCGTCTGGTGAGCCGTTTCGGTTTTTGGAGACGGATTCGGATGTGTACAAGTATATCCAGATCACGGAGGAGACGCTGCCAGCTGTGATGGTGACAACTGTTATTCCGTGGCTGGTCAAAGTACTGAGTTCGCCGGTATTTAAGAGTCTTTTGCCGTCGGAGAAGGATAGGCTTGGGTTTGGAAAGTTGATGGGGCGAGTATGGTCTTTGATTGAGTTGGGTGTGAAAATGCTGATAGATTGAAGAATTGCGACACAGGTCACGGCTGAGCGATTTGGACCTGATAAAAAGGTTCAGAAAGACATGCTTGGGTCTTTTGTCGCTCATGGCCTTACCCAAAAAGAGGCAGAGTCTGAGATTCTGTTACAAATGTAAGTGCTTGGCCTGAGTTGGTATCATAGCTAACGATCACAGTGTCGCAGGCTCAGATACAACAGCTACAGCCATTCGCTCAACCATGCTTCACATCATCACCAATCCCCTCGTATACACCACCCTCCGCGCCGAAATCTCAAACACTCACTGCTCAGAACCTATCATCCCCGACTCAATCGGCCGTGATCTCCCCTATCTCCAAGCCGTCATAAAAGAAGGTCTCCGCATATTCCCTCCCGTCGCAGGTCTAATGTCCAAATAAGCCCCTCCCCAAGGCGACACCTGGAAAGGAAAACTTATCCCCGGCGGCACCAAAATCGGATACTGCGCGTGGGGAATATTCCGCCGTGAGGATATCTGGGGTTCTGATGCGGGGGAGTTTGGACCGGAGAGATGGTTGGAGAATAAAGGTGAGAAGTTGAGGGAGATGGAGAATGCGCTGGAGTTGATCTTTAGTTATGGACGGTGGCAGTGCTTGGGAAGACCGGTTGCTTTGATGGAGTTGAACAAGGTTTATGTTGAGGTAAGTTTTATGATGAGGGAAGGGATGAGGCTAATTTTGTGTAGTTGCTGAGACGGTTTGACTTTGCAATTTGTGATCCTACCAAGCCTTGGACTGTGTTTAACTGTGGTATTTTCTCACAGTCTGAACTCATGGTTCGCGTTCATCGCAGAGATTGAATTGTCAAGGGTCATCTGATTACGGCTACGTATACACCTATGTACAGTGGACGGACCGCAATGGACCCTGTATGTACCGTGATTGTTACTTCTAATTGCGTTTGCTCGGATCGCTGTGTTTGTAGCTGGATACCTCCAAAATACACAAACAATAAACGTTGTCTGCAATCCGGAGCAAACTCAGCCATCACCTTGCTTGATTTGTTCTCCAGGTGCACATGCAGTCGGATGGTGTTTGGGCAGTGTACGGATAGCCGTGGCAGGTGAAACAGGCACGGGAGGAATTAAGCATAAGCGAGATAAAAGCAAAAATAGACTAATCAGGCAAGCACATGTCTACCTATTATCAACAGTAACACAGCAGACCGCTTTCACTTGACTGACGTTTCAGCTGTAACCTGCCATGCCAGATTGACTCCACTATCCCCGTTTGTGCAACGTCAAAACCAAGCATTCAGCTTACAGTTACGGACACTGTTTGTTAGTGCGGGCAGTTGCTGTTTGCTTACCAGAAGTTGCGGTCTTGCAATGCACCTGCCCTGGAAGGTGCGTGAATCACAAACAGAGATTGTTGCCTAAGTTGCCACCTGACAACCAGCGCTCCTTCCTGTGCAACTCGAGCCCGCGACTTTCCTTCTTATCTTCACCATCCCCGCCCTAGTCCCGGCCTCTTGCTCTCGCAACCTCTCCTCTCCGTCCTCGTCTCTTTTCATCGCCAGGCATTTCCTATCCTTTCACATCTACGATCGCTCTTTACCTTGAATCACCAACAATATTCACCCAATCACGTCGTCGCACGATGGATCTCGTTGACGGTTCGTTCGACAAGACCTTGGTCAAATGGGTCAAGATTACCGAAGCTGCCCTGGCCGAGGCCCAGACAAAGAAGGGTCAGCTTGTAACCGACCATCCTGCCAAGGATGCCGTCGAGAAACTCTTCATGATCCGAGCACTCAGCAAGGCTATGGTCACGCCTGGCCTATCCCCTTCTGGCGGATTTATGCGAATGCTCTCTGGAGGCGCCGACCCTTTCCCGAACTCCAAGCTTGTTGAAGACCACTTGATGGCTCTCCCCATCGCCACTGTTGAAGTGCCTTATCTACCCTGCACTATCCCGGAGAGGGACCTTAAACCGATCAGCATCTCCGAGATGCGTCTTGAGACTCACCATTGGGGATCAAAGGTTCTGCTCCACAGGTTGTCGTCTATCGACCGTCATGAGGCTATCATGTTCATCGTTGAGGATCAGGCGGGTACAGCTGTTTTGCTCAAGCTGTATCACCAGCCCTTGGAGAAGGAAATCTCTTGCAACTGGACAATGTTGGACTATCGTGTGTGCATCGTCAAGAACCCTTTCTTTCAGCGGGTTCCTGACACCATCACCCCAAATTTCTGTCAGATCCCCGAGTCTTACTACTCGCTGAGAGTCGACCACCCGGGCGACATCATTCCCCTGCGCCATGGCGATGGACGAATCCCCGAGGCATGGAAAGTTAACCCAGAACGAGACGACAAGACCAGTCATGGCCACCGCGATCACGGCAACAAGGCCTTTCGCAACAAGAATTGGGCAGAAGCTCATCACTCGTCAGTCGCCCGTCCTCTTCCAACTCACTCATAGCTAACATTGTGAACTGCAGGTACTCCGAAGCCCTCGATGTCGCCGAGACTCCACAAGACAAGCAGCTGGCCCACCTCAACCGCTCCCTCACCAACCTCAAGCTTGGTCGACCCGCCGAAGCACTGCTAGATGTCACCCAGGCTTATGACCCCAAGGCCCCTATCGAGAAGGCTTTGTTCCGTCACGCCACCGCCTTATACAAGCTGCACCGGTTCGAGGACTGCGAAGGCATGCTCATCGACCTCCTGGACAAGTTTCCGGACAGCAAGGCTGCTGAGTCAACTCTTCTTTCTGTCAAGACACGACTGACGGAGCAGCACACGGGTAAATACAACTTCAACAAGATGTATGAGATAGCCAAGGCAGCCAAGGGAGCTCCCTTGATTGATTGCGCCACCTACTCGAAGCCTGTTGAGATTCGGGAGTCGCCTGGTCGCGGTCGCGGTCTCTTCACTACCAGGGCTGTCAAGACGGGCGACTTACTCCTCGTTGAGAAGGCCTTTGAGTACTCATTCATCGACGAGACCCGAGTGATGGACAAATGTACCCACATGGTCAACTTCAACACCAAGCGCCTGACGTCTGGTGCATCGGCGCATCTCTGGCCCAAGGTTGTTCAGAAGTTGTACCATGATCCGGAGGCTCTCTCTGCCTTTAATGAGCTGGACCATGGGAAGTACAAACCGGTAACAGTTACCGAGGCGGATGGATGTCCTGTTGTTGATGCGTGAGTTGACTTGCCCCTGGTTCCCGATGAAACACTTACTGATCTGGTGTCGCAGCTTCCTTGTCGAGAAGATCCTTTCTCTCAATTCATTCGGTGCCCCACGATCTACTCGCGACTTCTGTGGCAACAACGTCTGGAGCGGCAACCCAGCCCCCGAAGCCTGCGCTTCCACCCGTGAGAGGCCTCTCTTCACCTCCGTCGGTGTCTGGCTTCTCGCCGCCCGGATCAATCACTCTTGTGTCGGCAACTGCCGGCGCTCATTCATCGGCGACATGGCCATCATTCGCGCGGCGAGAGACATCCCAGCCGGCGCCGAATTGACGATCCCCTACCGCCCGTCCACTGACTCCGAGTCATACCAGGATGTTCAGAAGGGCTTGGCCAAATGGGGATTCAAATGTGATTGCAAACTGTGCAAGGACCGACTCAAGACCACCGAGGCTGTTCGCGTTCGGCGTAAAGAGCTCAGCAAAGAATTCTACGAGCAGCTGCCTTCCGATCAAGAATTCGACCTTGACAAGGCCACCAAGCTTCTGCGTGTTGTCGAGAAGACCTACTCTGGCAAACCCGCCAAGCAGATCCGCTGGTGCATCGCCCAACTTTATGCCTACGTCGGAATTCGTTGCCGTCAGGATGGGGATTTTGTCGTGGCTGCTGAAATGCTCATCAAGGCTCTTGAGACCATGGGCTTTGTCATTCTTGCAACTCCGCCAGATGACGGTAGTGCCCGGGCTCGTTTTGAAGTCAAGCAGTGGGGAATGATGGAGCATCACATCCCGTGGCTCTTCTTCCAGTTGGTTGAGTGCTACGGCGAGATCAACCCGCACTTAGTGCCTGTCGCTGAGCATTATGCTCAGGTAGCGTACTCGATCATTGTCGGTGAGGGGGATTCGATGTGGGATGTCATGCCAGCTACTGGCAACAAGGCGGAGCGAACCTGATGTTAGAATGCTCTCGCGTGAAGATTGTGTTGATGAATAACAAGCAAGTGTTGCTAGATAGCTATGATCGAGAATCTTGCCATGGTAGATGGAGTTGGGCACATGTGCCCGGATGTAGTAGTGTCATGAATTGAACCATCACCCAGTAATTTGTCCTCTCACCGTGATGTTTAATCAAGTGCCACGCGCATTGTTCGAAGCTTTCGCCTTTGCCAGCTCACCGCTGACTGTTTTTGGATAGAGTCAGTGGTATTCCACGGTATCTAGCGCTTATCGGTGAATCGATCTGCTTATACCAGTGCGTACTGAGCATTCACGGACTGAGCATTCACGGACGGTTTTGCTGACGCGATCCTCCAGTTCACACTGCCAATGGCCACAGAGGGCGCGATTACTAGGTTCTTTCTGCCGGAATGAGCTCACAGCCACAAGTCTCCTGCAAATAACACTTCTAGCCCACAACTTAGACATCGATACCACGATGACTGGAGGGCGCGATTACATCCGGCGGTATGTCAAATCCGGTGACAAGACATTCCTAAATGCTGACCGTCTTGCCGGCAACTCTCGACTAGGACTCTAGTGGTACCAGCACCTTGATCCGACTCTCAACTACCGTGGCACACTGCGCCGCGAAGCCTTTTACCGGTGACAGTGAGGCTGGCGCCAACATTAGATTGAATAGATGCGGTTTCCAAAGTGTTGCCGGATCTGGCGTCGTAGAAGAAATAATCAACATGACAAAAGAAAGTATGAACGGATTTGCAGGTGCAAAGTACGAGTGAGGGGATTTGCATCACTCGACAACACGATCGAAATGCCAGGACAGAGCAATCTTTGTCTCATTATTCCCATCCCGATGAGAAGCGGCTCCTATGCCAGCAAAACAGACTCCAGGTTTCTTGTGCGCATACGAGAAGCGCAGATCAATCTCAGGCCCCATGAAGTGTACTTGCCGATGCCAAGAGGATCCCATTCAAGAGCAATGGTCTGAACAACGACATCCAGGACTTGAACTTTAACGTGAAACTCTTTTTCCCTCCTGGAGTTACCTGAGTCGAATCGTTCACAAAGAGCTCAACAACAGGCTAGATGCCCTTATGTGCCGACGCGGACAAGGGGACCTCAACCTGTACCTCAACGACAGTGTGATACTAGGTGTTGGTGGAGTGATGTTGTTCTCAACCAACCCACACCATCAGATCGCGTAGGTGCTGCTGGTAGAGACCGGGTGAAATCGACGACTCGACTCGTGTAGGGAGCCTAGGTCTTTCCGACATGGTCTGCATTAGTGCTGTAGTACAGACGCTACCTTTGACTTTACGGACGGAACTGGTCCTTGTGCTAATTTGAGTTCTTTACAGTAAGGCAAACGAGCTGACGACAAGGTATTGAGGAAGTTGAGCGTCGTCAAGGGCCCGTCCGAGAAAAGAACTGTCTACTACATACTGTCACAAAACTATAGCGAGAGCTTGAGTACCCCCAAAAATCATTTTTATTTCATATTTTCTATAATAAACAAAAGCCCAATCAGAAAATCTAAAACAAAAACAAGAAATCACTCGAAAATATCAGAGTTTACTTAGCAGCGATAGCGCCGTCAATGCACTTGGTACCCTCAGCAACCTTGGAGACAAAAGCCCAGCCTCCGTTGCAGATACCCCAAGTAGTCTCGGAGAAACAGTGCATCATGCCGGACTTGACATCAGAGGGACAGGCCTGGAACTCACCAGACCAAGCGGGAGCGCCAGCTTCGGGCTTGGCTGAGTCGATGGGGGCGGGAGCATCGGTGGGCTGAGCGGGGGTGCTGGGCATGGTGACCATGCTTGAGGGAGAAGCAGGGGCTGAAGGTTGGACGGGGGCAGAGGGCTGTTTAGGTGCAGGTACAGGAGCGGAGGGTTGTTCGGGAGCGGGTGCAGGGACACTAGGCTGAACAGGAGTCGAAGGGGAAGCTGGAGCACCCTCAACAGGAGCAGAAGGCTGTTCGGGCGCAGGAGCGGGAGCACTAGGTTGAGCGGGAGCAGACTCAGCGGGCTTCTCCGGCTCAGGAGCAGCAGCATCATCCTTAAAGTTGGGCTCAACACCCTTGGCACAAGTACCCTCACTTCCAGGCGTACCCTGCTCGTAAATCTTACCGAAATCACCGGGCTCAGGAAAGTTGATGACACTTCCACTGGCACCGGTAGTACACTCCCCAGGAATGTTGGCGCGGAAAATAGCAGGCAGCGTATCAACGTAGCCACTATCATCCTTACCGCCTACGACCTCAATGGGAGAGCAGACCATGTACATCTCGCGGTTACCAATCTTGTTGAACCAAGTCCAAGCAAACGTCGCGGGTCCATTCTGCATATCTTTAGGGATAGGAATGTTGAACTGCTTAGTACACTCCTTGCCCGTATCGTTCCCACACTCCTTACCATTCTCCCTCCCATGCAGATCCGTACCAGTGCTCGCAATATTACCCTCAGCCTCAGCGGGACACCCGCCGATGATGCTGTAGATAGTATGCCACTTCTTGGGATCCTTGGGGGGTTCCTTTCCATAGGCGACGCTGAACTGGCACGACCCGCCGCCGTGCACGGCGCTGCCCCAGAACTTGACGAGCTGGGTCTTGCCGGCCGTCACCTTTGTGACCTGCTCCGGGTGCTGGGTGCGGCCTTGGCAGGGGAAGGGGAGATCTTCGCTGAGGGGCCAGGTTTGGTAGAGGGGTTCTGTGTCGAGGTTGAAGGGGTGGGGTTCTACCATGATGACGTGGGATGAGACGTGGGTAGCTGCGAGGGCTAGGACACTGAGGGTTGAGAAGAGAGAAGGCATTTTGATGGTTGTGGATGATAATTCTCTGTGGAGTGTTGTGTAATGTGTGTAATGTGTGTTGTTGAGTTGTTGAGTTGGTTGTTGTTGGTAAGATGCAAGATGCAAGTGTTTGATGGGATGAAGTGAGATGAGAGTTGGGAGTCATCTGGATTCATTATATACTGGAGTTTGCCAGTCACATATTTTGATGTTCTTGGCAACAAAGAATTGTATTAAATCACTGAACACGATGTTTGCTGCTGATAGACTTGTGAACGTGCTGCAATCAATACCCAAAACAAGAACAAAGAACAAATGACTTATATGGAATGTTCACCATCACCAAACAGCCATGAACAAAGAGGCGACAGGGATAACCACCGCAAGTGACCAAATGTCTAGGATACCTTGGAGAACTTCATGATAAGCTTGGTGTGTTCTTCAACTAATTCACCTTCTTCCTACCTCTCGTACGGTCTCGGTTTTCTTAACACCCGGAAGATGCCAAATGTTCGAGAGTCTTATATGCCGACACTCTGCGAATACATCTTATTCATCACGTATTTCTGCAAGCTCTGCAATGAAAGAACAACTGTTTTGAGAAATGTTTCTGAAACCATGATCCCAGGTGCCGGAATCAAGGGTTCTAAAGCCCAGCGCCCAAGTCTTGTCGTCCCTTAGGAAAAAGGACATCAGTACTTTTCTTTTGCCCCTCCTCGACATAAAACGCACAAGTCGAAAGTTTCTCACAGTTGGGGGAAAAGGTCATGGCCTCAACCCTAAGAGATGAAAAGCTTAGGCACATTACTAAAATCTTCTAACCTTTTGATGAATTTAGGATAAACTTGGGATAAATTTTGTATAAACTTAGGAGGAACTTTACTGGCCAGATGATTCATCCTCGCCGTCCTCGCTTCCGTCCTCCACATCGTCTTCGCTGTCATCCTCCTCCTCATCACTTTGCAAGTCCCACGGATACTCATGGTACTGTCTCCAAAACGAAAAAAACACAAACTCCCAATGGCGAATCAGCCAACCTACCCTGTCAATCCCGAGGGTACCGTTCTGTCCACACCCTTGACAGGGCTCACCATCGTACACACCGGCCACTAGCCCGTCGTAAAGATCCAGAGCCTTTGCGTCTTGAATAAGGCGGATTTCAATCATGACTTCCTCCCAAGAATCTTCGAATAAATCCAGATCAATGGAGCAATGCTGGATAGTAAGAAATTTGATAGTCGACGCGTGGCGCTGGATGAATCCGACGAGTTTCTGAGGGTTTATCTCACCGCAGCTGAACTCAACGTGCTCAAGTTGGCGAAACGTGACGTCGTCCGGAACCGCGGAAAAAATGGCCATGCCATGAGGCTCGAGAAGAAGGTCTTTCAATTGTGGCATAGAGGCAAGAAGCCGAGCGACGTTTCCCTGGGCTAGAGAGTCCTCGCCTATGTATTCACCAGTACCTGCATCCCAATAGTTGCTCAAAACGAGATGGAACTTGGTTATGTTGCAGCTGGAGAAAGAAGAAACGAGTTTTGGCGGGAAAGGCGACTCGTTGGTATCGAAGAGGAGAACCGGGAGGCCAGGCTGCCATGATGAGGTGTCGTCGACCTGGGAAGAGGCATCCACTCTGAACTCAGTGAGATGTATGCTTGGGTATCCGAGGACTTCCAGGGCGAGGAATATGGCACGTGCCTCACGCCCAACAACGCGGGAAAATATTTCCTCTTCGAGCCAGTTCCTGTTGTTGTTTTCAAGGTTTCCTCTCTGAAGTCTCGTCAGATTTGAATTGACAGGACGAAGAGGGAGATGGCTATATGAGCCTTTGACTTACCACGATTTGACTCTCCGAATCACGTTCGTTTTCCTCGCCGTTGGGGGGTGGGAGACCATATTCTCTGATGGCCTTGTCCAATTCATCGTTGAAAAAGTCAAGCTGCATCACCTCGGTTCTGAAACCAGGCTCGTGCCACGGTGCTATCCAGTCACACCTGGGTGGAAAAGGAGGCCTCTCCCGCTTGGATTCTGCAAGACGCCTCCACGTCTTGACAACTGGGCTCCTCGATTCTTCACTCTGCGCTCCGAAGTCAAAGTCGTCATCGGCCGTGCGGTTGCTGATCACGAGGCTTTGCAGTGACTTGAAAAGAGGCAGGGCCTGTTTGAGGGCAACAATGTCGGCGTGGCTTTGGCGATTCTCGTGGTGGCCTTGGAGAACAGACTTGAATAGATCGTGGAATTCTTTGTCTGGCTCATCGGACCAGATACGGCCTTCCTCGTCGAACTTGTTTGGCCAGCAGTAAGCCTTCTTCCTGTCGGGCCACATGTGTGGGTAGGAGGCCACGGTCTTGTAAACCTCCCAGTCGGCGAGACGAGGCGACAAGGTGGTATCGTCGATTACAAGTTCTTTGACACCGCTGATGAGAAGCGGGTTGCCTGCGACAAGTCGGAACACGTCGAGGTCGAGCTGGTGGCATGATAGGTAGAGGACAGGGTAGAGGTAGGGTGAAGCAATGGTGTTGAGCTTTCGGCAAGTTGCGCGCGCCGCTTTGAGTGCGTTTGGAGGAAGAAGCTCAGCCACGGCGACGTGTATCTCGTCGGGCAACTTCAGGAGATGGCAGGGCTCCATGATTGGGGGTAGAGAGAGATTTGGATGGTGTGCGAGGGAGATTGAAGAGCGGATGTGGATGCGAAGGAGAGAAGTTGTTGTGGGCGCCTGAGGTAGGAACGAGGTGCCTTGGGGAAGGGAAGTGCATCTGCCCTGGCACCGAGAGCGCGCCTTCCTCTACTGCACTGTTGTGTAACCTCATGATGTGGGCCACCTTCCAGAACAAACACAGTGGGCCAAGCCTAAGGCTGACCTAAGGTTAGAGAATCTTAGTCCAGTTTTGAGGATCTCCTCGAAAATTATTGCGATTTTGAAGAGTTTAGTGATTGTTTAGCTAAGAATTATGGCCATGTTTTTATTTTTTTAGACAAGTCTCACAGACAAATAAGGCGACCCATATCAGCCACCTCGCTTGATACAAATTCAATGGTAGAACTTGAACTTACATGTAAACAGGATCACCGAGGTTTGGACGGTGTCTGCTGCTTCACCTGGTCCGTAGCCCAAACGTTGTGGTCCCTTCACTTTCACCTGATGTCAACCGTACTTGTTGAACTCCAGCACCAAGAGACAAACAGATAGATCAAGTGTGGACATGGATGATGCCAAGAGCATAGAAAGCTGGAAAAAGTCATCAAGAGCACCTAAATACATTCTCCGGCGACATCTTACCACTGGGTAAGCTAGGTTTCACAGTGGGTGTCGTAACCTAATGACCTTGGGCCCTTGGCCGTCTGCTTTCCTCCAGGACTTTTGCAAACAACAGGAGATGAATGACTTTTCACAAGTTTTGAAGATGTTGGTCTCCTTTATGATGATATTACAGAACTCCAAACTAAGAATTAGGGCGTGATCTAAACTCCATACACTGCTGACCACCTTAGTCCGATTTAGGATAAGACAGTGACCGATCTGATTATATCCTCACCGCTTTGATCAAAGTTGACGCTGCCCGCTCGTCACTCACTTGCTTCCTCCTCTCCAAGGTCTCGTTGTTCAACCCACCCTCCGTCTCCGTCATACAACCATGTGACCCCAAGTCCCTTCAAGGACCCATTTCTTCCGCAGCCATTCATCGGCTTACCTTCAAATACATTGTCGATAATTCCCTCCCCAAGCTTCAAGATGCCTTTATCGTGAAAATCGGTCAATTCTTCGATCACATAAGGCCAGAGGCCATCGTAGCCATCATCCGGATAGAGGCTGCAATGCTCGATGATGAGTGACTTTAATGTGCTACCCTGACGCTCCAGGAAGTCGATAAGTGTGTCTGGGTGTAAGTGGCCGCAGCTGAAGTGCACACAGCGCAGTCGTGGGAAGGTCATGTCAGGGAGGGCCGAAAAGACGGGCAATCCGTGAAGCTCAAGGTAGAGATCTTCTAACTGAGGCATAGACGAAAGTGTGCGGGATACGCGGCCCTCTTTGAGGATCCACTCGGCAAACCTGTGGTTCTCACAACCGTTGAGAACGAGGCGGAACTTGGTGATGTTCTTTGCCAATGCGAAGCCAGTCGCAAGTCGCTCAACGAAAGGGGACTGCTTGTCGAATAAGGTGATTGGGAGGCCGGGCTGGCAAAAGTTCACCAGGGTATCGTGAGACGCGTCGACGCGAAATTCGGTGAGCTGGGACTGTAGCTTAGGTTCTTCAAGGACCAATAGCGCAAGATGCATGACTCTTGCCTCTCGGACCAAAGCGAAGAGCTCGGAGCTGGGGGCCTCGTATTGATATTCGGTCTTTTCGAATTTTTCCGTTTTCTATTCGCCAAATTCGGTGTCGCCCTGTAACGCGTCAGTAGAAGCCTTTCAGAAAACAAGAACAGGCGAAGAGATGATGCCTCGGAAGCACGGGTATGCATTGCCAAAATTACGAGGTGGAGGTGAACTTACGACAAAGCTCATTTCCGAGAAAAAGTCTTCACTCCCAAGTGTGAAGTAATAGAGATTCGACATGATATCGTCGAGATGCTCCATGAGCCAGTCCAAGGTATTCACTCGGGACCTGTCCCGTATACCCAACCCGCTGGCCTGCCAATCGCATCTCGGAGCAAGAGGAGCAATCTCGCCGTGTTCCTCTTGAAATCGCCTCCACTTCTGCACAACGGGGCTTGCCGAAACACAGCTCTGGGCACCCTTGGAAAAGCTGTCGTTCGCATTGCGGTTGGAGACAACAAGACGCTCGAGTTCCTTGAACAGGGGAAGAGCTGTCTTGAGGGCTTTGACGTCAGCGTGAGCCAGGCGGTTGTCATGATGCCACATGGAGGTCAATCTGAAGAGTTCCCAGCCCTCTCTGGTAGGGACTACTTTCGAGGGTTCGCCTCTCATGTCATAAGGATCGAGCGCGTCACCGGGGTACAGCTGAAGATGAGAACGCCGATCCACTGGATCCTCGGGAAGGGTGACCATTCTCTGATAGCTGCGCCAGTCGGGTATGGTGTCCGGAAGAGGGACGGTGGTGTCGTCAATGACCAGTTCGCGGACACCTCCGATAAGAAGAGGGTTCTCTGAAACCGTCTCAAACACATCGAGATCAAGCTGGTGGCAGGAGAGATATAAGACAGGGAAGAGGTATGGAGAAGCGATTCGGTTGAGTCGCTTGCAGCTTTTGCGGACAGCTTTGATGGCACTTCCCGGGAGGCGCTCGACGATATTGTCGAGAAGCTCATCCGGGCAGTCGAGTAAGCTGACAGGCGCCATCTTGCCTTGACCAATGGGCGGGCTGTGAGTGTTGAATGCGCGGCCTCAGATGCGGTGAGGTTGGAGATAAAGTCTTTGATGCGGAGGAGGAAGCGAAATATTGTGGTGAGGGCGGGTCACTGTGGTGTTTGGTTGTGTAACCCCGGAATGCGGACTTTATATTCCGGTCCCCGTCATTGAATTTGCGGTGGCAGTGCCTTGCAGTGAGATTTCTATATATTTCTGCATGTTCACTCAGTGTAGGCAATAATCTGCCCCCTCATCTTCACTGCCCCAACTCTTCTTTTTCTTCGCCTCCCCAATCCCACTGAGCACGATACATCAACACATGAGCAAGATGGCTCCTAGCCTGCTCAGCTGCCCTGACGAGGTCATCGACCACATCGCCAAGTTACTTCCGAATGTCAGGGCCGCTCGCGAGACCTGCAAGAGACTCAACCGCATCGCCTCGCCGTATCTGTTTCCGGTTCTCTACATTTCATGTCATCAACTTGACCTTGACGTCTTTCGCACGGTCGCCAAGAATCCGCTCCTCATCGGAGGTGTTCGCGAACTTGTTATCGATGACACCACTCTCCCTGTCTCGATTCCAGATTGGCCGACCTACCAGAAGGTGCTAAGTCTCCCGGACTGCTCAGAGCTTGAGCGGGCGGCATCTCAACACTGGTCAGATTTGCCAGACTGTGATGAGCCCAGAGAACATTGGGAGCTCTTCGATAGCGTTTTAAAGGGTCACCATGAGAATCGCCTTGCCCGCGCAGACTACCACGCTCTTAAGCAAGCACTACCCCATCTGAAGCGCCTTAGGAGTCTTGTCCTTACGAATCGCACTGCTAATGATAGTATTGATGATGACTTCCGAGAGGGCGCTCAAAGCCTTGAATCGTCTAGTCCTACCTTCAAATTCTGGAGACGATTTGACTCCAAGAGGGACGAGCCGGTGTCTTTCGCTCCGAGATGTGATTGGGTGCCGACTGGCCGAGGTCTCCGGAACAAAATGCCAATCTACGGAATGGATTGGTTAGATGACCGATTGACCGACGACATCACGCCATGCGGAGTACCAAATACCCTGGCAGGCTCACCTGCCTTTAAAGAACTTGTCAGTAAAAGGTTCTTTAATAAGGAAATCAATGTACGTTGTCTAAGTTTTCTCCATTCCCATTTATTTATGTAATATGTCTTTTGTTTTTCTGTAACTGACTGCCAGACTTAGGGTCGCCAAGATTTGACCGACTGGGAATCTTTCTTGTATGAGCGTGCCGAACGCCTAGAAAGAGTTAGTACACACAAACTCTTTATTCTGGCACGGGAGGCTCGGGTGCTACACCTTGCTCTCCTAGTCCTTGAAGATGAAACAATGCAGTCTCAACTTACAGAGTCTAGAGTCGATGCATCTTGCGACATGCTTAACATAGATTGGTCGCCCGGTCTAGCTATCACCCTGTTCGCTAAACAGTCACCATTTCCTACCCGACTAGCCAAAGGGTTCAGCGCCACGAACATAACAAAGTTCAATCTGACTCTTGGATCCGGTCTTCCGCTTGATGTTGGCGTTGGGGAGCGCCTTCGTGCCATCTTCGCATCCATGCCGCAGCTTGAGGAGCTGTTCTTCGAGCCTCACGACATACACCACTTTTCCGCCATCCCAACCGAAAAGACTTTCCCGAGACTACGCAAGATCACATTCAACTGCGGATTAATGCGCTTGGAACAATTGTTCAAATTCCTTCGATCCCATGGTGCGACATTGAAGTCACTTGTTGTCGAGCACTGCAAAATCGTGCTGGAGCCAGAGAACGAACCTCAAGACATGTTACCCATGCTCATCTCTGAGCTGCGTTCTCTCCACCGTGATGGCGCCCTAAAGCTTGAAAACGGCCTAGTCAGCGAGCTGTTCCATGGCGCTGTGCCACTAACCTATTGTGCGAAATTGTACGGGTTCAGAGATGAGTACAGCGTCACTTGGGACTACAAGGGAAACGGAGTGTGGGATCAACGGGAGGAAGCGGACTCAGAAGATGATTTAGATATTTGAGATGGGTAGGAGAAAGGATATGAGGATAAAGCACATTCTATGTACCAGGGTGGCGTCCTCAAGCTAGAAAGCGGCTCAATCAAAGGACTGATCCATGACACTGTGCCTCAAATCTTGTGGGAAATTTTACCAGTGCAAAGATGCAGAGCGTAATATTAGCTGCTACATAATCCAGCCACGATATTTATCTCAAGGCTAGACAAGACAGAGTCTTACAAGCCGGTCCACAGCGTCTCTTGAAAACCTAGCTTGTTCGTTGTCTTGATCCACTCGCTTAGCATAGCAGTCGCAAGCGCCCAGCCGGCATACATAATGCAATCTACCAGGACTCCCGCCGTTCTCGCCGGTTACCTGAGCTTTGCTAGACTCGCTGCAGTAGCATGGCGGGTTATCCGGGCTGTTGCCTCTTACGTCTGCAAAGCCCAAGAACTTTTGACAGTTTGTACATTTATAGTAGGGCCGACCTGCGTTACCATTTCGATTCGATGACCGTGTGACCAGGCGTCGGCTGGGATTGTTGCACACGAAACAGACTGGGGGAAGCGACGGTGCAGGAGCGAGGGGAATGTTGAAAGTGCTGGACGTTGGAGCATCCTATTTGCCGAGTTAATACAGTTAGACCACTGAGGAAGTTTATGAGGTCCCTCATGCCATGATGGGAGTATAACTTCATGTGTCGGCCGGCTATGATGAACTGGCAGAATATGGAATGATATGGACCGTTGGAGGCCGAGCAGGCTCTGTCACCGGAGAGTAAGGTGACACGCAGAGCCCTGTCCATGCAATTTGTTTGGCATTGAACTGAAATGATTGGACGTGTTTATCCAATAGAATTTTCGAAAGAGGCCTCAACAAAAGTAGGAGGCCTACCGCTGCAAACCCCGCACAAAGAGGAAAAGCGAAGATGTTAATAAAGTTATAATTTATATTTTTATTTATAAATAGGACTTTATAAGTATACAGAGTATTATAATACTTAAGTAATATAATATTATATAAAAGCTAGCATCTAGTAATATACTTTTATACTATAGTAAAAAGTTAAAAATTTCATCCTTTGACTATCCGGACAGCTCTGAGCCTACAGAACACTCAGAACCAATATTTAGTCTATCCTGAACAGGTCATCAAGCATCAGTATGGAGGCTATCCACCTGACAACATGCGCCAGCTGCGGAATGCAGGCAACCATGCGGTGCGCTGGCTGCACAGATGCGCCGGACTACGATCCTGGAGACTCCACGACAATTGTTTACTGCGATCGAGACTGTCAAAAGAAGCACTGGACTGACCATAAAAGCCGTTGTCGTGTCATGAAGCAACGTAAAATGTTGCTGAGGGCAGCCACCATCCTTCGATCAGCATTGTTGACCTATCGAGAGATCCTATATGATATCGACCTCACAAAAATCGAAGCTAAAGATGGAATGCTCTATCTTTACCAGAACCAAAGATCTGTCACCTCTCGTGTCAAGTGGGGATCTTTTCCAGACCATTTGACCTCCAATGTCCAGCACAGGGAGGCAGCTCTCACTATCAACCAGTGCACGTTGGCCACCGCGTTATTGAGTCGTCCTACCAAAAAGCTCCTCACAGGTGCGTCACTTTAGTTGGGATCAACATCCCATGAGGACTTTCTAACATTCCTAGGGGTAAACTCAAACGCTGAGGTATTGGATATTCGAATCGGAAAACCACTACTTCCACCGAAGCTGATTCCTGGCCCCGACTTAAGCAACTGCCCACATACGGTGATTAAGGTCAGGCTATTATCCACGAAGGAGTTGTGGATAATCGACACAGCAGGGTGCCAGTATGGATTCCGAGAGGTTCTGGTTCTGTTCGACAAGTACATTGCAGACAAGGCCTGCCAAGTAGTAGGCACCCCCACGACCTACAATTGGACAGAAACGAAAGACTTGGATTATTTCTCTACACTGCCTTTCATGAACAACTCACGAGCCCAAAAGCAGGACCGAGAGGTGGAACGAAAGGCTCGGTTACACTTTGCCGACTTCGTTGACAGACATGTCAGTGTCAATATACTGGATGGTTCTGCTTTGGATTTTAGCAATAAGCTCGCCAGTCTGGTTGAGAGGTTGAAGATACATATGCTCAGCTTTGCAGAATGTCAAAATGGAACTCGGAGCTGATATTTATGCCTCTACAGTTTTCTGATTACATGAAGATAGTAATTTAGATACTTATTCGCCTTGATGAATGTGCCACCAACATCCGATTATCTGATATTTTGCCACAAGTCTATCATTACATTTCATCCTCCAGCCGCACTAAGCCGTCCAAAACGACCAGATGCACAAAACTAATCAGTATTCTCGTTCAACTCTTATGGCGGACATCCCTTCAATGGTTTCTATAATAGCAATGATGTGGTGCACTTATACAGTCACAAGGTAATGAGATACTCACTGAAGTACAGGAACGTGAAGCTGGGCATCTCTCAATGCATTCACCGATTACTTCAACTTTGCTAAATAAGAGAGCTTTTCATTAAGGTATATAAAATTGAACCTATCTGTCCTGCTGCTCACACAACAGAACAGAAATATCCAGGCGCAGGTTCGGTAGCCATTCTAGTACTGTAACAGACCCCAAAGGGTGTTTTGAGCGAGTGTATGTAGATGTTAATGAGATACAAATAGCGAGACTCTAGCCAGAGTAACCCCAGCGAGGAGCGTTGATGATGATACCACAGATGACACCCGAGATGACACCAGCAACGGGGAGAGTGATGATCCAGCCCATGTAGATCCAGGCAACCATGCGCCAGTTGATAGAGCGCCAAGTACCAGAGCACAGACCAACACCAACGGTAGCACCAGTGATGCACTGAGTGGTAGAGACGGGGAGCTCTGGAGAATGCGTTAGTCACAGCGAAAGGGGAGGTTGAGGTAGAGAGAATGGACTCACTAAGACGGGTGGCAAGGATGATGGTGATGGCTGCACCCAACTCCATGGAGAAACCTCGAGAGGGAGAGTGGAGAGTGAGACGGTTACCAAGGTTGCGCATGATGTTGTATCCGTAAGTCCAGATACCAAGAGCAATACCGGCACCACCAAAGCAGCTATACAGAGTTAGTCATTGATTACAAGAGTATCAAGCAGAAACTTACAGAATCCAGACAGGGACAGAAGACTTGCTACCCTCAAGACCACCAGTTCGCCAGATCTGGTAGATGGTGGCATAAGGACCAATAGCGTTTGCGACATCGTTGGCACCGTGAGTGAAAGAAGCGGTACAGGCAGTCATGACTTGCATAAAGGTGTAGAGATACTCAGCACGGTTATCGTAGTGAGCGACGTGGGCGTGAATCTCATCCAGGTCGCCGGTAAGCATACTCTTCTTCTTCTGCATAGCGATGATATCTTGGTCAACACCAGAGAGGAAAGCCTTCTTGAGATACCAGAAGAGAACAGCGCCACTGAACCACTTTCCATCAGGCTTGGGACCGACGAGGCTGCGAGGAGCCTTGGGCTCAACGCGCTCCTCAATGTCAGGAGTACCCTCGGACGAGGTCTTCTTGTTCTCAGTGGTAGCTTCCTTACCTTCATTGCTAGTCTGGTCTTGAGCGCGCTCGAACTCATCACTGCCAGTGCGGCCAGCACGGCGAAGACCATCAAGCTCTTCGCGGGTGAGATGGCCCTCATAGAAATCCTTGATACCACCAGCAGCACCTTCAGGCTGAGCGGGAGGGGGAGGACGTCGGAGGAGAAGAGGACCCTGGAAGATGTTCCACCAGCGAAGCTCCCAGTCGTCGCAGATGACGAGACGGTAGAGCCAGGGGACGAGGAAGATGGTGATGAGAAGAGCCCAAGCGGCGCCGACACCGATGATCATGCCAGCGGTCTCGGCGTCGTTGAAGTCAACCTTGATGCTACCGCCCTTCCAGACGATAAGCATAGTGAGGAGAGAAGCAGTGATGCCGAAGTAAACAGGAGTGAGGAAAAGACCCTTCCAGACAGGTTTGCTTCGCAGCATAACACCATACTTGGTAATAAGGAAGATGAGAGCAGCGAAAGCACCAGACAGACCAGGAGCAATGATCCAAGCGAGAAAGACAGATACGACACCAGAGCTAATACCCTTGTCAAACTCAGCCCAGTGAATACCGTCTGCACCGACGAGTGCAATACCCATACCGATAACACCACCCATGATGGAGTGAGTCGTCGAGACAGGGAGACCGATCTTGGTACAGAAGGTGAGATACAGCGAGGAGGAGACGATAGCGCACATCATGCCGAGCATGAGAAGAGCAGGGTCGGACTCGAACTGGTCAATGTCGACGACTTTGGTGCGGATGGTGTCTGCGACACGGGCGCCAACACCAACGGAGCCAGCGAATTCGAGGATGGAGCCGAGAGTCATGGCTTGGATGTAGGAGATGGATCGGGATGAGACCGACGTAGCCCACGAGTTGGCGACATCGTTGGCACCTGAATTGTCAGTATATCTCTGGAGGAGTGACGTTGGAGTGACGTACCGATGTTCCAGGCATCAAGGAACGAAAAGATGGTGCCTATGGCAAAGATGTAATCATACTGATGAAGCACCATGATCAAGGCAGACCGAGAATTCGGGTTTCTCTCAGTATTCTAGAAGAGAGTGAAATGAACTGATGTCGGAAAAGAGCATGGGAAACAGAGCCCGCAGGCTGACTCCTTATATCACCGTACCATGGTGTGTGGATCGGGTAAGGCTTGGCGAACAAGCTTAATCTTATGCTTCTTGGGAGGGTGCAGGCCCTCGGTGAGTCCTTTGGTAGATTTATCGTCTTGGCGGGTGTGCTTGGCACGCGAGCAGGGGGAAGTCGAGTATCTCGTGCGTGGGTTCTTGATGGTCGTTGGGCAGGGGATGTCTGGGCGGGATGAAGTTGTGGGGGGTATTGGATAGTGAGTCTTGGTATCATGGCAATAATGTTGATATGTCTTGTGATTGGGATAGTTACTGTCATTGTGACTGAATGATGATATTGAAGTTGTTGTCTAAGAGTTGACTGCACGAGTTGTAGGCGAGGGAGTTGATGCTCTTGCGCTAGGACTAGAAGAGTCGTTTACTGGCAGACAGCTTGCGACATGGCCTCAATCCTCTAAACAAGGGTAGACAGCACGTCCGGTCGTATCGAAATGATCAGACTTCGCCGACAATAGCGTCAAACAGACTCCCAAAGAAGAATGTCACTGTTACTGCTCCGTATCAACACCGGAAATACAGTCTCGTCCTCAATCCAGATGACAGAAATACTCATACCAACAAACCACCAAATTATTCCTGCATCTACTAGGACACTCTTCTCAGTGGAATTGTTTATGGCCGCTCATCAACCCACGTGCATCAACGATTGTCGTTGAGAGCGGCTCTGTAGAGCAGGGGGCGGGAGCCAATAAGATGGGTCACAGCTCCACGTGGAGAAGCTCGTTCGCCCAGAGATGACCTCCCCAGATGCCAAGACTGATCAATTACAGGGCATATTGTGTCACTACTTGAGACAATGTCAAGGTCAAAAAGGTTAACGTGAATAAAGTTATTAGAGTTGTTCTTTTGGACTTCTTTTTATATCCGTAAAACGGCTATATTGTTATGCAGGACTAAGAGCATATGGTAGAGTGTACGGTTGAATGGTCAACTCAACATCGCGATATCGAAAAGACAAACTAAACCGTGACAAAGAGACTAACAAAGCCAATATCCCACATCGTCCCATCCATTTCAACCCGTCCCTCGCCAAGATCTCGCCAAGGACCGCGCCACTACTCCTTCTCCTCCCGCTGCAACATGAGCTTCTCATACAAGCACGTTTCCTCCCCGCCAAGCCTACCGCTGACGATTCGAAGCTTTTTCATATCCTGTTCCTCGGTGCATGTGGTTCTTGGCTTTAACAGCGGGAAAAGCATCCGGTATTCCATTTGCTTGCTTCGCCGACACTGGTTGATAGCATTGAGCCAGTAAAGGTCCATCACTTACGAGTCTGTCTTGGCTGTTAACCTGCTTTTGTAATGGTGGTTCAGCTTCCCTCGGTGATCGCCTTTGGCGACCTGTCTGTTCTAGAAATATCCCCTTCTTGGCTGGTGGTATTGAGCTCATTAAGGCGAAGCTGAGATTGGGAAAATTCTGTTAGTGGGAGGTTCTGCGAGTATGGTAAAAGTTTCTTGATAAATCTAAGAGGCTTGGCTATCTGTGTGGTTTACCAATCGTACATCTAACTTCCGATGCATGGTCTAGCTCTGTAAATCTACTGTACAGAGTACTGAACCGTGATTTATCTTCTTGACATTATTGCTTCCAGAATTCCACTCCCGGGGATCCGAACTCAAAGTTCCCTTGCCATCACTCCTCTTTCCTTGTTTTTCTCCCCAATAATAAGCTTTGTTTTCTGTGTCGCCTTACTCATTTCCAAAACGCCAGTCGATTTTCATAGCTTCGTCCATTCTCATCAACGTGTACCGAACCATCTTCCACGTTGTTGCCACCTGCTCTATCCAACCGGCGTCGCCTTTTTCGGGAGCTTTCACCTCAATCCAACCGTATTGTGACTGCTCAGCATCTACCGGTTCTCCCGGCCGATTGATCCATAGTCGAGCAATGAATTCATGGTGCCATATCTGGTCTCTTTGGTCGTCCTCCATAGCATCCTTAACCTCTGGCCACGATAAGGGCCTAAACTCAATCTTCTTGGTCTCGGTCCAGTACCTGAATCCAGCCCATTTCCCTCCCTGGGACCTACTGCCTCGGCTGTACCCATGGAAGCCAATCATCGGTGTATATGGCCAAAATCCGCTCGGGAAAGAAGTCAAAGGATCTCCAGGATAACGATAGTGTAGGGTGCGAGTCGGATCCAGCATCCATCTAATACCAGTATCACTCTGAAGCCGTAGAGATGCAGAATTTATGAATCTATCGTCTTCTGCCTCATGGATATTGGTTCTTGCGCTGGTTCCTGGCCCATATTGCTGAAAACTCTCGATATGCCAACTCCAATCACACTTGTCTATGACCAATGTAAACGCCTTGAGCATTGGGGTGTACTGCCATATAGGTAACGAGGAGTCGAACGGCAATTGGGAAAACGTCTCTCGCGCATCGCTGGGTTCTAAACCTACTGTAATGATGTCAATACCTCTAGTTATGATCCAAGCGCGGGGGGACGAACCTTGAGCTCCCACCGAGATCCAAGGCTTTGAGGTCCAATAGACCATGCGCCGGATAGGAAGGCCTGCTTGCTGAGAGGATTCTGGCCTTTTCTTCTGGGGAATTCCAGATAAATACCAAGGAACCGGGACATTTATCTTGAATGTTTCGTGTTGAGGGTCGAGTCGATACACATCTTTTCCACGCAAACATACCACGAAGTACCGAATTTGATCACATATCGCCTTGATTTCCGGGCACGAAGCCCAAATTCGTCTCAATTCTTCCTCCCCTTCATGCGCCGAACCACTAATCAAGTATACTTGGAAGTGATTCTTTACAAAGCGCGCAGGGGTCGAGGGAATAGCAAGTCTGATGATCTTGATCTTGAGCTCCATAGGCAATCGTTCGAAGGGGAAATACTCCATGACTCGGGTCATAAGGCAATTCAACCACAGGATGAAGCGTCAAGAAAGTAAGAGAGGAGAACAGGCTGAGAAGAGAGGATGAGTTGGGAAAAACCAATTACACCTACTTACTTTATGTTCGAATTTAGAATTTTCACTGAAAGTTTCTCGAAAGATTCACCGTTATTTTCGACGCATCATGGATTCACTTTCTGAAATATCAACTCTGTTTGCTAATGGGTTTATGCTACATCTGCGTCGGGCCAAGTGGCATAAAGTCTAAACAGTGAGCCACATATGTTATTTTCAGGTGGCCCGTGGCTGGGAGTTAAAAGATACATTTCGCAGAACTTAGTTACACAAGCTTTCAGAATGGAGTTCAATGAGAAACCCAAATTCTCGAGGCCTCTCGCAAAGAGTGGCCAATTGTTCCACATCTGTAGCATTCAAAGTCTAGCAGAAGAGGGGTTGACCTTAGAATATCGCCCAACCTTCGCTGTAGGCCCGAGACAAAGCCGAGATAACGTCACGTCAACCCGTCATACTTTCTATAGAATCAGAAGATTTATATATGCCACTCTTTTGTCTGTCTAAGGTCATACCCTAGGGTAATGCCCTAATCTAGAGTGCTCACGCTGAAACCAACAGGCCTAAGACGATACATCTCTTACCAAGCCAACTTGGCCAGTATTCCATGAGGCCATTTCCGGACACCAAACTTGCGAGCCTCATCTAGCAAAAGCTGGAAAATACCAAAAGCAAAAGGGAGAAACCAGTGTTCAACGGGTACAGGTGTAGTTCCAAGAACAGGCTGCAGAGGCGGGATGTACAGCCAGAAGATAGCCATAGCAAGCGAAAAGATAATCGCAGGGAACAGATACCAGTTCTGCGTGTTCGGGTTGAACAGAGGAGGATGCTGAAAGATACTGAGTCGACGGGTTCTAGTCGCCATCAGATTGAACCACTGCATCACAACAAGGTTGACAAAGTAGATAGACGAAGCCTCGTTGGTCTTGGCGAGGTAGTAGTCTGGATCGATACCAGCAGGGAGCTTTCCGAAGCTGAACCACAGCTCGCTGAAGGGAATGCCTTGACGCTGGAGATACCAGAATGCCATGGCGAAGGATGCGACTGTTTGTAGGACGCCGTTGACTCCGTATGCTTGGAGGATGAGTTGCCAGTTGACGAGGCGGTCCTTCTTGATGTTGCGTGGGGGACGGGTAAGGATGTCGGCTTCGGGCTTTTCGTAGGATAGCATTGTGGCGGCGGCACAGTCGGTAAAGCAGCTATTCGAGGTTAGTGAGTGTCGGGCTACAGGTAACAGGGGTACTTACCAGATGATGATCATGAGGAATGAAGAGAGAGCTTGGGGTAAACCGAAGGCGACAAAAGCCATGACGGGCCAGAACTCAGAGAAGGAGCCGGCAGGCAAGAGGTAGGAGATGACCTAGAATCAATGTTAGTTTCTGATATTCGGCATGGATCTCATTAAGACATACCTTCTTGAGATTGTCAAACACAACACGACCATACTGCACAGCAATAATGATAGAAGAGAACGTATCCAACAACACCATATCAGCCGCCTCCATAGCGATATCCGAGCCACTACCCATCGAGATACCAACATCAGCAGCCCTCAGCGACGGCGCATCATTGACTCCATCACCCGTCATGGCTACAACATTCGCCTTCTGGAACTCACGAACGATGCGGAGTTTCTGTTCTGGCGTTGTTCGCGCAAACACAATCTCCTCGTAGTGAGTAAGTGTCTCCCACTGATGCTCGTTAAGAGACATGAGTTCCGGACCGCTGAGGACGATGGCACCGAGGTGGGAGATAGGTGAGTCTTTGGTGTCATCGGGGCTGTAACGCTGGAGAGCTGTGCTGTCGTCGACGGTTTGGGAGGTTACGATGCCGGCTTCGCGGGCGATGGCTAGGGCGGTGAGGGCAAAGTCGCCGGTTACCTGATAACTGTCAGTTAGGGTATTGATCACCAGGGAATTGGAGAGGACTTACCATGGCGATACGAATACCAGCGCCGCGCAACGTACTCACAACATGAGGAATGTCATGTCTCAATGGGTCGACGATAGCCACCATTCCGACCAAGGTGAGGCCACTGTTGGACTCCCTTGTGACAGCATGCTCAAACTCACTTGTCTCCCGGTTCTTAGGTAGGTCACTGCTCTTGACAATCTTGCGAGCGAGTAACAAGCATCGTTTACCTTGTGAAGAGTAGGTGTTCTTCAGTTGCTCCACCGTAGCTCGCATAGCAGCATTGAGAGGGATGGCTTCACCATGTTCAGAGACGTAGTGCGAGCAACGGCCGATAAGAACATCAGGGGCACCCTTGATTGTCAGGAGGCTATATACAATGGTTAGAATGGTTATTTTGAGTGTTTTTGGAGACTACTTACACATCATCGGTATTAAACGCAGTCTCCTTGCTAAGCGTAGCAGCTACAGCCTCGGGCCTGGTGCAGGAAAAGCAACGGATCATGAACTTGTTCTTACTGTTGAAAGCAAGATCGTAGATCTTGTTCCAGCAAGCACGGAGGTAATCGACGCTGCTTGGGTCAACAAATTCGGCGAATCGAAGGACGGCTTGATCAGTGGCATCACCAAAGATCCTACTGTCGGCCAGTGGAGCATCCTTTGTAGCAGCATCAAACTCAGAGGCGTTACAAAGTGCAGCCAAAGCACGGAGTTGGAGGATGGGATGGGTAACACATTTAGACTGGCCGAATTTGCCGCGAGCGTTCTCGATAGTCATGTTGAGTCCTCCGACTGCGCAGTCAGAGACAGCCATCTTCGCCTGTAGCTTGTTAGTGCAGTTCGGATATTCATGACAGAGAATTCTTACAGTGGTGAGGGTACCAGTCTTGTCAGAGCAAATCACGGAAACGGAGCCAAGCGTCTCCACGGTCTTGAGGGACTTGCAGAGAATCTTGTTCTTCTTCATAAGGTTGGCGGTGATTGTGAGACCAGCTGTGATGGAGATGGGAAGACCTTCGGGGATGAAGGCAATGGCGACGCTGACGCAGTTGACGATGAGGGTTGGTACGTTGATGAAGTCGGGATGCTTCTTTTTCAGAAAGGCGCCCCTGTTGAAGTATGTTAGTCTTGCAACGGAATAGTAAGATGGTGGAGGAGACGTACCAAATGATGCAGACAACAGCAATCATAGTTATCATGATACTAGCAATGATGATGACAAAGTAAAGCACTTCCTTCTCAAGAGTCGTCATCTGCACTTTCGGCTCATTCGTCAAACTCGCGATACGTCCAAACACCGTCCTATCACCAGTAGCAACGACAATACCAGTGCATGAACCAAGGATACAGTGTGTACCCTGCAGACCAATATTATGCGTCTCGAGATAATTGGTATCAGTGTGGTCCACAGTACCCGCCACAGGCTTAGACTCTCCAGTAAGAACAGAACGATCAAACTTGACGTCAGAAGAAGCCTCAATCAAGCGAATATCAGCGGGTAGCTTGTTACCAGCTTTGACCTTTATGACATCGCCTGGAACGATATCTGCAGCGTTGAGATCGACCAGATTACCATCGCGAATGACGTGTCCTTCTTCAGGGAGCATGTTTTTGATGGAGGACATGGTGCGTGATGTAGACCAGTCTTGAAACATGTTGAAGAGGGCTTGGATGAAGAACACGGCGAGGAGTACAATAGCGAGTGCCTTCTGACATCAGCAAACCGAAAAGACAAAGCACAGTGAATAGGGAGACTCACGAGGTTGGCAACAGCAGGAGGATCACCCAATGGCTTCCACGAGATAAAGACGAGGATACATCCAATGAGAAGAATACTTCCGAAACCGCCGAAGAAGTAGAGAAAGATTGTTCTGAACCAGTGCGTCTTAGCTGGAGACGGTGCGTTTCTGCCATATTCGCGCTGTCTTCGCTCAGCTTGTTCGGTCGATAGGCCAGCGGTGGATGAAGTAGTGAGGCGTTTCTCAACGTCGAAGGGTGCGATGGTATGCCACTCGAGGTCCGTCAAAGCTATACGCGCACCAGTTATTAGTACAACTCAACTTAGTAGAGTAAAGCGAGGGTGTATTACCTTTTGTAGTGACGTCTTTCGCCTTGGCAAGTTCAGCTTGTTCCTTGCCCTTGGACTCCTCAATGTTGAATGAGCTGTCCAGACATCAGTACAACTAGCTCCTTCATTCTCAACCAGAGGGAATTACGACTCACACAGTACGATAGGTAACAGGAAGAACAAGCGACGGATCAGCGCGATTTCTCGAGCCGGCTCGATGGATACTCAACGAATCCCTTGAGCGAGGGCGAGACCGTCTACGAGAACGTCGCTCACCATGACGCGAAACGCGACCGGCTTCGTCGTCATCGTTCCAGTGAATGCGCTCACCGACAAGTGCGGCGTCCTTTTTCTCGTCTTCAATCATGTTGAAGGTGAGAGGACAAGTAACCAAGTGAGAAGAGAAGAGATATCAAGGCAAGTAACAGAGTAGAATAAAATGGTAAAGCGACAGGAGAAGATGGGAGAGTGCGAGCCTTGATATTTGTTTTGGTACGTGGGTAGCAGGATAATCGCTCATCGTTTCTGGACAGTTCGCGTTAAGCGACGTCGTAAAGGCTGGGTGAAGTATTTCGTATAAGTGAATCCATAGTAAAGATACATTTCTCGTAGCTCAGCTCCGCCTCTGATGCCACGTTCAAAGCAGGATTAGTGCCTTTTCTCTTTTCTCGATCCCTTTTCTCCACAGGACCTTGGGTAGGGACCTTAAAAAACCGATATCGATAAACGAGAAGCGCGCCCTCCTTGGTGTCGTGATGTTAGACCAGCCCTGGGAGTGTACCAATACTGCGGTTAAGACATATCACCAACTTTGGTGTTTCCTGCGTACACGATTGGCTATTCTAGGGCATGTGGTGTGCACTGCCTCGATAGCAGTTTACGCTTAAACGAGTAATCCATGAGCTATGACGCGAAGGAATCGTGGGGAGTCTCTGTTCCTCGTGCAGGGTGCAAGTGAGGGAATATCAAGACACGAAAACATTGGACGAAACCCTTAGCTGAGGAGGCGCAGCGTCGATCTGTCTAGGTAATCCGGTTCGGCATGTGCCTGAACTGGGCAACCTGTCGCGCATGCAGCACAGACACAATGTGATCAGTGCACTCCCACTGACAGAAATAAAGCAAGGGCTAAGAGAAAACAAGCCTTTTCTTTCCGAGCAGGTGGGTGTACGGCAGCAAATGCAGGTTTTGTGATTCAACCCCTCCTCTAGCCAGAATCTGGCAGCTCGCTAGCAGTGAGGAAACAAAGCCTGGATGAAATGAGGTATCCGAGATTTGAGACGCTAACAGCGGGCGCAGCTGGGAGCCCACTCACTGATTCTCTCTCTCACGTTGGATGAAAAGTTGGACTGGTCTTTTTAGAGGCTCGATTTACGACGTCTTGGCTGTGCGAGACAAGCTTTTTAGCGCCGGGTCCTAGCGTTCAGGGTCCCCGTCAGTGCAACGCTGTCACGGTCATTTCACAAGCCACTCGATTTTGGACGAGAGATTGGCTATGTTAATATCATATCATGATGAAAACAGAAAACCCCAAATTGAAGATGTTGTTCAGCTTGCTCAGGGTACATCGGTGGATGCAGAGAGATGTAATCTTGTGGCAAAGCGCGATTAGCTTCTCAATGACCCAAACCAAGACAAAGCAGCGCTTCAACGCAAACTCCCGGGGGTGCTTTACAAACCCTCATTTCTTACTCCGTTTCACAAGCCCTGAAAAAAAAGAGGTCATATGCTGCAAACAAAGAGGGGAGTTTCGGCCGTTGGTGGAGGTGAGGGATTTATCTGAGTCGTTGGTTTGTTTTGTTTACGAGGGCTCGTCAGGTCAGGTACCGCCTTGTCATTTCTGAGCTTTGAGAATAGGGCTGTAGACTACCCCAGTACAAGGCGCGGGACCAGTATTTAATCCCCGACCCCATCTCATCGCGCTATCCAGTTTCAGGGTGTCAGATTCGGCTGGCGGCCTCCAGGCAGATCCATTTCGCGTAGAGTCGCCAATTCTGATGAGTCTTGTTTTACAAATTGCGATGATTGAGAGCGTAATGGTTATGTAATGTGAGTTTTTGAAGGGAAATGAGGTGGTAAGACAAGGCAAGATAGCCTCCACGCGAGGTAATCGATTTTTTTTGGGGCCATCTCAAGGACACGGAAGAGTGATTCCCGTTGAGTCGGTGCGCACGGGTAGTGTTCGATGCATGACTCAATTCGGTGCTAGCTAAGTCTTTTAGGAACATCCCTTGGATGGAACTTATGAAAAGCATGCGGCTTCGCTAGCCTGATTGTCCAAAGGACATTTGCGATCAAGCGGTAGCTTCGCATCCCTCATTGCCTGGGTCTAGGGTAATGCAACGTGAGGATTTCCAAGAACGAATCATTATAGGGAACAAAGCCATCAATTAGTTATTCTTTAAGTACATGGGAGAACTGAGATTGAGGCTCTATCTCAATTTATTTTATTCAACTTGATGCTTGCTGTTTCCACTACCAGCCTCGATCATTTTGTAGAGGCGTTGCGCCCATTTCAAGCTCCATCTTGTCCCTTTCAGTGCATTGCACCGGACCTCATTATCGATAAGCTATATCTTATCATCCAAATGCCATGCGTGACGTCACATCATAACGCCCAATGCTCTCCATCACCAGCTTCACATGATGAGAATACAAAAAGGTGCACTCTCGCCCTCATCGTTGGCATTGAAACTCTGCCACCCCGCGGGATTTGGGGTCCGTTCATGATCCAACTAATCCGAACCCTCAATTCCTCACTAAATCACCCCCAAAACTCCTCCTCCCCCACGGCGGGGCTCCTCCGGCCTCGGCTTCAACGTAAAAGACAAACTCTGATTGGTCCTTTTTGCTACAAAAACGGTCTTCTTTCCGATGTCATCATGTTGCCCATCATGCGCTCATCTCCACGCTTCGGCATCCGTACATATACCTCCCGCTCCCTGCAACTTCCCCTCTCACGTAGATTCATCTCCAATTCCTACTCAAAACTGCCCGCCATGAAGCTCCTCTACCCAACATCCCTCAAACTCGACGTCCAGAGCCTCGAGGGCTTCTCCGTCGACCTCTTCCCCTACGACGTGAAGCAGACCATCCCCGAAGAGCACGTCGACGCCGAGATCCTCGTCACCTGGACAAACACCCCCGAGAACCTAAAAGACGCCGCCAAGCGCCTCACGAAGCTCCAATGGATCCAGTCCCTCGCCGCTGGGCCAAATGATGTCCTGGGTGCTGGGTTCGACGCCTCCAAGATTAAAATCACGACAGGCTCGGGTCTGCACGATCACACTGTCGCTGAGCACGCGCTGGGTCTGCTTCTCAACGCCGCGCGCCGCTTCTACGAGATGCGCGATTATCAACTCCAGGGAAAATGGCCTGGTCATTTAGGCGGTCCTCAGCCCGATAGGCCCAAGAATTCATTTACGACACTGCGCGATGCGCGTGTTTTAATCTGGGGCTTCGGCAACATTGCAAAGACCCTCACCCCGCAGCTCATCGGCCTCGGCGCCGAAGTTCGGGGCATTGCGCGCCGAAAGGGTGTCCGCAACGGAATTGAAGTCTACAACGAAGACGATCTCGACACACTCCTCCCCGAGACCGACGCGCTCGTCATGATCCTCCCAGGCTCTGATGCCACGCGCCATGTTCTCAACGCTCAGCGCCTGAAGCAATTGCCCAACCACGCGTGGGTCGTCAACGTGGGGCGCGGTACATCTGTTGACGAGGATGCTCTTGTCGATGCGCTTGAGAAGGGAGAGATTGGGGGTGCGGCGTTGGATGTTTTTGAGACTGAGCCGCTTCCTGAGCCGAGTAGGATCTGGAAGGCTCCTAATACTATTGTGTCGCCTCATGCGGCTGGTGGAAGACCTCAGGGTGCGGAGGGGCTTATCGCTGATAACCTAAGACGGTTTAGGGCGGCGCAGGAGTTGAAGAACCTCATTTAAAATAGAATAGAGAATAAATCAAATATCCAAGTTAATGATTATCGACCTTTAATGAACTTCTGGTGATTGAAACCTGCATTCAGTGGATGGTCCGAGATCCAATTGATGAGGGCATTCGCAAAAAATTCATGACTCCACTTTTCTGTCATGATGAAGCAATTCACAGGCACTTCTTCGTTTGTTGACTGGACATGACTCTACAAAACATTGCAAGCTTAAGAAGATGCACAAACTGAATCTTGCTACCTTATATACGAAAGTGTCCAGAGACTGAGTAGACTACAACTGAGCTCTGTATGAGGCTCCAGTGTAGCTTGAGGATGAAGAGTTCAGTGAGTAAGGGAAAAGAAGACCGTCAGAGTACCTTAACTCTAATCGCCATGATACAGTCTAAAGTATGAGAACACCGTGGGAAGTCAATCAAGCGTCACATCAAAGTAGAAACGAAAGAGAATTGAGTGATCGGCCGATCTATTGACTATAAAAAAAGAATCTAAAGCAAACTGCAAGTCCGAACGAAACGAATGTCTAGTACAAGTTCAAATCTCTCCATCATGATATCCCAAGCTGAGACATCATGCTCCCCCTATTACTTTTCATGCTATATCGAGCCTAACCCATCCAAAGGTGAAGCTCGAGCATCCTCCAGTGTTTCTTATACAAGTGCCGGTGAGGTGTTGCCGCTTAGTTGTGCTTGCCAGAGTCCTTGTCCTTGGGAGGGAGAGGAGCCTTGGGCTTGTCGTCACCATGGGGCTTGTCCTCGGGCTTGATGCCGCGCTTGTTGTTGGGAGGGTTCTGAGGAGCCTTGCCCTTGGGCTTGTCACCAGCAGGGGGTTGGCCGTCGACAGGAGGCTTGCCATCAGGCTTCTCATCCCTCTTGTTGTTGGGAGGGTTGATAGGAGCCTTGTTCTTGGGTGGCTTGTCACCGACACGGGGTTTGTCCTCAGGCTTGCCCTCAGGCTTGTTGTCTCTCTTGCTGTTGTGAGGAGGGTTCTGAGGAGCCTTGCCCTTAGGCTTCTCACCAGTGGGGGGTTGGCCATCGACAGGAGGCTTACCCTCAGGCTCATCATCCCTCTCAACCCTAACCTTTACCTCACCACGCGGCTTATCCTGCGTAGGCTTGGTGTTGGGCACAGCCTTCTCAGAGCAAGCCTTGTCAAACACATACAAGTTATTTCCCTGGCTGGGAACCTGAGCCGCAGGGACAGAGTAGAGCTTGCAGGCAGGAGCCTTGGCGTCAGCGGGCAAGCCGAAGAGGAAGCTCTTGCAGGAGGCGTGAGCGGTGCAGAGCTTCTGGCAAGCCTGGGCGGTGGAGGCAGTTGGAGTGGAAAGGGGTTGGATTTTGGTGGAGGGAGTGGCGGAGGGGGCGATGTTGCACTGCTGGGAGCGGGTGTCGAAGGGATGGGCGAGGATGGCGGTGGCCATTGAGGCGGTGAGCACGGCGATGGTGGTCTTCATGATGAAAGATTTGAAGTTGAAGTTGAAAGTTGAAAGTTGAAGTTGTGTGAGCTGAAAGAGTGTTGAGAGTGGGTGATTGAAGTGATTGTGTTGGTGAGGAAAGGTATGTCTTTGTCGAGATATCATGATCCCTTTATACCCATCGAGTCGATCATATTCAAGGTTCCCAACAACAACATTGTCTCGGAACTTTTCATGACCGCGTCAGCTATTTCCGTAATGTCGTGAAGATCAGGCGCTTTGGCCTGTTGGAGTTTACAGCATCGAACAGCTCTCAATGGTGATGCTCTCAGTGGTGATGCAACTCGAGGTTGTAGCCAGCTCCACATCATGCATGCAAGCAGTGCCGTTGTTGATAGTCCCGAGCTTACGTGCCCGATTATGAGTTCACCAAGGTACATCTTCCAGAGTTACATGATCATCATGCCTACATGGTATAGAAAGCATGATCTTGGGCACTAAGCCAGTAGGACTGTACGGAGCAAGAGTGTCCTTATTCACAGCATGACGAATTTTATGTAATGTTACCAATGCCGTTGCTATGTTTACTTCGTCCAGTCATCAATGACCGTGCTTTCTCCTATTCGTTGGACGGAAAGTTCCGTTCATTACGGCTGGGATGAAATGATCGCTGTTGTTTACCAGCATTAGGCCGATCCCCCACATGCCGTTGAAACAAATCTACGTTTCCCTTCGGGACCTTGGGTAGGTTTTGCGCTAAAACTGTGTTTGTAGGTTCAGGGCTTGCAGTAGCCTCGTGGTGTTAGCGGCTGAGGCTCTGTTGAGGCTCTGCATAAGGAAATGTTCAAGTTATGAATAGAACTCCAATGTTAGTCACGGCTTGAGCATCGCTACACTTGAAGTATGCATTGCTGGACTTTTTTATGACTTTAGCACATATAATGCTAGCCGTTAGTCGCACTTCTGCCTGTCGACTTCACATCAATGGCTAAGAGACATCATACGTAGACAGTATATTCAATGCCAACCTTGATTTTGTAACTTGTTTACTATACAGCCCAAACTTCATGAACATCGACCAATAATCAACAGCTCCCGGGTAGTTTTCAACTAATCTTTGGATAATATTTTCCTTATTCTACTCCTTATGTGGCTGTGCATTTCGTTTCTTCGATCCACTCGTAGTGAAACAACCAGTGTCCAAACTACTGCATACAGTGCGCCCCAGAAATCGTTTCTACCGGACCCGCATAAACATCCACGTAATCGGCATCAAAGCTCAACAACCTGGTCTGATCTGCCGACACTAACAACGAAAGTTGCTATTCTGACTTGAATAGGCTGAACACGCTGATTGGTTCAAAAGCACACTGAGCAGATTACCTACTTCTACTATCTACTCAAATGAGTCCTCAGCTTCCTTAAACTTAGCTATAATCTCCCTGGTAGCTTGCAATGGCAGAGCTTCCACCGTCCGGCCCATATTGCCCGTCATCGTCTCAGCCATACAAAGCGCATTGTATATAGCCTCCTCCGTAGCATCAGCCACTGCTTCAAAGAGCCCATTGATACTCTTGTTGTTGGTCGCTTCTACGTCAATCAGCTCGGGCTTGAATTTATCAACGACTCTATCCTCTCCAGGGACTGGTTGCACGGGTATCTCAGCAGCCGTTGAAAACGCAAGAAATAAATCCCCTGAAGGATTATGAGCATAGCTGCCTACACGCGCAAGGCCCATGGTCGCTCGTTTGGCTAACCGCTTGAGCTGGCCTGGAAGAAGCGGTGCATCCGTGGCGAGGATGACGATGATAGACCCGTCTTTCTTGTCCTTTGCGTCGTTGTATGCTTTATCGTGAGCGGCGGCGGCCTCGTCTTTTGCCCTTTGCTTTTGTAGGATTCGTCCGACTGGAACGCCTGAGATGTGCAGATGCTGGAGTCTTCCATAGTTGGCCTGGACAAGAGCGGCAACCGTGTAGGATGTATCGTTCTGCCCAGGCACGATTCTACTACTAGTCCCGGTACCGCCTTTCCCTCCATGGCACAGCATACCTGTTCCGCCACCCACGTTGCCCTCGGCAATAGGTTCCTCAGAAGCATTCGTGATAGCGTCCACGACGTGTTCAGGCGTTACAGCAAATTGTCTCAGATCATTGAGATGCCCGTCAAAGGTCTCAGCAACGACTGGCAGCAGAAACCAATCGATTCCCTCCTCGCCTTTTCCGTAATGTTCAATTGCGTACTTGTAAATGCCGGTGTAACACGGTCCTACGGCAAAGCTGTTGGTGATGAGAATGGGCGAGTGCAAGAGACCGCTTTCTTCGATCCAGTGTGTCCCAGTCATTTCTCCAGATCCGTTGAGGCGGAAGACGCCGGCATGGCAGGCCTTGTGGAACCAGTCTTTTCTGGGGAGGATAGTGGTTAGCCCCGTGTTGATTTGACCGCTCTCATCACGAATAGTGGTAGTATGGGCGAGGACACCGGGGACGTCTGTGATGCCGTTTTTCGGACCAGGTGACCAGAACCCGAGATGGGTCTCTGGTATGACATCGCGGAGCCTACCGCGGGGTTGCTGCTGGGATGTATTCGTTGCCATTGTTTTAGATGTTCGTATCCTGGCGTGTTTGTCTTATGATGCACTGAACCACTTTGTAAGCCTCAAAGACTGAAGGGCAACTGCTTTCCACTACTTATAAAGCCTGGCTAAAAAAGAAGAGATAGAGGATTTGATGCGTTGTTTTCTGATTTTCGGCATGAGTCACATCGATCCATTTATCTCTAGCTAATCTTACTTACAGTCCAAAAGAGAAGGTCCTAAGGTGTATAATACTACATATAGCCTGGATCCGGATCATGTGGTGATTCGACTTTGCGCAGGATTTGTTCACTGCCACTTTTATTAAATTGCAGAGTGCCAATTGTGGTCAAAGAAGCTTGCTGCCTTCAAAATAGAAGAGTCATATGATATTTTACCCCTCTTCTAAAGGTAAGCTAGATTGCATTGTTAATGCCTCAGCCAGCAGACGGATGAATCGATCATCGGATAAGCAATTCTTACTCTAGCAACCAAGAATGAGGATCTTCATTAGACCATGATATACAGCGAACAAGCCGGTCAATGCGCGCATAGCTATGTGTTGTTTCCCTCCAGCCGGTGGATCATCCCACTTCCCGCTCCGGCATTAGCTTCAGTGACAAGCTTTCAGGATATAAATAGACATCGGCACTTTTCACCAATAGACGCTCTTGTAACATCTTCGGATGAAACGGAAGAAGAGTTCTGCCGAGCTGATGTTCTTCTGTTGGAAGAAATGGATATCGAGATGTAGGGGCTGAGCGCGAAAGCCTCAATCCAGACTAAGAGTGGCTGGAGGTTTCAAAACCCGAGTAAACCAGTTATCCCGAGAGTAACTCAGAAAAGTGCTTACGAATTTGAAGAGTGTCTGTCACGAAAGCGGAGTGAAGCTGTGTCTCGTGGAGCAGAAGCCTGCATGAATTTGAATCAATAGTTCATAGCTTGTCCATGATGATTCCAGAGTCTGTTTGAGAATCGGGGAGAATCGGCTTTCGGGCGTGTAGGTAGGAAGGGCTCATACGTGTATCATGGTTCGTAGCCGATTAAATGACCAATTTCGGGATCAAGACCAACCTCCGGATAGAAGATGAAATGATCTAAATGGCGCTTCCGAACTACTCCTGCGTACCACCAGTCAATACAGGATCTCATGAAAGTCGAGTCAAAGGAATTATCTGGCTGAGTGAAGAAGACAAAGAGAAAAGTCCCATAGATGTCCTTGAACATGAGAGTCGCTTATCACAAAGAGCGAGTTGCACGAGATCAAATTGCAGACCTCATCTATTCCCATCGCCTCGAGAGGGAATCTAACTGTCTCAGCGGTCGACGAGATCCTCATTCAGAACGAATCTCGGGTTTCGCGAAGCATAACTCAACTTTCATAACGTCCTGTTCCCGTGACGACCTCGGAATGAACCTGGACTTCACCCAGCCACTGGCTATCTACGTCTGAGCTAGATCACGGAGCTCCTGAGCCTGGCTACGTCGAGAAAATGCTTCTTTCCCACTTCACGATCAAGAACTTGGAGATTTCAAGCGTTAGCTTTCAGACTATCGATTTTCAGATTCATGCAGACATCCATACCGAGGGTCTTTGTACACAGAATAGCGTGACGAACGCGTCAGTAAGAAGAAACTCCTCTCAACTGCATGAACAAACTACGCTAAATGGTCGACTGTTGAGGATAAATACTTGACTTGTCTCCCATCAACTTCAACTTTTCTCATCACAGCATCAATCACCCTAAGAACACTCGTTTATCTTCATCACACTCTCTAAACCACATTCATTCACTCTCTCAATCCTTCAACAACCTCATCTCAAAATGAAGTACTCTCTCACCCTCCTCTCCCTCTCTGTGGCCTCCGCCATCGCAACCCCCTTCTCCAGCACCCAAACGTGCAACGTCGCCCCCTCCGCCTCTTCCAACCTCAACATTCAACCTTACCACACCGGTAAAGCCGACACCGCCATCGACTGCCAGACCTTCTGTGCCTCCGATGACCACTGCAAGTCCTTCGCCTTTGGTCTCGTCAAGGGCCACTCGCAGCCAACCTGTCTCCTCTTCAAGGTCTCAGCCTTAGAGATTCCTGCTCGCAAGGATGGTCTTCACGTCTTTGATAAGCAGTGTGCTGCTGATCGCGTTCCTACTTCTGCGCCTACTGCTTCTGAACCTTGGGGCAATGTGCCGAAGAAAGTCCTTGTTCGGCGATCTTTGAAGTGTAACTGTGCTGCTTCTGGTTCTGCAAGCGGTGACATTGAGCCGTACAAGACTACTACTGCTGCTACGGCTAAGGACTGTCAGGCTCTTGCGGAGGCGGATTCTTCGTGCCAGAGCTTCTTGTATGGTCTTCCTAGCGGATCGAGCACTCCTGTCTGCAAGCTTTACGAGGTGGCTGCTGCCAAGGTTCCTGCTCGCAGCGATACTCTCTTTGTCTTTGATAAGGGCTGCTCTTCTAAGCAGGTTCCTACCACTCCTCCTACTGAGGACGCTCCCCGCGGGCTCGTCGGTACTACCAAGACTACCAAGGTTCAGGCTGCGCCCAAAGCTACCAAGGTTGCTGAGGTGAAGGCCGAGAAGCAGAACAACGACGTTTACAAGGTTTCCAACTCCAAGCCCAAGACTACCAAGGTGCAGAAGCCCAAGGCTAAGGCTACCAAGGTCGCCAAGGTTGAGGACGACAACACCCAGTACGCTCAGGTCGGCGGTAACTCTGTTAAGAAGCAGGCCAAGGTTACCAAAGTAGTGAACAAGCAACCCAAGGTTACTAAGGTCGCAAAGGTCAACAACGAGAAGGTCCACAAGAATCAAGACAAGTCTGAGGCTAAGGTCACCAAGGTGGAGAACAAGCAGCCCAAGGCTACAAAGGTCCAGAACAACAAGCCCCAGGCCACCAAGGTTCAATACAAGGATGAGACCAAGAACATTAACGACAACGGTAACAAGAACGTCAAAGCCGACAGCCCCAAGACCCTCGCTACCAAGGTCCACAACATCGAGCACCAAGCCACCAAAGTCCATGGCGTTGAGCACCAGGCTACTCAGGCTGAGGGCAAGAAGTCTGCTTGCAAGACTACCAAGGGCTCTGCTTCTCAGCCCAAGATCACCCAGGCTTAGATGATACTACTTTGAGGAAGAAGTGGCTGTGTCAAGGTGGTTCTGTTGAAGAGCCTTCATTTCTTTCTCGGTCCTCGTCTCTAGATATCCCTGTCTATTCATCATTCAGGCTCCTGAAGCGACGACAAACTCTGTCTCTGTTGACAACTACTTTCCTTTCGTATCTATCTGCTTTATCTTCTGTACTCTTAAACTGTTTACATAGATTCGAGCTATATAGTCTTTCAATAACATACATTTCCTTTTCTACCTTGACGCGCGCTTTTTGACAACAAATTTTTAATCATTATACATTAATTCGGGATGAAGATGCATTTGCATAGTGGGCAATCGACATGATGTTCTTTGAACCAAGAGTCCAGGCATCTGGTATGGAAGACGTGCTCGCATTTTAACCGACGTACATCTTCCTCGTCCCCCAGCGTCTCAAGACAAACAGCACTGCATTGCAATCTGTTAGCATGACTCCAACTTTGTCCGGGTTGGATGAAATACCATATCTCTGCTAGACTGATTTCTGTTGAGCTCACGCTTGATTGTTTTCTAACATCCTTGTACTTGATAGATGGATTCGCTCGGTTTAGCGTCTGCAGGTTATGTCGTTCTATCGGCGTTCGCTGTCTTGGAGGTACGCGAATAACGGTCATGCGAGGTTGTGGACGGGTATTACAACTCCGGAACTTTAAAAGGATACTTTGCGGGTTAACCTCAACTGGCGTGCAAGCTGGTCTGTGTACCTACAGGATGATAGTGACTATGGCGAGAGTCCCACCGAATAAGAACCAGGGTAGGTGCACGCTCGAAGCCCTACAATTATAGCTTTTAGTCTCAAGTCCTTATGGATACTTCCGAGTACATTTCGTAGATGGGGAGCATTAGAGCACTTACATCGAGGGCCCTTTACATGTGAATATCCGCAAAGCTCGACCGCATTCACGATGCGAGACGGGCAAACATGCCTCGGTTAAACCAATCTCCGAGTATTGACTGATTGTCGGATAAATCAAGAGCGGATATCAAAAGCCAAGGTGTTTCAACGGAATTGGCATTTGTCTGATAGCTGTTCAGCGCAGCGTGAGATGTGAAGAATGAGATCAAGACAGCAGTGATATAAAGAGATGATTTTGGAGAGACTGTTTGTGTCTAAATCATTGAATTGTCACGGACATTGCCCACCTTTCAAGGGATGCCCAGAACAATTATCCAACTGACAAGACCAGCCAAGCACAGTAGCACTCTTTTGCACTGCCACTCTTCCCACCCTCGCTAAACCCAACCCGGCCAATAATCACCAGCCAAGAACCCATCACTCAACGTCGTCATCACCCATCAAATCCCCTAAAACATGCTCAAAAGAAATAACATAAACCCCGAGATCATCCCTTGACGCGTATATACCATTTCGTCTAGACCACGGAGTATTGTTTCAGGGTGTTCTTCCAGGGATTGTTAATAAACATATTCAAAACGTGACTGGGTTCGTCGTATAAATGTGGATCGCCAAGTTTACTCCTGATGATGCCAAGTCGGCTTTGAGCAATGTTATCCGGTAGTTGGCGTACACGCGGTGAACAAATTTTCTCCCTTTCTCACCAAATCAGTTCACTCCAGTCGCATTAAGGTTTAAGCATACTGATCAAAGCTGACCAGCTTTATCTGACACTTTTCAGCTCAGCCCCCTTCTCCCGTCCCGTCCCCTTCCTTTCCCTGCATCCATCTCCCCTCATCATGGGTATCAACTTTGGTCAGGCGATCGGCACTGCTTGTGCGACATTCGCCGTCACCAACGTTGATGACATTTTCGTCCTCGTCGCGTTTTTCGCAGAGGCTACGACGAGTCGTTCGCTCACGCCTGTCAAGATTGCTGTAGGACAATATGTTGGCTTTACAGTTATTGTTGCTGTGAGCATGATTGGCTATGGCGCGTCGTTGCTCATTCCCGCGGAACCAATTGGATTTCTTGGCCTGTTACCAATATTGCTGGGTATATGGTGGATTTTGAGCTATATCTTTAGCAAGGGTGAGGAGGAGGAGGAGGAGGCGTTGGATCAAGAGTTGACGACTGCTGATGGGTTCAAGGCTGTTTTCAAGGTCGCTTCAATTACTGTCATGAACGGTGCGGACAATATCAGCACCTACATTCCCCTCTTTGCAGAAGCAAAAGCTGGAGAGCTGGCGATTTATATCGTTGTTTACTACATCATGCTTGGCGTATGGTGTTGCGCAGCATATCTTATCATGCGGCAGAAGCATATTCTACATATCGCACAGAAATATGCACGCAGGTTGGTGCCTTTCCTGTATGTTGGTCTCGGAATCTTCATCATCGTCAACTCGGAGTGTTATCCCTGGGCTATTGAGGAGATTGACGATGACATTGCTTCACATCCTGGCAAGATTGTGATGGGAGTCACGACTGCTGGTTTATTGGCGATTTGCATTGGTGCCATGCTTTGGAGAAAGTTGAGCCAGAGATCACAAGAGGTTCTTGTCGACGATGCATCGTCTGCTGTCGATGGTCAACGGGGATCACAAGAAGGACGAGACACGGCGCAACAAGTTGGAGAGCAATCTGAGGCTTCCAGAGACGCAGGTAAGGCTCAAGACTCTCTTTCTAAAACTGATACTAGAAGTTGACTGACAGGAAACTAGGCGTTGTCGACGGCTATACGAACAAAACCGGAGCGCAAGTCAGGAATATCCCCGTTGACGTTCCCAGGGAGGGAGGCTCAACGGTATAAAGAATATTACGAATAAAGATATGAGTCTAGCGGGAACCAGCGCCTAGTCTGGCATCAAGTTATTCTTAATAATATTTTATATTTCGTGACGTCGTCACTTTGCCAAAGCAACTACGTAACGCCGCATCCGCCGGATTATCGAGGGTGAAGAAGCTTATCGAAGCTCCCGTCTTGATGCAGATTATCTGCCGTCAAGTGCATCCTAGAGCACCCCCATTCGACGCCATGCCGAACCATATCTCTATCTTCAATTTCAGACCGCTTACCCACGGCTTAGTGTCCCCTTTGAAGAGCATCTGCCTCAGATGCTAATGCAACACGACAACAAAGTTGTAAATTCTAGACATCACATCGACGCTTATCTGATACCTAGATCACCCAAGCACATATATTAACAAAATTCAGTTCAATGCAACCAGTTTTCCCTCGATATCACTTCCCAAGGTGGGAACTGGGGTCTAGATTCGGACACCCGACAACCTTCTTACTGGCCGATCTGCCGAGTTCGTCATCCCTCGGCGACATTGACGAATCACAATTTACCCCAATATGTCGTTGGGCCGAGATATCACTTTCTAATCACCAGACTATGCTGTAACAATAAACAAGCTTTGAGGCCCGATTGATAACGTGCGACACTACATCCGTCGATCTATCGCCTTTCAGGCTGAATCATGACATAATAATACACCGTGCTTACACCGCTTTTCATCCCATTCTTCGACCCCAAATTCCCAATGCGCCACTGTCAACTCCTCCGACATATCAGAATATCGTTTCTTAAATACAAAGATGGCTGCATCTAGTAAGAGCCCAGAACGCATCGCTGAACTCCGACAGAGTGATGTGCCGGTCCCATGGTGTGACGAGTTTGAGAAGATGATAAGCGGCATGAAGTTAGTCTGACCAACGTCCTGAGAAACTATCTAACTTGTGATATGTAGCTTCAACACGGGGAACTCGCAGGAAATGATGGAGTATAAATTAGCTACAAAGAGGAAACTCCTCTCTTTTAACGATGATAGTATTCCTGAAGGTAGCACCTTAGCCTCATTAAAATCAAGACGCATGGCATTAGCAAAAGAGATTTTCGGTAAACTAGGCCAAGACGTCACCATCGAGCCCCCCTTCTTTCTCCTCTGGGGATGCAACACATTCATCGGAAACGGCGTCTACATGAACAGAGAGTGAGCACTCACCGCCCCCACAAACCCCCATCTTGCTCATAACTACACAGGGTATCGATTCACGACAACGCGCTTGTTACTATAGGAGACGGTGTTCTTATAGGCCCTGGAGTTTGTATCTGTCCAGGAACTCACGCTGCAGATATGCAAAGTCGGAGAGATGCGCAGGGCACATCGTTTGCACTGCCGATTCGTATAGAGGCGGATTGCTGGATAGGCGCTCGGGCTACGATATTACCGGGTGTTACTATAGGGAGAGGAGCGACTGTTGCGGCGGGGGCGGTTGTGATCCAGGATGTTGAGGCGGAGACGTTGGTGGGAGGAGTTCCGGCGAGGTTTATTCGGAGTTTGAAGAGTGAGACAACATGAGTTGGCAGATTTCCCTCAAGGGTCAGGCTGTCGCTTACACGAGGACGTATTAAGAGAACCCGATCGCATTGATATACTAATCCTCACCCAAACGCCATGCTTATGTTCCTCCACACAGACTACACACCCGCCACAGCACCCGCAACCTCCCCAACAACCTCATCAATAATCCCCTTCAACTCCTTCGCCACCACCGCCGAGAACAACACCATAACCACAAAGAACTCATCCCCCCTAGCATAAACACTAACCTCCTTCTCCCCAAACCTCTTCCACCCCGCACTCCCATACTTGGCAACCTTCCTCCCACTCTGATCAAACAACTCAAACCCCATGCCCGTCAACTGATTCACCTTCCACTTGAACTTGCCCATGTGTGTGTGAAACCCCCAAGTCCCCGTCATGCTGCTGTTCTTTATCACCATTGGCTGGTTGAATATTGATACGTCGATGCATGATGTGCTGAGATGAATTTTTGCTGATGCTATTATGTTTTCGGGGGCTGCGTTGCCGCGGTGCATCAGGAGGGTTGAGCAGCTGGAGCGTTTGTAGATTGTGTATAAAGGAGGGGATTCTTTTGGGGCGTTGGAGGGGAGGATAGAGAGGAGATTTGAGTCTTGAGGGTGCGGACGGATGGTGAAGAGTTGGGAACCATTGGAAGAGGAGCCTTGGGGGCTGGATGATCCGTATAAGACTTTGTTGAGTAGTCTTTCCATGAGGACGGTGATGATTGGGTTGTATTGACTGCTTTGTTTTATTGCGGGAGAGCTGAACAAGTCAACAAGGTCGGTGAGGGATCAATTGTCAATTGATATCTGTTTTGCCAAGTGACGTCAATAATATAATCTCATGTTCATTTCCCAAAAAGGGAACTATGCTGCGACAGAGGTTGGAATTAGCATGTAAGTGCACAGCCCTGTTGGCAAGTCAATATGATTGGTCGGTTCGTTCAAGTGATTTTACGTGCATGAAATTCCGACGCAGAACTTAAACAAGTGACCACGATTCCGCTGTCATCACACGTGTTTGAATCATTCTAGATACTAGTTAAGCCGAAATTTGGCTCAGGCTTTGTAGATCGAGGCTTGTAGCTATTCTATATATAAATCCCCGATCCAGTCCGCAATCATTGCCACCATCTCCTTGGTACAGCTATGCCCCGTGTTATCCTGCACAAAAATCCCAGCCTTACTTTTTCCCGCAAACTCCCCATTCATCGTCATCTCCCTCCTCTTGAGCCACGACTCAGAGAAGCCCGCTGGCACAAGCGAATCATACGTGCCATTGCACATCAGCAACGGAACCGTCCTTGGGAACTCATCTCTCGCCTTCCTGTCACCTTCTCTCACCAATTCCGCGAGAGCTCTTGGCCATCTCCGTCGCTGCTCCTTACTCATGACGCTCTCTAGCTCATCATACGGGATCTTGTCAAGCTCGTCTTGATCGACCCCGAAAGTGGCTGCGCCGAGGCCGAGTCGGGAGAGGAGAAGAGAGGTTAGATTGGGGCAGCCGACCACGATTGCAAATGCTTCGAATTGGCCGGGTGCTGCTGAGGCCATACGCCAGGCTGTATGGCCTCCCAGTGATACACCTAGCATGATATTGTGAAAGTTGCGAAATCGGGGCAGATATGCTGGCAAATAGTCCAGGATGAGCTTGAAGTCCTGAGCAGAGCCTGATATCATGGACATCAAATCCATTCTAAGCAAAGACTGTTAAACGAATACTCTTAACTTGGTGAACGGATGAATAGACGAATAATTTGGTGCCTTCACTTACCCATGATTCTCATTACCATCCGACCAAGTCTGATTCGCTCGTTGATCGATCTGAAGTCTGTTTAGCAGATACCCAAAGTAGATCCACACATCACAATTCCGCACCTCTCGATCACCATGGTTTCTCATATTCATTGTCACCGCAATCATGGGCATCTTTTTCCGTCTCCCATCCGATCTGTACGTGTGCAAGATCTCATGAGCGATGCCCTCAGTGACGAGGTACGTTCTTGTTCGGTTGTGAGCAAGATACAAGACAGCTATATCATCTCTAGGCAAATCATCCAGATCCTCGAGTCCGTACAGATAGATCTGAACGCCACCCACTACAAGGGATGATTTGCTGGAGCGCGGAGTGGTAGGCGGTAGTGCAAACCGCGGCTCCAGTGTAGCAAACGATCCTGCAGACATATTGTGCTCTGATCGTGGGATGATTTATTTGGCTGGCGACAAGGCAGGGAACGGATGCAGTTGGATGGCATAGACCAGGGAGAGGAAATATGACATCAAACTGTTCATGTGTGATCCTTGAGACTTGTTGTGCAAGCCGACAGCAGCGGCAGTAATATTGCTTATAGGTGATGAGGCCGAGAAACGGAAAACCGGCACAAAAGGTCATGCGAGCGCCTTTTTTTAAAGCAGAATCTTTACCGGTATCAGCATCTTTCGGTAAATCGTTTTCGGCTGCTTTTTAGTTCTGTTCAAGCGTTCTCGTTTTCCGGTCAGATAATAATTCATAATTTGTGCCGAGAGCATGGATGGCATTGATGCAAGAGAGTGAGTAAAGTCCAACTTAAGCCTGTATAGTTTAGTGAAGATTTACCGCATGTGTAAGCCTAGAAAGATGGCGTAATCACTTCGGCAAATTCGGTAAATATGGATGGTGTAAGCGGGCTCTTCAACGATCTTCTGACCACTGTATACGCTTTGACAGCATTCTACCCGTCTGGGTTCGTCTATGGAAGTTGGAGAATGAGATATTTCGAATAGGGAGCACGTGGAATGAGAACTGATGTAAGATTTCCTTATGCTCAACGTAAATACACCCATCATTCCACGCTTTTATTTTTCGCAATCTTGTTCCTGAGTTCTAATATCTGTCAAATTGGTTTCCTATACAGTGTCTTTGTCGAAGGGTGTCATCCCTAGAATCTGTTAAAAAATGAAGCTGTTTAATGTTATGCTTCTCTCAGCATTGTCCGCCTGTATCGAGGCCGGACTAGTCCATGGACGTCGAGACCTACCCTCAGGCCAATCCCCAGGCCATGTCTCCAACGTCAGCATCACCAGCAGCGGCAAGGAACGCAGTTTTCTCGTGTTCATTCCACCAGGATACAGCGAAGACCAACAAACATCTGTCATCCTTTCCTATCATGGGGGCGACAGGGATGCAGAAGACCAGCGGCACCTCGATCAGCTTACCAGCCCAGAATTCAATCCGGGATCGCTTGTCATTTATCCTCAGGGTATTCAAGTAAGACCCCGCCAGAAAGGATGCCCAGAGACTGCAGAGTATATACTAAGACTTCAGTAGGACACATGGCAAGGTGTTCCCGGTGTCAAGACAGACGATGTCAAATTCACCGCAGATATCCTAGATTACGTCGAGTCTCATTACACGGTAGACAAAAGTCGCATTTATGCTACAGGAAAGTCTGACGGCGGTGGCTTCACCAACGTACTAGCCTGTGACGCCGCCATGTCTCTCCGCTTTGCAGCCTTCGCACCCGTATCGGGGGCCTTCTACATCGACACTTCACCATGCAAATCAGATACAGTCTCTATTCCATGCAATGCACAGCGCGATGATATACCCTTCATAGAGTTCCACGGTGGTAATGACACGACCATCCACTATGACGGCGGAGCGCGCAAGAAGGAGTGTTTACCTAGTATCCCGCACTTCATTCAGCAATGGGCTTTGCGCGACCATCTCGGGGACAGCAGCCAGGAAACTCAGATCGCGCCCAACACCGTTCGTTACCTTTTTGGCAGTGGCTCGACGGAGGGGTTGGTTGAACACTATTTTGAGTCGGATATCGGGCATGATTGGCCGAGCACGGTGCCAAACGACGACAATCAGCGCTCTGGCCACCATATTGCCAGCTACAACGCTACACCTATCGTTATCGATTTCTTCTCACGGCATTCCTTGTGATCCAAGCTCTGACTGAGTAGCTTCAAACTGACTTTGTCGGGTTCAGGTCATCTACACTCCTTCACGCATAACCGAGATAACTGAGATGATCCATGACCCTGAGATTCTCTTAGTTTGCTAAATCATGTTGTAAGGTTTTAGTAAAGTGGCAAGTCTCATGCTAAATAGATGTCCGAGTAACTGTGGGAGGGTACGTAACAAATGAACAATATGATGGGCCAATTATACATAGATACATAAGCGTCTCGGTCAACGAAACAACATGGCCAGTAATACACAAGAGCAGCTTGAACTAGTCTGCGGCATCGCTGTCTCATAGGTGAGACTGCTAATCAGGTTGCGCCGAGTCTACCTAGAATGGGATATTGTTGTACAACGTGTCATCTACCGGCTCACTTGCCATTAATGACATGTGTTGGCCGTGTACCCTGGCACCGGAAGTAGAGAAGAAATGCTGGAAGACATCTTCAGAGAGTGAAAATCCGGGGCTAAGGAGCTGGTCCACGTTGCTAAACTGCGGCGAAACCGAGTACCACAGCTGTTCAGTATCTTGGGGTATTGCATTCAAGTCTGTCATTAAAAGGCCGTCTGACTGGCACTGATTGTCCATCAAAGCATGGGCCTGAGGCTCGACTAGACCCGTGTTGGTGCTTTGCAGGGCCGAAGATGCAAAATGTGACTGAGGATCCGAAAGATCAGATGAGCTCGATTGTGAGGCCCTTGTCCTGTCCAGGATCTTTTGGGCCCGATCGAATAACTTGTACATCACATCGGCGCTCCAATATGTCACTCTGAGGTTAGAGAGTACAAGCATGCATAATTGCATTTTATGGGTTGCAAGGTCATGTATCAGAGCCTTGGTCGACTTGCAGTCCGACAGGTGAATCTGCATGGCGGGGATGATGGCGGTGATTCTGCAAAGTAAGCGAGAGATATGTCAGAGTAGGAGTCGGCGAACGATTACATGACAACATACATCATTGGTTTCAAGTACTCTATAGCTTCAAGCTCTATCAGCTTCTGTAACAAGGCATTTGTACTTGCCGCAGCATCGCGAGCACGACGCAAAGCCACTCTGTGCCAGTCTAGAGGCGTCCCTGTAGGCGGAGGCGCAGACTCGTTAAGCGCATACGGCCGGTACAGAATCGCAACCGTCGCTCTACTAGTTGATTAGCGCTTGGACTAGATAACATCATATAGAAAGGCGAATGACGGACTGATAAAACAAGTCGATCTGGTAGGCGTGAATGCTGAGAGTATCACACCACTCATGCATAATCCCGGAGTTTGTGGCTGACAATGATTCGATTTGCTGAGAATACTTGTCAATATCATCCATGGTTGGCTCTGGTCCGCTCACGCGGTAATGAAGCTGCAGTATACCACCGAGAACGTCGCTGATACGCACAAGCCGGAGCCAGAGACTCGTCAGGGCCGTAGAGTCAGCCGGAATGAACCGTATCTTTGCATCATCGGCCACAGAATCCAGTTCCTGGAGGACATCCTGGGAGGTTGGGAATGGGAGGTCACAGTCCTCACCATGGATTCGCATGGGGCGTCCCTTGGCTAACGAGACCCAGCGATCTCTGACCACACACGACCACCAGATACGGCGCCTCAATGCTTGTTCCTGGGGATACATCTGTTGGGCGCGACCGTTGGATCGAGGGTTCCGGTGGAGACCGATACCCTGTGCCAGGGATATGGCAATGCCAATCCAGTGCCAAGCTCCTGTGTGGTCCTGCGGGTCTGTGTACCAGAAGCTTAACAGCATGACTGACTGGATCAGTTTCAGCTTCTCGGTGGTTCGATCGAGGTCATATAGGCACTAAAGAGACTCCGTATTAGTGGCTCAGGACGTCTCCAATAAACGAACGAGAGCTCTGTCACTGACTTTGGCACGTTCATACATGGCAGTCTTCATAGCTTTCCTGGATGGAAAGTCAAATCGTCTCAGAAGATCGGCGTCTGCAAACTACGGTGAATCCAGCAAGTCAGATCTGATTGCCATTGAGCTTTCGAAACTTACATTCGTTGCTGCCAGCATCATACTCCAGAACAGAAGATCGTGCTTCTTGTGCGGTCCCTGTCCGTGATAGTCATTGAGAAAGCCTTGAGCATCCACTATCGGTAGGAAGAAGTGGACATGCTTAAAGTAGGCCCAGATCATGTCATCACAGACATCTGCAGGCAATGTGGTCAAGGCTCCCTCTGAGCGCATGTATTCCACTTGATGTGGCTTGTGCATAGTATGGCTGGCGCCTTTCGGCGGCTGGCATGGTAGGGAGTCCTGTGGGGAGACTGCATCACAGATATCGTACACGGTACAGCGAGGTCCACGTTTGTCACCTGAAAGTGATAGGGTGAGCTGATGGGTATTTTCGCAGCGGTTTGAATGACCTTACCTAGATACGTATCCGGGCTATCATCAGGCAATTTGGGGTCATCCCCCAACCCCTTCTCAGCCAACTGGTCATGGTTGCCTTCGCTGGACTCCAGGGCAACGCCCAACTCCTCAAATGTGGAGCGCGTATCATATCCAGCTTCTCGTATCGCAGAATTGTGAGAAACCTCGTCTGTTGACAAGGCTAGTAGACATAAAATCACGGAATCGAGAGGCTGGGTACCCACGTCTGTCTGGAGAAGAAGTCGACTTGTTACGTGGTTGACGAGGTCTAGCAGTGCACCGTCAGCCGCATTCGTCGGCCACGTAAGTGAGGATGAGTCGTTTTTTACCGATATTTCTTGCGCGGGAGGACTATGCAGTCTCCGCCGCCACGCTGGCAGTTGGAACAGGGACGGCTGGTTTCAGCGACATCACACTTGACCTTACGCTTATTGCAGGCCTGACAGGCAACTCGCGAGCGAATTCGCTGTATGCTAGATTGTGCCGAGAGTGGCATACTGTTGTTATGGTCGCGCGATGTGTCTCCGGGCAGAATTCGTTCGGTCAATGTTCTTCTGTCAGCAGGACAGTAGCATCGGCAAAAAGATTCACAAGGAGGAGAGAATTGCGAGGGGAGCTCAGCTCGAATTTGCCGTTCTTTTCGGTTGAAATAATACCAGGCCAAAAGAAGGTAGTCAGTCAGCCAACGTTAGTACCAAGTCAGCATGGTCATTCATCACAGGTCATCACAGTCCCCGCTTACAGAATTCCAGGCTAACAGATCCGAGACCCGATAGTTAGGCACGACTATTGACATCATCAGCATGGCTCTCGGTAAATTCGGCAACAATCCCTCGCATTCTGGAGGGCAGCAGAAACCACGTACCCCAGATAGTTAGGGTCCCAGACTAGTAGAATTGACTCACGCTTCACATCTGGCATTTCCCCAGAAAAGCGAATATTGGGGTTTCCCCGCAAAGAGCCAAAGCTTCTCCAGGATAACACGGTCAAGGTTTGTATGCTGGTACCATGTACAGCGTTGCAACCCCAAGCTTTGTTACCGAATTGCCGTTTTTTCCCAGCGACCTCAAGTGAGCTATAAGAACATCCACATGTACATCCATTAACAGTGCCAGTGTCGAGACTCCAAGCCCAGACCAACACTATCACCTTGTCGAAAATGAGTTCAGCCGACATTACAGCCCAACAATCCAAGGCCAACCTTGCCGGCGATGTTGAAAGGGTTGAAGACATTGATGGCAAGACTGCCACAACGTCTCCCTTTACAGCCGAGGAAGAGAAGAAGTATCTCCGGAAGATCGACCTTTGGTAAGAAAGCAAAACCAATCTCCTTTCTTATTCGTGGCTTCTTTTCTGCGGGCCATTCATGGCTAACAAGTTTGCACAAAGGATTGTCCCCCTCATGATGATAACCTACACTCTCCAAAGCTATGACAAGGGCGTCATGAGCGCTGCAACGCAGTTTGGCTTCAGCCAAGACCTGAAGCTGACAACAATCATTGGCCACGAGGAGAACGGCACTCCCATCACAGACAACAAGAAGTACGCCAACGCCTCCATGATGTTCTACATCGGCTACTTGATCGGCACCTACCCGATGATGTACCTAACGCAGCGCTTTTCCATCTCTCGTGTCGTTGCCTCTGCGACCTTGCTGTGGGGAGCTGTGCTCATGTCCACTGCCGCATGCTACAACTACCCGGGCATCATGGTCAACCGACTATTCTTCGGTATTCTCGAGTCAGCCGTCGCTCCATCTTTCACCGTGCTGGTCACCTTCTGGTGGACTCGGGAGGAGCAGGCTTTGCGGACATCGCTTTGGTATGCCTGCGTCGGAGTCGCAACCATGGTCTCTCCGCTCATAAACTACGGCCTTGGCCAAACACACGGATCTCTTCCGTCCTGGAAGCCCATGTTTCTCATCCTCGGAGCCGTTACTATCTTGTGGTCCGCTGTTCTATTCCTTTGCCTCCCTGACAACCCGATGACGTCCAAGCGCTTGACTGACGCCGAGAAAGAGATGGCAAAGTACCGCCTCCAGAGAAACAATGCTGGGGCCATCAGCCATGAATTCAACAGGGCTCAGTTCTTCGAGGCCTTTCGTGACTACAAGGTCTATAGCAGCGCTCTCATTGTTATGCTTACCGGTGTGCCATCTGGCGCCCTCGGAACTTTTGGCACCATGGTCATTAATGGCTTTGGTTTCGATCACTTCGATTCTCTGGCTTTGACATGCCCCATTGGTGCCGTCACTGCCCTTACCATTCTCATTGTTGGCGCCATCACCCGCAGGTGGCGCAACACCCGATACCTATGCATCGTTGCCTGCGCCTCTATCTCAATCGGCGGAACTCTGATCTGCTGGCTGGGACCGAGGGATAACAAGGGTCTCTTGTTTGCAGGGATCTTCCTCGTTGCCATTCAAGTCGCTTCCGGTGGTTTAGCCATTGGTCTGTCGGCATCCAACATTTCAGGTCACACCAGTAAGTCTACCCATCTCATACCATGCAGTGGGACACTTTATTCTAACACAATCTGCAGAAAAGTCAACTGCCAGTGCTTCGACCTTTGTTGGATACTGTGTTGGAAACGTCATCGGCCCTGTCATCTTTGGCGCATCTCCCGGCCCCCGATATCGTGCAGGTTTTACTGGCGGCTGTATCTGCCTATGTGGCGTGGTTGTCATTGCCACGGCTACTTGCTTTTTGTTGCGCAGAGAGAACATGAATAGGGATAAGAGAACCGGCCGTCATTCAGATATTCTGCATGACGTTGACGAGGATCTTACGGATATGCAAAAGATGGATTTCAGATACGTCCTGTAAAGGTAGCTTTCCTAAGGCCTAGATCTTTCCATGTTCTTTTCTCTCTCTTCTTGTTGTCCGGTCAAAAGCATCTGTGAGCGAGGTGTTACAGAAGTGTTATTTGCAGTTGAGATTTGTGGCTGTGAGCTTATTCCAGCAGAGAGAACCTAGAGCGAGGTGTTACTCCAATGAACGACATCTACTCAAAAGTGTCATATCTGTCTATAATTAGGAACCTTCCTGATAAGGTGATTAAACTAATAGAGAGGCGAAAGATCTTCATTATAGCTTATCGTACAAGGCTGAGTAAGTATGTTAGATACGCTGATCTCGGGATAATGAAAGCATGTGTGCCTTGGATCAACAACCTTGACAATCTAATTCGTCAAGAGAATAAATAAGCAAACTTAGACTTATTGAAGTTCGGAGAGAACGCGCCAATCATATACAACCTCAATTGCTTCTTTTCTCACAACATGCAAATCTCGTGGCTCATCCATGCTTACTATTCCAAATCAGGCAAAATGGCGCGCTCCGTCATCGTCCAAGTGGAGACACAAACATGTGAGATCCATTTCCAAGGCTGAGCTGACATCTCAAACCTCCCTCAACGGGGCCTTTAACTATCTCGGGCATTCCAGCTCGCTCTTTCTCGGTCCCCATCAATCTTGTCTCTTTTTGGTGAGATATACCGCTCTGACGAAACAATGCCTGGCGTTCCATCTTACAAAGGCTGCGATGCGTGTCGGAAGCAGAAGAAAAAGGTAAGTGAGCTCGACATTTGGGTCAGAGAATTGTTGAGTTAATGAGGGGATAGTGTGATAAAGCTCAGCCAAAGTGTGCCAGGTGTGAAAGGCTTGATATTCCGTGTATCAACGTCGGTAAACAGCGGTATAAGTTCAAAGTCCAGACGCTCGAACCGGGAGATAGTATAAGTCTTCAGAGCATCGACACAGAAGATGACACTACGACTTCAAGTTCGCGGTCTTCAAAATCGCCTATTTCTTTCACCCAAGCGCTGATGAAAGTTCCTTATAACAAAACAACCATGGTCACTCAAACGCTTGTCTCACGGTTGGAGATTACAGATCTGCGATATGACATCACCTGTTACGGAGACTTTCTTCGGCATATTCCTGCGCGGTTGGGAAGGAATGAAGCCCTAGATGCATCGGCTGATGCGTTAGCTACGACGTTCTCGACGTTGCATCGACCGCAGGGGTATCAAACTGTTGATGCGCTTACAAAGTATGTCAAAGCGATAAGTTCGTTGAGATTGTGTTTGGAGGATCCTGCGAAGGCGAGGATGCCTGAGACTATGTGTTCGGTGTATCTGATCATGATCTGTCAGGTGAGTGAATTGGAGTGTGAGGTTTGATCAAGGCTGACAATTCTAGGGCTGGTTGGGAAGAGATGATGACCCGACTACAAGTCACGGTCAGGGTTTGGCATATCTTCTCAAAGCGGCGGCGCGAGAGAACTGGAAAGCCGGTTTTGAAACAGACATGCTCTTGACATTCTGCGTCCCAGTCGTATGTCCCCCAGCCTCGCTTCCTTTCCAAAGACTTCATCAGATCAGACTAACTAACAACCCCAGATTATCGAAAGCATATCAAACCCCAAGGTCAGGTTAGAAAAATGGTTCTGGGACATGCTCGACAACTTCAAAAAGAACAACCCCCCCTCAACGCCCGAAAGCGCAAAAGCCCAACAAGACGGCAAAGACGCAGGCGGAATCCCCAGTCTATCCATCCGAAATCTAGGCCGCCTCCCAGACTTCATAAACGACCCTGAACTCCACCGCATGGAGATAACATGCGCATACCACCGCCTCTGCCGCGACCTCCGCAAACTCTCCGAGATCGTCAAAGCAGTAACATGGGCACCCGGCTTCTCCCCAACACCAATGCAACTCCGCCTCTCCCGCTCCTACAACTCAGCCTACTCCGTCCTCCTCACAGTCCTCGTAATAATCAGCCAAATCATGCAAGCATTTGATCCGTATAACCTGGCTCTAGTGGGAGAAGCAGCACTGTGTTCTTCAGAGGTGGTGTCTCTTGCGCATAGGATAAGTCAGTACAGACCGCTAGGTGCAAGCCATGTTCCGCTGACGCTGGCTATTGCGTGGGCTGCGACGGATGAGCCGGGGATGAAGAGGCAGTTGGAGGAGACGTTGGAGGAGTATCAGCAGGATTGGACTGTTACGCAGTGGATGAAGGTTGGGTATTGGTGGACAGAGAAGTTTGCGGAGTTGAGGGTGAGGTTGGCGCCGAGGGTATCGCTGGAGGAGGAGGAGTTGTTGATTAGGAGGGGGGAGGGGGAGGATGAGGGGATGAATGGGAAGCAGCCTGCTGATGAGTGTTGTGTTATGTAGAAGGTGGTCTTGTTACCACATGAATAGCCTAGAGGATTAGATGAGAAGAGAGCAGGTTCTTTCTCCCTCAAGACTACGCGAAACATCTACTCAGCGTCACGACCGAGTGTTGGGTCACCCAGCTGAGCAAAGG